ATTTCGGCTATTTTAAAAATTGTCCCTAATTCCATTGTAAGGTATTTTAGACAAAAAGTTTTCAGATAAAAATTGTAGATAATCACATCCTTAATGAGACTGTGTACTTCGTTTTTTTCTAAAGCCTGTCATTTTTGACATATGACACAAACATAGGTTTTTTTAAATGGAAACCATAGTTGGCCATGACTTCATAAAAAGCACCATTTTTTAAGCTTTTTAGTGATATAAGCTATAATATCTTTTCTTCGAAAAATTACTGAGTTATAGCAAATTCTTATCATTTTTAAATAATTTCACTTAGTTAGCCATGAAAACAAGTTTAATCGTCTTTGCTCTCATAAATGTGAAGCTGTCACATTCAAACTTTGTAAATTAAAATAAACAAAAATTGTTAATATGAATTTTTCAAATGAAGAAAAGCGTGTAGGATTATTGGTTCAACTTTTCTTGACCATACATTTTCGAGGATACGTTGACCGGTGAATGTTACGTTTTTTAGAGAACGGTTTTTAAGACATGTTAGAAAAGTTAAATTTAGTTGTAGCCAATTTTTATCTTTCTTGACTAATTTCACTTAGATTGCATGGTATTCTTATTCTGTTATGATTTATAACTAATAAAAAGTTAGAATATATTACTAAACGGTTCTTTACAATTTACATTACACAAACTAAAACTTAATCTAAATTAAAAATATATAATCTAAATTAAAAATAATATCACTACATACACTTTAAGTTATTTTAGAAAATGTTCAAAAAATCCGCCATCGTTTTGAGTTGCATCTTTTTAAAACTGAATTACTACCTATTCTCATAGAAGGACCGGTCGACTTAATTAAACTTTTCTTGTACCGCCACTTCTAGTGCCTCTCTTAATTCATAAGTTTTTTTGTAAACCTTATTGTTAACTATACCGCATAAGAAATTCTAAAATGGATAGGTCAGGTGATCGGGGAGACCCATGCAATTAGTCCACCTCTTCCTATCCCTGCGTTTGTATAATTATGATATAAATAATTTTTAACATTTCTCTCGTTATGGGGGGTGGGGGGTGGTGTGTCATAATGAAAACATGTTGGAACCACTCTATTGATGCGCGAGTATCTACACGCTTTTCTTCATTTGAAAAATTCATATTAACAATTTTTGTTTATTTTAATTTACAAAGTTTGGATGTGACAGCTTCACATTTCTGAGAGCAACGGCGATTGAACTTGTTTCCATGGCTAACTAAGTGAATTTGTTTAAAAATGATAAGAATTTGCTATAACTCAGTAATTTTTCGAAGAAAAGATATTATAGCTTATATCACTAAAAAGCTTAAAAAACTTCGCTTTTTATGAAGTCATGGCCAACTATGGTTTCCATTTAAAAAAAACTATATTTGTGTCATATGTCAAAAATGACAGGCTTTAGAAAAAAACGAAGAACACAGTCTCATTAAGGATGTGATTATCTACAACTTTTATCTGAAAACTTTTTGTCTAAAATAGCTTATAATGGAATTACAGACAATTTTTAAAAAAGCCGAAATTTATTTTTTTCGAAATATCTAGTAAGCCATGAACTTTTTCAAAAATCTGAAAGGCGCATATTTATGACCCCACAAAACTGCAATTCTTTCCCCATTTAACCGACTCTCTATCTCCAGTAGTTTCCGAGATACCCATAGAGAACATCGTAGGAAACTCACCCTGTATATTATTCGTCTGAGAGAATATTAGAAACCCTCTAGCTTTACTTGTTTCTCTGAGAAATTATTTTAAACAGTTCCAAATTAAAATACTTTTAATCAGTATATCGTACCATTATTTCGTAATAATGCAGTAATAACTTACACTATTTCAACCATATTAGGCTATGGATACAACCTTGCAATTATAAAAAAAAGTTTGTTCATGTTTTATCTCAGTTTTTCTAATCCCATTGTTTGCAATCGACGTTCGCCATATACGTTAATTATTACAAATTGGCTTATTTTTCAATAAAACTTCAAATTTCCGTCATTCCCTGTAAATGAGTTTATTGGTAATTAGTCTTTCTTAAAATTACCGACCTTCGAATTCATTTCTTTATTTTCTTTGTACCATTTGTATCATTCCTGAAAGAAGGAAATAAGAGAACAACGAAACACGGATACAAAGAAGAAAAATAAAGAAAAACCATCAAAATATTTCTGCAAAATTTCTAGGAATTGCTAAATGTAGAAAAAATAAATTATTGTTAATAATCAATACCTACTTTGAACTCTAAATTAGGGTATAATGTAATTAATCTTTATAACACCTATTAAAATTTAATTTTTTCTGTAATATTCTTTATAAAATAAATTCCTAGTGATATTTCTTTTAATGACAGTCTCATAAAACGACTTTTAGACACAGCATGGGTCAAAAATGACACTTTTACTAATGTTTCTAGAAAGAATAATTTTATTTATTATGCCTATATCTATAATTTTGAAAACTTTAATGATCCATTACAAAAACATCACTTGGTTATCTTTCGGCCAAAATATACGTTAATAATACTCATTACTAAATTGTTTGCATGAGATTGTTTATAAAACAAGTCACACATCAATCAAGAGTGCTGTAAATGATAGTGTATGTTTATGAAAACATTAACTTTGATTTATAAAAATCTTTGCTTTGTATTTAAATTTTCTTTAAATATCACTATAATTTTTAACTAATCACTAAAAAATAAAAATCTGCCCAGTTTTAGGTAAAAATTCACTTTATTAAGAATCTAGGGAGACCAATTTCTGTTACTGTTGTTTTGAATACAAATTTAAGCAACGAAGTCATTGAAAAATATTGCCTTTGAATTATTTAGTACATTTTATTACTTGTACCATAGATAAAAATTAATCATACTATCATAGATAACATAGTATGTGTTATCTATGATACTATGAAATTTATGTGTTTCTCTTTTTAATATTAATAATATATTTAAACAATCTTCAATCCTAAAGGAAGTATAGTGTTTGAAAGAATGTTGAATGTGTTAAAGAGTAATGTCTTTCAAATTGCTATGGACAAGACTGTGATTCATACAAAGCTCGGAGACAGGCTGTCTGTAAATTAGACATACATCAAGCGCAAATGAAAACAAATAGAATATAAATTGCTATAAAGCACACGATTGTTGATATAACAAGATGTTATTTTATTTATAATATAGAGACTACGTTCCAGTATCGTTGTTGTATATTTTGTCTCATTTTGGATGCAAAAGTCAGGGTTATCAGGCTTATTAGCAGTAATAATACCTCAAGCTACCTCTCTGTGAAACCAAAAATGCCACAAACAGATTTGTCGTGGCACTGTTAACTTCCATGATTTTTAAAATGTTTTCAAAATTCAATTTTATGCAATTTTTGTATACCTCAGTTGTTTGACATTTTTCAGTACTTTTAAATAGGACACCCTGTATATTTGTCGAGAAATTAATTTGTCATTTTAAAAGCTTTCCAAAATTGTATAACAGTGTGTCAAATACAAAAGTCTAAAATTTTACAGGTTATTTTGGACAGCATCGATATTTTGATATCGATACTTTCTAGTACCGATATTTTAATATATCGATACTTTTCTACATCTCTACTGGAAACGTAAAAGTCTGTCTTCTTGTAAAATCATAATGTACAGAATGTCCCAGTTAAAATGAGGGTTATCTTGCTTATTAGTAAAGATAGAACCTTGCATTTTTCACGAACATTAGCTTTTTTTTGTTATATAAAAGATGCCGGAAACAAAATTTTCATGGCCTACTTAGTTTCCAAAGTAAGAGGTTACCACTTTCAGGCACCTGTTGTATTTTTAATCCTTGCAGAGATGGTAGTAAGATTTTTTTCTTAATATTTCTGTTTTTGAGATATCAGTCACTGTTTATATATAGGTATCTTAGGTATCTTAAATAGAACACCCTGTATATTTGCGTGTAAGAACTTAATTTGTCCATTTATATGCTTTTCAGAAACACATATACATATGTTTATTACAAAACTTGCATCGACAGGCACTATCGACACGTTCCTGATATGTTGTATCGATATATCGATATCGATATTTTTAAATATCGATTTTCAAATATCGATATTTTTCTACATCTCTACTAGAAAATGTAAAAATATGTTTTCTTCTAAGATCACTGAAGTACGCAGAATTCTATCCCAGTTCTAAGTATACTCTTCTAAATTAATTGAACCAAAACAAGGCGCACTTTACGTTCGGAAGCAATAAAGAAAAAATAACAAATCAATCACGATATCGGGCTATAAGGAAGAAGAATTTTCGATAGTGATTTATTGAACTTAGAGAGATGTTAGTGAGATACCGTGACGCTTGTGTTTCTTTATTAGCATTTTAAAAGCCGAGTACTAACATTTGGCGTTGTTGCGGAGACAGGCTGTCTCAACAATTTCTCCGAAAACAATCTGGAAAAAGCAGAACCGGACTCCAGAGCTCCCGTTTCTCTCGTTAAGCTAATGAGTTATTATGGCTTTCTGGACGTGAAACAGATTTTCTATTTAACCGCTTGGCCGTCTAACAAAAAACATCTGTTCAGCGGTTATTCTTTCATTCATATTAAGAGAAAAGTGTTTTTTAACACGGATTTAGAAAGTGTGATAGTAGAAACATCTGGAGAATTTAGCTTTTTTTATTTATACAACATGTATTTTTTATACATTACTTTGCAGCTTTTTTTGCAGACTCACCCTGTATATTCTAAAACACTGTGTTCTACAAATAAGTATTAAAAATAATGCCAATTTAAATTGAAAAAAAAAACTACTTTATTAAAAAAAATCGTTTTAGACAAAATGACCCAGATTATATGCTCTCTGTCAGCACTCCATCAAAATCTAAAACGCGTAAGATAACAAACATAATAGACCGGCTGGCCACCGGCCAACCTAACCAAAACAAAAACTTCTCACGTCCGCTTAACATTTCCCAGTCGTAACTCAATTTTTCCTTTTTCCAGATCCGCCGCGACGCGCAAGTTCGCCGAGAAAATTCCACGCGGTCCAGATGTTCCAAAGGACCAGCAGCGTCGATCCTGAGAGCCACCGGTCCAGTCCGCGATCGCATCCATGCAGTGTAACATCATAAAACCACGTACCAGTAACGATGCTCACCGTACGACTGACGTACGCCTTACTCTTGATCAGCTTATGCGTCCAGGCACTTCCTTTACCCGCTACACCCCTGAATGAAAGGCACCAAGAGATTTCCTGGCAAGCGTGGCTCCTGGTTGATGACCAGAACCAACACAAACAAAGTAATGCTGATGGAACGCCTTCAAGACACCGGATAACAACCAAAAGTGTATTTGTTGCACCTACGTTTTCAGCATTTTCTCCAGAAAATCTACCTCCTTGTCCTGATGGGTACAAGTCAGACCCAATGGGAAGATGTATCAAAATCATAATGCTGGACGAAGCAAGTCATCTGGAGTTTTTAGTCAGCAAACTCAACGACAAGTTTGGAGATTTAGAATATGATGACGAAGAAGATGAAGAGGAACCGTTCAATGTCAATATACCTCTAGGAGGTGATTATACCAACGATCCTCCTCAAGAAGAAACAGAGTTTGCTATAATCGTAACTCCTACTGTGAAGGAAGTTGATAAAAAAAGCAACGTGGATAAACGGGACGATGGTGACCACTATGAAAAAGAGTTGAAGAAGTTATCTCAAACTACCACAGAGGCACTTTATGACACTACTACACTAAGAGGAGAGGATATTGACGAGGACGGTATTGTTTTGACCACTCCAACTCAAATACCGGAAGAAACAACAACAGTTACTGTTAAAAACGATGTTACTGAATTAACCGAAGAAAATCAAGAAACAACGACGTTATTTACTACCACGGCGCTTTCTTCTGAAACCACAACAAGCACAGAACCGGTTTCAACAACTACAGAACAAGAAATAACAACCCTCGTCACTGAATTACCTAAATCATCAACAACCACTCCAAAAATCACAACCTACCACCCAAAAGCCACGACGTATCACCCTTATTTCGATATGAATCGTGTCGGTAGCTCCAAAACGCGAAACATCATCAAGTTTCCTGATGAAGAACTGATTGGTTCTGCTCGTTCGTATCCTCAGAGTAATTACGTGAGGTTCCCTGATGCTGACACGAAGTACCAGCAAGAAAGTGAAAGCCACCATACGAGGGATGTCGGAGATAACTTCGGGAACTACTTCAATGAGATTGTAACTCCTGATACTTCCCAGAAGATTCATAGGATGGTTCCACCGTTAAAAGGAGGCTTTGTTCCTAGCAAGACGTACCCATTCACGTTTCCTCGTGATTCAAACCATCGACAGTACGAGTACCAATGGGATTCAACGACGGAAGTCCAGCACAACAAACGCAGTAGAGAAAAACATGGTGGTTTATTCTTGTTACCACCAAAATGGTCGGAGAAATCAAACCCCTCGCCGCTTGTTCTAAGGTTTTCTAGAAAACACTTCCATCTCAAACCGGAAAAACTAAAATCCAACATCTTTTACAGGTCTCTACCCAAAGAGGACCTTTCTGTACTTTTCGGTTACAGTAACGAACAAGGTGTTAATAGGTAATATGTCTTTTTATTGTGAATTATTTCAGCATCGTGCAGTAGGTAGAGATAGATCTTTTTGTGTACATAGTGTTTCTATTTATTTAGACTTATTAGTGAGTGTTTTTTTCTGTTGTATGTAATTATCGTTGGTTCTTGCTCAGTGTGTACTAAACCAAAATCAAACATATTTTAAGAACATGACAAAAAAATAATAACTGTGCAGGAACCAGAATCACTTGGCTATACAGATCGGTCACACAGTCAGCTTGTAAATATATTATAGTAGTGCATGATTTGGAATGGTAAACGTCACGTGATCGCTCTGTATATACTCTAGGGTACGTTATATTCTTCGTGTATATATATATAATAAGTGTAGAACATAGCTTTGTATATGATTTCCTTTTTTTATTTATATAGTGTAGAGACAGGTTTAACCACGCAGTACAATGCATACAAATCACTAGTATTTTTACGATCTTTTTTTATTTTTTGCACGTATCATTTTTTCCTTGTTCTGTTCACCTTGCAATGGTTATAATAACACACAGTAAATATTTTTATTACACGCCCTGTAGACAAATTTTGGTAGAGTAGCATGGAGGTCTAAAAAATAATCAAAACAATAATAATTAAAATTTTTGTTAGGCTGGGATATATATTTGATGTAATTATTATAAAGGCTTTGATATTTTTCGTTTTAAGAAAAATACTAAAAGCCTGTTCAAATCGAGTTTAATTTAATTTTGAATTCAAGTGAGCTGTTATTATTTTATTGTTATTTGGAATCCTTGAACTGGACATGTTAACACGAAACTTTTGAAATAATTATACCTATAAATTACAATGAAAAAGTCAAGTAATATTGTTAATTTTAGTATTACCAATTTATTTATTTATTTATTTCCACTGTAATAACGATGTAGTAGTATGTTTTCATATTATGAACTGTGTCAAAAATAATCTAAAAACTACTTTTGTAACTTTATCTTAAACATTTTTTTTCTTGTAATTTGTCAAGTATTATACGAACATTTCATGAAGCATGCAAGTTGTTTTATTTTATCAACAACCCTCTATAAGAAATAATAAATGTTCTATTTTCTATTAAAGAAATCACTTAATTTGTAAAATATATACAGGGTGAGTCATAAATCAGTGTAGATCACAATAAAAAAGAACTTTACGGGCAACAAGTTGACAAACAATTAGAGAAGAAAAATACAATACAACATAATACAACTACCAAAGATAACATGGAATAAACATGGTCAAAATTCAAAGACATATTCCGCGAAGTAAGCGAACAGATAATAGAAAAGGAAGACCGAAAATTGAGAAAGCCCTGGATGACAAAGGAAATAATAGAAGCAATGGACGAAAGGCGCAAAGTTAAGAATAAATGTGAAGACCAGTACAAAAGGTTAAACAAGGAGATCCAGAGACAGATTACAAGTGCAAAAGAGAACTGGCTCAAAACCAAATGCGCTGAAGTAGAACAACTGCAGGTACAACACAAAGATAGAGAACTACACACAAAAATCAAAGAATTCACCGACCTTTGGAAACCCAAGCATCTGTCAGCAATCGCAAACGAAAATAACGTGATAGAACTGGACCCCAGTAAACAACAGGTTATATGGGAGAACTATTTGAAAGAATTGTTCGGAGATGCGAGAAGAAAACAGGAATATCCAAAAATAGAGAAAGGAGACCATCTACCCATATGGAAAGATGAAGTCATCAAAGCAATCAGAGAAACGAAAAGCAATAAGGCACCGGGCGAAGATCAAATAACAGCAGAGCACTTCAAACACATAAGCGATAATGCCATCAAAATTCGGACCCAATTTTTTTTTAAGTATATGAAACTGGAACAATCCCCGAAGACTGGGTAACATCTACCTTCATAGCCTTACCCAAAAAGAATAAAGCGAAGAAATGCGAAGACCACAGAACAATATGTCTGATGAGCCACGCAGCGAAAATCTTTATGCGAATAATATTCAATAGAGTATACAGCAAATGTGATGATTTCCTTACTAGATCACAATACGGTTTTAGAAGGGGGACAGGAACAAGAGAAGCCATCCTGAGTTTAACGTTAATTGCAGAGAGGTACATGGAAGTCCAAAGGAAGCTGTACGTATGTTACGTTGACTACAAAAAAGCCTTCGATCGAATACAGCATGAAAAATTAGTAGAAGTTCGCACTGAAGTAGGCTTGGATGAGAGAGATATTATCATTATAAGGAACACATACTGGAATCACAAAGGTTGTGTCAGAACAGAAAAAGGAAATACAAGATACGTAGACATACAAAGAGGTGTTAGACAGGGATGTATATTGTCACCATTATTGTTTAACGTTTATGCCGAATATATAATCCGAAAATCTCTTCAAAATTGTCCAGAAGGGGCTAAAATAAATGGAAAAATTATAAACAATATAAGATATGCAGACGACACCGTGGTATTAGCAGAATCCGAAGACCAGCTGCAACCCCTAATGGACAAACTGACAGAAGAAAGTATCAGGATGAGATCTGGTTTCCTCAACATGCGGAAGTTTTTGTGCCATCCCAGAATAGGTATACCAACGAGGCTAAGAATATTAAAATGTTATATATGACCCCTACTTCAATATGGATGCGAAACTTGGACGCTAAGACAAGAAGACCTCAAACGCCTTAATGCTGTTGAAATGTGGATGTATTGTCGGATGCTGAGGATAAGTTGGACCTCCAAAACAAGAAATTGTGAAGTTTTAAACAGAATGAAAACTCGTCCACACCTAACAGGCACAATTAAAATCAAAAAGACTTCCTACCTTGGACATATAATGCGGCACTCAGAATATGAAGAAATACAGCTCATAATAGAAGGAAAAATCGATGGAAAACGTAGCATAGGGAGGAAAAAGAAATCATGGCTAGGTAACATAAGAGATTGGACCCACACCGACGGAAACACTCTTATTCACCAAGCTCTGGACAGAGAGTCATACGCCATATTAATCGCCAACCTCAACAGAGAAGGCACCTAGGAGGAGGAGGAGTCATAAATAAATGCAAATATTTTTAGAAGTACTATATTTCGACTCCAGAAACATGTCTATGAGTTTTTATTTAAAAAAAAATTATTTGAAAATTTGGAGTTTTTTGGAAATGTTTTTAATTTTTAGATAAAAAACATAATATGGCAACATAGGTAGTAGATCAAATTTACAAGAAAGAAAATCCAGAAAATATCCAGTGGTTCTGAAAATTTTAGAGAAAAATATATTTTTTTAAATTTTCAAAGTCATATTTCATATCTCGGTTATTTTGGACTTATTTGAAAAAGGGTAAAGAGAAAATATATTTCTTTTATCGAGATCTACCAGCCATGAAAATATTTGCACATATTTAAGACTCACCCTGTATAATACAAACCTTATAAAGTATTAAAATATAATTAAGGATACATTAGAGACGCATATTATGACTAGTTGATGTTTGACTAAAAAAGCTTAAGAAATTCGCTAAATTTCAAATCAAATTCAAATTCGATATGAAATTTTAATTTATCGATACTGTAAAACATCTCTAATACGAACTCGATATCGAAAATTAAATTATCGATACTTCGAAACCATCCCTAATAAAGAACGCTGAAAATTTCTAGTTTATAGACTTTTACATAACACACATCTGCGTGTGTTCTTCGGATATTCAATCTGAAGGAAGTGGATAATTTCGGTTTGCTTGTTTCTCCAAACGTTGTTGTGTATGATGGGAATGCGTTTGGGCAACATCCGCTGGAGAACGCCATTCTTGAGGGAAACGCCGAGGGTTTCTTTTTGTAAACAAGCGATAAATCGATATGGCAGACGCGTTTTCTCAACTTTGTATCTTCTCATTTGGACGCAGAAATAACTTTAACTTTTATATGGTTGTACCACGAAACTTGTACTACAATATTCTTTCTTGAAGCAAAATACAACAAGAAGGTGTGCTATAGTCTGTAAAACGAATAACTTTGAATTTGACAGTTCCCGCGGGCTTTTCTAGTGTTAATTTTATTAGGTTAGCAACTTGCGGTCATGCTGACGCAATGCCGTCTCTAATAGAACAGCCTCAGAGCGAGATTTATGACGTCACGCTAGTTAGGTACTACGGAGTAATAAATATGTTGTAGAATACATGGAAAACATAATTATTCCTCGTATTTTTGGTTTGTATTTTAATAATGATATAGTTTACATGAAATATACATAATATACAGTTAATAAATACAATATATATACGTATTTATAGTAATAAATACTTTGGCAGATAAACTATGAACCATACAAATGCAGCAAATGTTTTACAATATGGCTGAAATCGTACTCCATAGTCAATGTATATAGTTTTTGTGTTAAGAATAATAATTTAAAAAAATATGTGGTCATCTTTTGACAAGTTTATATTAGTTTATTAATTGCAGTAAACATTATACTATATAAATAAATTTTGTGAATGCAAATAATAATACATCACTATTAGTAGATATTGAATGTTTTTTGTTAAATTAGATCGATTTTCAAACCCCAAAATTTAAAATATATTTTACATTTTACCCATTATCTTATGTACTACCTATTCATTATTTGTATATTTTAAAACATTTGCTGGCATTTGTATGGTTCATAGTTTTATTTGCCAAAGTATTTATTACAATAAATAGGTATATATTATATTGTATTTATTAACTGTGTATTATATATATTTCATGTAAACTATATCATTTTTAAAATACAAACCAAAAATATGAGGAATAATTATGTTTTCCATGTATTCTACAACATATTTATTAATCCGTAGTATCTAACTAGCGTGACGTCATAAATCTCGACCCGTGGCTGCTCTATTAGAGACGGCATTGGTCTAATATTTAGAAATGTCAAAAGCTGATGACGTTTTACTTTTGTCAATTATGACATTTCGTGTTGATTTTTGCAAGAAGAGGAAGAACTGTCACTTGTTTTATTATTTTCCTTTTCTATTTCACGAAAGTAAAAAGAGTTACCTATCCGATTCGTTCAGGCACTCAATTTAAAGAATATCAGTAACTTTTTTGACAGAGGGATTTTATATTTGCCATGTTGGTAAAAAATAACGGTCAAAATTCAAAGTTATTCATTTTATAGACTATAAAATCATTTTTGAAAACTTGTCAAAATTTGGACACACGCTAAATGGACTTGATTTTCCTATGTCTCGAAGTCTGTGGACTTTTCTGTATAATCTCACAGTAACTTAATAGATTGCTCGTCATATTATATCAGCTCGTAGGAGATTAGGAAAAAAAAGCTATTTATAGTATAAAAAATTAATTTATTTAACAAAATTTAATTAGAGATGTGACAAAATAGTTACATTTCTATTGGTTCTATCGGACTTTTTTCGACTATATAAATCTTTATTTTTTGTAAACTTTAATGCATAAAATATTTTCAATCTAATAAATAATTTAATGATGTAAATAAGAGGAAATTTCTCACATGGGTGGTCAAATTCTATAGTTTTCATTATATCAAACAGCCTCTGAATGTTTTCTTCAGTGCAAAACTCATCAAAATTTAATATAAATAATTTTTCCAGCCTGTAAATAAAATGAACAAATCTGACATACGGTAACTCCCATTCAGAATCTCAGCCAAAAATTGAAATAAAAGACGCCTAAAGTGCATCTGCTAAGAATTTCTTTTAACTATACAGAGTGAGTCTTTTAAAAAAGTGTACATATTTTTTGGGGTGGTATATTTCGATGCCAGGGACACTCCTATCGGTTTTTTTTTTCGCGAAAAAAAATTGTATTTTTCGAAAAAAAAATAGATTTGTTTTTAATTTTCAGTTAAAAAAACATATCTTGAAAATACGGCAACATAGCTCAGGTATTTTGGATTTATTTGCAAAACAGTACAGAGAAAATGTATGTTTCTTTTATCGAGATCTACCAGCCCTGAAAATATGTGTCGTTATTTAAAACTCGCCCTGTATATGGTTGCTGTTTCGTGTTCAAGACACCAAAAAGAAAATAATAAATCTGAATTCTTAAGGGACCTCACAAAAGGAAATAGTATCTTAATTATAATAAAATTAATAAATTTCTTAGAAGATGTATATTATGCATTGAAAATAATATGAGTCATAAGAAACTTTTCATTCAAAGTGTGTGTTCTCCCTGTGTTGTTTTATGTTAATAAGGCTAGTTTATCACAATGACAGAAAGGCATTGTCTAGACATACAGGGGGAATAAATAAACTTTTGTGTAGAGTACAATTTTTTTTTTTATAAAAATTTTTTATATTTTTTTTCCTTGAATAAAAAAGATGAACCTACTAGTAAGAGAGCTAGCAACGTCGGAAAAACAGGTATTTTAAGACGTCTGGATCTTTGATATATCTTTTACTTGTGCTTTTACTATGCTCTCTAGAACAGCATGTCTGGCTGCCGGTAAACGTTGCGTCACGTTGCGTTCCCTACTGCGCATTGAAAGAAGATCCTATATTTTTGTTAGTCCTTTCAATTCTAGTATTGAATATAAATCGAACATGTCTCCATAGAATAAAAATAAAAATAAATATATATTTGTTTTTTTTAATCACCAGAATTATTTAATACTTTACTATCAGAATATAAACGAAAATAAAATAAAAAAGTCTTTGCCCTGACCCGGATTCGAACTCTGAATCCTCGGTTCGTGGTCGGAACTCTACGCACTGCGCTATGGAGACATGTTCGATTTATATTCAATACTAGAATTTAAAGGACTAATAAAATATAGGATCTTCTTCCGATGCGCAGTAGTGAACGCAACGGGTATCGGCAGCCAGACGGGCCGCATGCTGTTCCAGAGAGCATAGTAAAAGATATATTAAAGAGCCAGACGTCTTAAAATACTTTCTCGAAAACGTTGCTAGCTTTTAGACTACACGAAAAACACTGTATATATACAGGGCGAGTCTGAAATAACTGAAAATATTTTAAGGGGCTGTATATTTCGACCCCAGGAACACGTCTATAAGATTTTCTTCGTAAAAAAATGGAATTTTAAAGTTAGTACTAGTTAAAAATCATAATATCTTAATAATATGGCAACATAGGTTATAAAATAAATTTAATTAACGCCCGAAATCCCAGAAAAAATCCAGTGATTCTCAAAATATACGAAAAAAAAATATTTTGTTTTATAATTTTTAAAGTAATAGATATAACTCGGTTATTTTGGACTTGTTTGAAAAACGGTAAAGAGAAAATATGTTTCTTTTATCGAGATCTACCAGCCCTGAAAATATTTACACATATTTAAGACTCATCCTGTATAGGTAATCTATCTTTTTTGTTTGAAATAATTACACGCCACCACTGTTCACGTCTCTCTTTGAAACTATCAGGTCTCATTGACCAACTACTAAGAAGGCAAATGATATAACGCTATAAAGTGGTATAATCGAAGCCACAAAGACATTTCCTCAAGCCATCGATTACGATTTTTCTTCGCCTTTCTTTTCCGAAACGAGTTTTAAATGCGACCAGCTCAAGAGAAATGGACACTTTTCTTCTATTTTGTAACTGAATCAGTAGGTTTATCAGCGCTACTTCTCATTACATAGCCGCATCGACTTTTCTAGACAACTACCGCAAAAAAATCAGCGGTTAGAGATGGGGTTATTATATCGATATCGATATAAGGAAAGGACATAAAGTGATGTGGTGAAAATAATAGAGACGTACATCTCTAATCGGGTGACTGAAGATAGGAGTTACGCACTGACACTGTTAACCATTTTATTTTTATTGCTCTGCAGAAAATCGGGGTCGATAAATGCAACATAATTTATTTTCGAAGAGATTACAGCACTAATTAGTTGCAGTGGGGAGTTTTCGAATGCATATGTACAGTATTTGTATTTTTTTAAATGGAACACCCTGTATATTATTGCATTTTTAGTTTCTACGATTAAAATAAAGGTAAATTTGATTAAGGTTTATTATACTTAAACCTTACGGTTTTTGAAATATTTTCAATTTTGTGAAATTCCAGTAAAAATTTTAAGGCTTCATTTCTACAAGGGTACCAAAGTTTTTAATACTAAATATTTACTGAAGTTTATTTATTGATCAGTTATTGTGTTGCAATACTAAAAATAATACTACCTTATACAGAGTGTCTAAAAATTTACTTTAAATAATTATTAGCTTCACACGGCAATAACTTGTTTAATTTAAATGGAACACCCTGTATATTTTACGAGAATCAGATGCACAATTTAATTTGCATTTTATCAAATTATATTATACCATTTTTACCTATCTCTTTAAGTTTCCGTAGAAAATGCATTTTCTTGTAATTTAGAATTTATTTATCAATATACACATGGAATATTGACATTTTAGATTATTTTTAAAGATGTACCAAATTTTTAAAGAGTACAGATACTAATATTGTGGATATAGTTCGTTTATTTCATTAAAAAATAAAAAAAAAACTATTTAAATATTTGTTAAAAAGGACCAATTAATATGATTCCAGTATTCAAACTACATTAACTGACTGCATTGATTAATAATAATTGTTCCAAATGCTAAAAAAACTGAATTTTGTATGAGTATTAGACAGTGTGATAAAAAGTAACACCTTAAAAATGATATTTCATTTTTTACTAAATGCTTATTTATAACAACAGAGACTTTAATTTTGATAACTTATTATTATATTGATTTCTGACTCAATTCCACATTTATATAGAATAATTTATTAACGAATACAATTAAGTATGTAATTAATTAGTATATGGGCGGAAATAATGGTGCTATATTTAATTAATGGTATACTCTTTTATAAAGATTTAAATAGTTTTCTTTTTGCATACAACATTATTGTTTTTAGCCAAACGATAATATTACTAGAATGTCAATATATGATGTCAATATTCCATAGGTGTCAATAATAAAATGTCAATATTCCATAGATATATTGATGAATGAGGTCTAAATTATAAGAAAATGCATTTACTACGAAAACTTGAAGGGATAGGTAAAAATGGTATAATACAATTTGATAGACAATTAAATTGTGCATCTGATTCTCCTAAAATATACAGGACGTTCCATTTAAATTAAACAAGTTATTGGCATTTGAAGCTAATCATTATTTAAAATAAATTTTTAGACACTCTGTATAAGGTAGTATTATTTTTATTATTGTAACACAATAACTGATCAATAAATAAACTTCAGTAAATATTTAGTATTAAAAACTTTGATACCCTTGGAGAAATGAAGCCTTAAAATTTTTACTGCAATTTCACAAAATTGAAAATATTTCAAAAACGGTAAGCTTTAAGTGTAATAAACCTTAATCAAATTTACCTTTATTTTAATCGTAGAAACTAAAAATGTAATAATATACAGGGTGTTCCATTTAAAAAAATACAACTTTGATATTTTTTACTTATTTGGGACACTCTGTATCTTGTAAATTATTTTTAAATTGTACCTCTAATAGTCCTTCATCGAACCCAAAACTTAAAATTTGTAAAAATATAATCGTTTAGCTACAATACTCCGTGTCGTATGTGGTGAACAACCCTGTATAAGCGTGATTTCGGGGTCGAAATAATATTAAAAAATTAATAAATTAGGTCTGATTAAGGATCTATTTCTACTACACTCAATCGACATTAGCGTACAGGACTGACGTGGTCGGTGCGAAAAGGCTACGTTCGGCGAGTTAAGTGAGTGGATGGCGCCAGGAAATAAGGCGCTGCGAAGAAAGAAGAGGGCAAAAAAACGAAGCGCATACGCTATTTCTAGTGGCTTCTGTGAAAAAAACGACGTCTCGTAACAGGTTCGACCAGTAGCAAGAAGTCTATTATCGTTGCGTAATGAAGTAGTTCTTCGCCAATTGAAGTCGTCCCGGCATTGTGTACCGGCGCAACCTCATTTATCAATCGCGGGGAAGCAGCGCCGATAGTAGGTACTCATGTACTTCGGTTCAATAGGACTTTGTTTATACGTAGGACATTATAGGACTGGATACAGAGAAGTATTAGACTGGACACTGTGATCTAATAGATCTATTGTGTCCCCCTTTCTTTAATAAGATAACTCATCATACAGTCTCGGGGCTTTGACAAAATGCAGTCTCTGAGACAGTTTTACAGAGGTTAGTTCTTCATCTCTGATATACAGGGTGTTGCTTAATGATATGCTAGTATTTAAGAAAAAAACTTCTTATGAATATCTACATAAATATATAAAATGCTAATGTTTATCTGTGTCGTCTCTACTGAAGTAACGACTTGCTCTAGAAAGTTGTTTTTTTTACTAAAAGATAGCTAATTGGCTCTTCTAAAAACTGTGGTCGCACAAGAGCAATCATCAAAAGTTTTAACACAAATAAAACAATAATGCCAAGATCTGTAATTCATTCTTTGGTTATACAACCTAAGGTTATAACAATACTTTTTATCTGACTATAACCGATCGACTTTTTCTTGGCTGTCTTTTCCCTAGTTTGTAAAATTTTACAAAATTTACCGCTCTATTCTTAGCCTCGTAGAATTTCCTCTCAAAATCATCATCTTGTCTCGGAAGAATACTCTGCCTTACAACTAACCTTTCAGGATATATGTCAGCCTGTTTCAGTAAAGTTTTCAAAATAATAATATCACCTTTCAGCTCTCTTAATTTCCGCAGAAGATCGAGCTTGAACATTGATAAATCAAAGGAGGACAAGTTAAATTTTAGATTAAATCCTGTAGGTTCATACTGAATGCTTTGATCTTTCTGAACCTTGTCGCGTACAGGTATAAAATGACCTAAAGGTAACACTAGATCTGATAAATTTGATGGGTGTTCTTGGTTTAAAATCGTAGATCTTTTTGAGTCTAGCACTGATAAAGATTTTGATCTTGAAACCATACAAATAACTTGATGATTTCTGTTATTATTAACTTCAATATTTTCTGAAGTTTGTATTGCATTAAATTCTTCATTATTCTTTATTGTTTTATTTTCTAATTCTTCACCTTCATTTTCAGGCTCACTAAATTCATCGTTTTCGTCCGTTTGAAACTACAAATTCTTATATTTGTACGAAATAATTCAGTTAAATTAAAAATACATACGTGTTGATAGATACAACAAAACAGTTTGCTAGTTAGGACATTTTTAAACAGGTTTTTGTATTTCTTTGTAATGTCTGGCATCGTGTACACTACCCATTTTAATTTTGAATATCTCTCTTATTCCATCTTAACTAAATAAAGTCATTCGGTGTTTGACAGTGACATTGTTCTAGTTGAAATATGTCTGGTTCAAAAAAGAAAAAGAAGTCAAATAAAGAGACCGAGGATGTTTCTGAGACTAAAACAGTAAATTACGATGAGCTGATAGCGCAAGATCCAAATTTTTATTTTAGTACTTCAAAGTTCTCGTTTCCAAACGGTGATAATTACGAAGGTGAATTTTGTGCTCACTCTAGTGGGTTGGTATGGAGGCAAGGAAAAGGTACAAGAAGAATAGGTACCCTTAGATTAAACTCGGAGAATATTTTTGTAACAATTAAATGAAAATTTCAAAGAAAGAACAGTATTTCTGTAATAATAATGTATCGTTACCAAAATAAAAATAAACACGCTGTATATTTATTATCATTATTAGGAACCTACATTACAAAAGATGGTCAGACTTATGAAGGATCATGGGATGGAGATAAGTTAGTAGAAAATACTGACGTGCATGTTACGTATTTAGATGGTTCTCAATATTTTGGGCCTCTATGTAAAAATAAGTATACAGGTATATTACAAATTGATTATTATTCCAAATAAATTTGTAAATATGGTATCGAAGTACCGTATGATCGAAAAAAAGTGTCCAGGTGGCTTGCAAATGACGATCAATGTCATTCCCCATATATAATTTGACATATAAAATGACAGCAATCTTCATTTTATAGCCATCGCTGACGCCGTTTTTTTTCTCGATAATATATTGTTATAATAAAAGTACAGGGTGTCCCAGAAATAAGTGCAAGTATTTTAAGGGATGGCAGATCTCGATAACAGAAACATATTTTCTCTTTATCGTTTTTCAAATCAGTCCAAAATAACGGAGTTATTTTACTTTGAAAATTTCCAAAAAAAAATATTTTTTGCTAAAATTTTGAGAGCCACTGGATCTTTTCTGGATTTTCTTTCTTGTTTAATCTACTACCTATGTTGCCATATTATCAAGAAATTATGCTAAAAAAATCCAAAACTAAAAAAAACAATCCAAAAAATTTGTGTTTCTGGGGTTGAACTACACTACCAGTTAAAATACTTGCACTTATTTCTGGGACACCCTGTATAATATATTCGAAAAAAGACGGCGTTAGCGATGGCTATGAAAAAAATGAAGATCGGATGATATGTTGTATGAACTGATAAAATTATATGCGGAATGACCAAGGGAATGACATTGATCGCGTCATTTTCAAAAATTTGTGGAAATTTGCGAAATCTGGCAAATCTATCTGTATTTATAATGTAGGTCCTGGAATTTACCAACTAGATGAAAAGGTTCAATTGATTACTAACTTCGTTGATAACAAACCCAGTGGTGAACTCACTCTTATCGATCCAAATCAAAAAGCTTGGACAGGTATACTAGATTAATACCTTATTTATCGTCCTTATTTTTACATATTTCTCCGTCTACAGGGTATTCAGATGAAAATGATGAAAGCCTTTTAATACCTGAACACGCGTTCTACAGTTGCCTGGGCAAAGATTTAGGTAAAGGCAGATCGAGAGAAAAACAAATTATCAAGAAAAAAAGCAGCACAACCAGCAAAGATAGCTTAACCAGTTCAAAAAAATCCGAACAATCAACCACCGATGTAAAATACAAAGACATACGCGAACTCGAACAGCAAATCTTCGCAAAATCCCAAAAAACACCCTTGGAAATAAACTGGGAAGACTCTGAATGGTACCAAGAATACAAAGAGTACAAGCTCAAATATTTGCCCGTCTATTGTAAGGTACTTAAATCCGGTAAAAGTTCCTTATCAGCCGAAGAGCTCGAATGGTACGATAAGTACAAGCAGTTCGAAGAGAGGTACGAGAAAGTTATGAACGACTTTAAAAATAAAGAGAAGAGAGAAGGTGGACCCTATAAAAGCAAATTGTTCGAAATTATTCATTCGCAATCCTACAAGAACGAGAATAAACCAATAAGCGTTTTTTATTCAAGAGTAGCTCCAGAAGATGGCTGATTATGGAGGGTTTTTGGTTGATATTAATTTATTTTTTAATAAAATTCTGTACGCCACTGAATAGAAGACAGGTATTCTTCTTTTATTTTTTAATTGGCCTTGACATAAATAATGTATATCTGCCAGGGCTAACCGACTGATTCTTGACATAAATGGTCTGATACATTAAAACTAACAAACAGCAGAGAAGAAGAATTGTATATGATTTTTTTTATTCTTAATTTTTTTAAAAGAAGAATTACGTCTCTTAAGGCCATTAAAATAAAAAAGAATTTCAATGGTTAAGTTTCATTTAATGTCAAACAAATGTTGAGAATTTTGTAAAATGTAAATATTTTTATTGTATATTTTTACAATGAATTTGGGAACAAACAATCAATATAGAAATGGACTTATTTTTGCCGGATTTAACCAGGATCAAGGTAAATTTGAAATATCTAAACATATTTTTTGTTTTTTATTTACTATTTTTTGTACGGCATTTTTTAAACATCGTTAGGTTGTTTTGCTTGTGCTACAAACACCGGATTCCGCGTATACAACTGTGAACCGTTAAAAGAAAAAGTTCGTCAAGATTTTGATGATGGAGGTCTAAGTTATGTGGAAATGCTGTTTCGTTGTAACTATCTAGCTCTTGTTGGCGGCGGTGATAAACCTTTATATCCACCAAATAGGGTAAGAATCCTAAAATATTATTATTAAACTGTAGTAAATGGTTTTATGAGACTTTTGTCTTAGGTTATGATATGGGATGACCTCCGTAAAGCTACTCCAATATATTTAGAATTCAATGACAAAGTTCTTGGAGTGAGATTACGCAGAGATCGCATCGTCGTTATTTTAGATGGAGTAATAAAAGTGTACACTTTCACACAAACCCCCACTCAAATTCACGTTTTCGAAACTTGCTCAAATCCTAAAGGACTGTGTATGCTGTGTCCAAACAGTAATAATTCACTGTTAGCATTTCCTGGGCGTAAAACTGGATATGTTCAAGTAAAAACATTATTTTTATTAAGTAAAAATCTTGCTTAGTAATGTTCTTATATAGTTAATAGATCTGGCCAATACAGAAAAAGCACCTTTGGATATAGCAGCACACGAAGCAAATATAAGTTGTATCACTTTAAATTTACAAGGTACAAGGCTTGCTACAGCTAGTGAGAAAGGAACACTGATAAGAGTGTTTGATACAACAAACGGTGAAAAAATTCATGAACTTAGAAGAGGCGCAAATCAGGTATAAATTATAACTTAAATCTTGTAATTTGTACTATACAATTTTTTTATAAGGCCATAATCTATTGCATCAACTTTAACCATTCATCAACTCTGCTTTGTGTATCATCCGATCATGGAACAATACACATATTTGCCCTTGACGATCAAAAACTAAACAGACAATCCAGCCTGGCAAACACGATGTTTTTGCCAAAATATTTTTCATCAACTTGGTCTTTTTGTAAGTTCACTGTCCCTAATGGACCACCATGCATTTGTGCTTTTGGACAGGACAACAGCTCTATAATAGGTAGAATATTGTTTTGTTTGAACATTTCATTTCATTCACTATATTTTCTTTGTTGTTATAGTTGTCTGTGCTGATGGTTCATATTATAAATTCGTCTTTAACTTAAAAGGAGAGTGTGTCCGTGAGCAAAGTGCACAATTCCTTGAACTAACTGATGACACATTATAATAATAAACCTAGGAACTAATGAAAGTCTTTCTAGTTGTGATTTTACTTGGATAAATAAACTTTTTTTGCCTTAAATGTGTAAATTTAAGCTATCTAACTTGGCTAGTTATGTCCTTTGGAGGTAAATTAAGAAAGAAATAGACTGATTTTATGTTATATTTTTAAATTTACAAAAGCAAAATATTTAAAGGTTATTCAGTTTCAATTAATTATATATGTTTATATATGAAGAACTAAAACTATGCATAATTTCTGTTTGTCATAGGAACACTGTGAATTAATTATGTACAATAAGTACAAAAATGTTAGTGTCTAGGTAAAAAAATACTCTTTATTGTAATATGGTCAATATGTCACCTTGCAAAAAATATAAAATAAATAGATATTTTACATTAACTTTTTTATTGTTTTCTTGATAATACTTATAATATAAACCCATTTATACGTTCAAGTTTGATATTGCAATTCTTTCCAAGTCGTCTAGGCTCAAATTATCCACTTTATTTTGAAAATTTCGCAAGAATTCATCCACTATAATTTTACACTGTTCCTCTGAATAGTATCTTCTTAAAAACTTGCCTAAACTGCTTTGGAGATTCTCCGGTTTCTTAATTACGATATATATTTTCGTACCCTCTTTGATTTTGGGATAATCACCCACTTTTTTGCCATCTTGCAGAGGTGATCCTAACAGCACCAAAGTTTGTTGTGATATGGGTATTTTAAGGTCTTTTTCTACTTTATTCTTAATTTCGGCAATTGGGGTGGTTTCGTCAACCTCTATAACAGTACTTCCGCCTTTTAGGCACTTAATTATTATTTGCATTATAATAAAAAAAAGTAATTACGTTTTAAAAAATGATTTTTAATTTATTGACAAACAAATTTTGGTTAATTTTAATTAGATATAATGATTTACCGGCTACAGCTACCAGGGCTATCCGGCCAGTTAATAGTTTAATCAAGCTACCGTCGTGCATTTATATATGACAGACATGTGATGTAACTTCAAATAAAGATAAGAAGAAAATTCTGTCATCATATGTCATATACTTGAAAAAAATAAAAAATTCTTTATAAATAATTTTTTGTTATACAAAATGTCAAAAATCTACTTAAAAGAAACAGATATGGAAACTTACACAATTTTTATTAATGTATTATTACTATAAATGAGAAAAACGCAAACCGTTTTATTTTTTTAACTTGGCCGTAATGTATCTCCAGAATCGATTAGTCAGATTTAAAATACAAACATTTAAAATTGACTGTATTAGGTATGTGAAAAGTTTTTTAAAATATTCTGATTCTAAAGAGCTACTCTAATAGAAACTGTTAGGTAAGTTTTATAGGTCAATAGTGCGAAAATCTATAAGTTTAATTTTAGAAAAATCAATAAATCATATCAGCTGCTGCCAGAGAAAAAATGAGCCAAGACCGTGTTAAGCCTAAACATAAAGGTTTTGCAAGTTTTCTGTTGCCTAATAAGCCTCCCAATAAAGTAGGAGTTACCGTAAATAGGACTCAAAGCGCGAAGGAACCTAGCTTAAAAAACTTGACACATTCCGAAGCAAATAGTTCAATTAAAATTTCCAAAAGACCTTTAAGTTTCGACACTAAAAATGGATCGGTCATGAATAATGACTTGCTGGCCCCAGTAAGTGATATTTTTGAGTTTTTTCTTTATTTATTTTTATATGAAAATAAATATGTTTTAGCCTACTAGTATTTTGAAGAGGGAAAACAGTTTATCAGACAGTCACTTGTTTTCTGAAGATATTGAGAATTCAAATTTAGATAAACCTTTAGAAAAATATGGTTCTCATGAGAGTGTTCTAAAAGAAAGAAAGTATTTTCTTATAGATATTATAGTTAAGTTTAATTATATTTTTTATGTTTATCTAGATGTTAGCACTTTACATCCTATTCCTACAATAAAAGCTAGAGAAAGGAACTTTCTGCATGGAAAAATTGGTGCAAATTCTCTTCTAGGATCCCCTGAGTTGGATAGAATTTGTCCAAACAGGGAAATAACTATATTTGTGGGAACATGGAACATGAATGGGCATTCTCCACCTAAGTAACTATTATTGATAATTAGGAAAATCAATAAAAGTTGGAGTGAATGTCATCAAAATATAAACAAATTCACAGCGCAATGTTTAATTTTTTATTTGACTTTTGATAAAATTGACACTTGTCATTGAAATAAAAACATATACAATTTTTCTATATATATCTACTTTTTTACTTTGTTGTTGTTTTACTTTGTCTTTGATGGCCAGCACACCAACTTTAATAGATATCCTGATATTTCTTTTATTCTTTGTTAAATATTGAAGAATTCTTGTAGGGAATTGAATGACTTTGTTCTGCCTATCGGAATAAAACATGTTCCGGACATATTAAGTTTTGGAACTCAAGAGTCCTGTTCAGAGAAATTTGAATGGGAGGTGTCTTTACAGGAAACTATCGGACCATCACATATACTCTATCATTCTACCAGTTTAGGTAAAAATAACAAGAACCTCTATTATACCATATGATCGAAAGAAAAAACGGCGTCAAAGACGGCGCGGAATGACAATCTATGCTAATTTTGGCGATGTCATATAATAAAAATTGATTAAAGTATGTCAAAAATTAACACTAATTATACATAATTTTCTTACTGGTAGTGAGCGCCATTATAAAATAAAGAAGTGTACGGGCTAAGTAAATGACCTCTAAGGCTTGACCTTCAAACCTAACCCAGCCGTCTGTGACGCCGTTTTTTTTTCCTTTATCATACATTATTAATTTCATTAAAAATATTTTAGGAACTCTACATCTGTGTATTTTTATTCGGCGCGACTTGATATGGTACATTTCCGTGCCGGAAGATGCCAGTTTATCTGTCAGACCGGGCAGCGCATTTCGCACCAAAGGCGCCGTTGCCAGTTCTTTTATGATTTTCGGAACTTCGTTTTTGTTTGTAACTGCGCATTTGACGGCGCATCAGGAAAAAGTCAAGGAACGCGTCAGCGATGTAAAGAGAATAGTTAATTCCTTGGATTTGCCCAGAGTTCTTCCATGCAAAAATAAAAACAAAGGTAATATATTTTTTTGTATTATAATTTTATTGCAAAACTGGGACTTGATTCTAACTCATTACTTTGCAATATTTATTTTTATAACCATAATACTTTGGATAACTCTTGTTAGAATCAAAACCAGTGTGCTTATTTGTTGATTTATTATACATATGTATTTATATATTGTATTATAATATACTGTTGATAAGGTATAAGAATTAATGTTGATTATTTGAATTTTTTGGCTTCCAACTTTTCTTTAAAGTGTCAGTCCTCTGGATGTTCTTCTTTTAGCTGTGAGTAAGTAAAAAAAATTGGTTTGTTTTGGATTTTATCCCATTTTTGGTTTTCCATCACCATATTTCACTTGTAAATAATATTCACTACCTTAATCAGGCATTTTACAATATTACAGCACTTGGTGATGAAGCACTTGTCCATTATTGCTTGTTTTTAATATATTTTTTTATATTTTCTATCTGGGTATTTCTTAATATGACGTTGGGTATATTTCATGTGTTATAATATGCAACTAACATTACGCTTGGTCCTAAAGAATGGCTAGCTTAATTTCAACCCTAAATATAGTTGACATAAGGTCGAGAATAGATCAGGACTCGGTGTATTATTGCTGTACAATGCCGTTTAGTGAAAAACTAGTGGTAAGGTCTTGTACAAACATTTACGCAGGGAGTCCATCAGTAAATGAGTCCCTTAATATATTATGTTTTATTATTACATTATTCTTTTCTTTGTTAAAGAGGGATTGCCATTAAAACATGTTAAAATACTACCATTTTTTGTCATCATATGTATATAAAATTTTTGTGTTGATTTGTCCTTAATATTTTTTACTTGATCATTTACTTATCATTGGTTGTAAATATTTTTTGTGGGTCTGTCAAGGATTTGACATTAATCAAATATTAATTTTGTATGTTTTCTGTTTCAGATTTTCGCGAGATTGTGGACAATAATGGATCAGTTACAACGTTTGTATGTATAGTGTTATTTAGTTTTCTAACTTTCAACTCAACATATTGAAAGAAAACTGTTTTTATTAATAAAAAAATACGTATGTATAATAAATTCAACCACGCCTTTAACAAAAAACATTTGTTGCTACTTTTTCTTGGTTACTTGACGACGTTTTTTTATAGACGTGACTCAAAATTTCGACTACGTTTTCTGGTCAGGAGATTTGAATTTTCGTCTGGCCACGCCCAGAAGCAAAGTGTTGGAGTGGCTGTCAAACACTAGTTTCCCCCTACCGTCGCATCTACCTCATGGATACATGCACTATGACCAATTGTGCACTGTTTTAGCCGATGGTGCTGCATTTAGGGGATTTTCAGAAGCCAAGATAACTTTTCCACCAACTTATAAGGTATTTAAGAAAAAACATAAACACATATACAGTCCTGGACACTTTGTCTCCCTGGTCTGTGATTTTAATGCATGTGACAGAGATAAATATAAATGAGCGGTTGACAGACAGAGAAATAAAAAGCGGCATACAGTGTTGCCGGTTTTTATGGGTGTAGGCAGCGATATATGTAAGAGAACACTTCGCATTTTTCTCTCTCCGACTTACAAGAACGCCATAGCGATTCACTTTTAGACATGTAGATAAACGCTGACCCAAGAGCCTTCCCTGATTGATCCAGAATAAGCATATTATTATCTTAGTCTTAAATAAATTTGAAAAAAATTAGGTACTTATTTTAAAAACTTTCATGTACACTACTGAACTGAAGATAATATACAGGGTGTTTCAGAAAACATGTCTCATCTCTGGTGGGGAGATTCCTCCAAGATTTCGGCCTCCTTAATGAGATAAACGCAATTTTATTCATTTGCCTTGATCCAAGTCTAATAGCAACCTTTAAAAAATATATTATCATTAACTTGAGAAAGTTTTAAATAAGTACTCATTGTTTTCTCATCAAAAAATATGAAAAAAAGTTCCTATAAACACGGTTTATATTGGACTAATATTAATAATAACTAATAGTAATAATATTTCGTAATAAATTTTTTAGTCTATAATCATCTGGCTGATGATGCTAACATGGTTAGTGAAACGCGCGTCCAGTGTAAACGTAAAAGTGTTTTGGTGTATTGTGGTGATTTAGTGTAATTTTATTTTGCTGTGTAACACCAAAGGTTCCAAACCTCAACTGTAATAATAAATTAGGTAAAATAATTAACTTATTAATTTCACTTTTATTTTAATTTCATTAACTGTGATTAATAAAATTGCGTTTATCTCATCAAGGAGGTCGAATTCGACAAAATATCAAGAGATCACTTTTAATTGGCATTAAACGTCCTAGACAATTTTGATATCAAAAGAAAAAAGTCAGTGGCGCACATGTTTTTTTTTTGAAAAATATTCCAGTGATAATCCATATGCACGTGCCTGATAAATTTATCGACACTTTTTTGGCATTAAAATATGTAGCACTTATAGTAATTTTTACCCTCAAAATTGCATTCAAATCACTAAAAGTAGCAACGAAACAAAACAGAATCGGACGAATCTCCCCACGAGAGATGGCACGTTTTCTGAAACACCCTGTATATCAAAGCTAAATATAATTCTATTCTACAGCTGTAGTAAGTAACAGCTATAGTAAGTATTAACAGCTGTAGTAAAATGAGTAACTAATTGTGAAAAATAAAGTTCCAACCCTAGATGCAACATTTTTCGTAAATGCCTACTTGTGCGGTTTGAAATTTTTAACCAAAATCCGGCAATACCGCATAGAAGAAATGTATCAACCAAACTTTTATCTCTTTTTAATACATTTGAGTATCTATTATACATCACCGTTTTACATGTTAAAATTCAGACCACACTTTTGTGATAATCTATTTTCATTTTTTAGTAATTAATTTGGTAATAGCCTTGGGGTAATAGTTTCAACATCTTTGATACAACAAGGTGCAACTTTTATTGATTTTTCTATAGAGAATGTTCTCTTCTTCCTTCCAGTATGATCCAGGCACTCAAAACTTTGATTCCTCATCCAAACAAAGAACACCAGCCTATACGGACCGGATCCTCTACAAGCAAAAGAACGCCAGAAGGCTTAGCGGAGCCCTAGAAAATCCACCTTTACAATGTTTGGTGTACGATTCAGTTCCGAGCATAACCAGTTCAGATCACAAGCCGGTTTGGGGCGTTTTCAAGGTCCATTTGAGACCGGGACTTGACACGTAAGTAATACCGTGTAAAATCGAGGAAAAAAAACGGCGTCATGGTGGTCTTCGAAATAATAATTGCGGGCTACTGTGACGGCGTTTTTTTTTAAATTTACGTTTTTTTTTAGAATACCATTGGCAGCGGGAATGTTTAATAGGGAAGTGTACTTGGAGGGTTTGAAAAGAAGGGCTGAAACCTTGAGTAAGAGAAAGGAGGCGAGCACTGTTTGCTCTCTGCAATAATCTAGACAATCAAAAAACTTCACTTTCAATCAAAAAATCGCCGCGTTCCTAAGTATCTCCCTTATTTAGAACAATAGGCAAGAAAATAAGTGGATTTTTGTCATTTATTTATATTGTGAGAGTATGATTTTATAAAAAAACAATTTTACTTGTGTAATCTATGAGATTTTGACGCTTCATTAGTGACACCTAGTGACATAACAGGAAACTGTCATTCTGTCAACTGTTTCTTATACTATATTAAAAATATATTAAGTTTTTTTACTTTCTACTCTATCAAGATCAAACACGCCTATGAGTTAATTTTTTTACACTTTCCTGTGCATTTTACAAAACTTTTTAGAACTGCAGAACTCTTTACTAAGAGCATGCAATGTTGTCACTTCATACTGTCCCTTATATTCTATGAGATTTTGACAGCTTAAAAATGACAATAAATATACAAGGTATCTTAAAAAATAAGTGCAAATATTTTCAGGGCTGGTAGATCTCGATAAAAGAAACACATTTTCTGTTTACCATTTTTAGAATAAATTGAAAATGACCGAGTTATTTAACTTTGAAAATTTAAATAATTAATGCCGACATTTTGAGAACCGCCTACATTAAGCTTATTGGATGCCCTGTGTTGCCACATGTATAAGAAAGTATACACTTGACTGAAAAAATTTCTAATATGGCGAATATGCAATAATAATTGCTTTATTCTTTAAGTTCAGTTGAAAATAATTGTAAAAATGTATTAGAGCATATTAAAAAATATGTACAATGCGTTTTTCTAGAATTATTAATAATTTATTAATTATAATTAAAATAGTTTTCATAATTTGTTATGTAGAAAATTAAAATTACTGTGATGGTTATAAACGCAAAAATATGCAGAATGTGTTTAACGTAAGAGGTGGCAACGTTGCAGGGTATCGATAATACCGTCAAGAAGTTTCAGGAAAATAAACCTGCGGCACTAAAAAGTTTTTTAATTATATATCCTGGAAAATGTTAAGAAAATATAATATATTCAACAATTTTTTTTGCTGTAAAAACCTCATAGGCCTTGAATACCTGCACTTATCGGAGAGAAACCCTGTATAACATTTATATTTTTTATCATTTCATATGGTAAATGAAAAATATTTAAGTTTTTTCATTTTTTTGCTGATAGTTTATACAATGTCTTTCATAAATAAGTGTAAATATTTCGAGCAATATTTTTTTTTCGCGAAAAAATAACAATCCGGTGGCTCTCAAAATGTGAACTGAACGTTTTAAAAGTAAATTTAACCAAACCAGTCCATTTATTTTCCTTGTCTCGATTTAGAGCTAACTAAAAACTGTGATTAACGGGAAAATATAGCGCACTTCCTCCTTCTAGTCAATCATTTATATAAAATAATTAATAAACTCCATAAACCGACCAAAGATTGTTAAAAATACTATTATATTTATCGTTTTAAGATAACGTACCGTATTAGAAAAAATCAAAAGAAATAAAAACCTTATTTTAGCAAACTGTTTTTTTATTTATTTACAAGCTTAGACGAAACAACAAGATGGATAATATAATAAATATAATCTAATATTAATAATTAAAACGTAAAAAATGTCAAACGCTATATTAAAATATGTTAATATAATATCCTTAGACCCTAGAAAAAAAAACATATCTAAATATATATAAAAAGCATTAAAATTTAATTGTTATTTAGATAAAACTGTATACTATTCCTTTTATGATATAAAAATATACAAAAAGAAAATTATAAACATTTCTTTTATCTATCTTTATATAAGATAGCGAAATAGTAATACTAGGCTTATATAGAAATATATTTAATATAGGTATAACTGAAATGAAAAAATAATTAAAAAAAGAGTATAATGCTAGATTTACATTTTGAAAAAATGTACAGATAAGTTTGGGCTAGCTAATATTTTTGAGGAAAAATTACATATACCTTAAATATTCCCAAATCTCAAAAATACACTACATGATATACAGGGTGTGACAAAAAACCGCAACAAGTTCGAAGTTCAACAATAAAAAAAAAGTTTTTTCCAACTGTTTGGCGTACCTTGTATAAAGCCACTAAGCTACCTTACGTCACAAATAATGTAACTTTTATATTTAAAACAATATTAAAGGCACTTTGGTGATATATGTTACAAAATACAGCAAAAAAGGGAGGAACGCTACAAAAAAGGACAAATAACTACAATAAAAAGATTAGATATAAGTGAAACTATACAGGGTGGCCCACTAGTGTGTGGGAGTGCAATATCAGTATATAATATTGTTGACAAAGAAATGAAAAAAAACAAGGTTTATATAAATGTTGTACCTCATGATTTTTATCTTATATTTTACTATTGAAAAAGCCATATGCAAAATAAAAACTGAAAAAAATTTAGGTACAAAAAAATGCTCGTTTTCTAATTCTGCATCTAAATAAAAAATAATATACAGTGGGTTGCATTTAAAAAAATTGAAATATAGCATTATAAATATTGCAATGTCGGCCACGCTATAAAAATACCCTGTATAATATAACGAGAGTTGCCCTGTTATCCTTGATATTTAAGAAAATATAGCTAAATATTAATAAAGTTAATTTTCATTTCCTGGTTTCTACAATTTTTCGGATATACTGTTTTTATCCAAGATTTTAGTAAATAAGAAATAGTATGGCAACACTGTATAGTACTTATGGTTTTATGTTCCGTTTCTATCTGTTTCCTGAAAGTTTTCTTATTACGGAAGACGGTTTACCGTAGTTTACCGGTCCGGAATAAACAACTGAATACTGCCTTAGACATAAACCATTGACAGAGTGAGGTTAGAATTCTATTGACTGTTAAGTTCCTCCCCTCCTCACTTGCAGCATTTTGTAACTTAAGTTATCTAACATATTTACTGGGTTTTTGTCCAATCAAAGCCACAGATCTACACTAATACTCGGTGCCGCGCCTCCATATGCCTCGTGAAGCTCCTGCGATGTTTCGTTTCGAAGTAGCAATGGTTGCATTCGAAATACTCCACGTTTTGCTTGGTCATGTGGACCAAAACGTGCCTGGCTATGTTGACCTTGCGGAAGGTGCTGTAATCGCAGCTCGCGCAAAAGAACTGTTTGCCGGTGTTGGGTTTTGTTGTCGTTGAGGGATTCTTGACACTGAAAAAAGTAAAATTTACGAATTTTTTTAAGCAGATTAACTAAGAGTGGCTCGTGCTATAACCAGTTCATAGAGATACAATTTTCCGAATAGTAAATACCGAGATACGAATTTTTCTTTCTAATAAGGAAAAAATAGAAAAATGAAAGGCGGAGGATCTTCCTATTAAAATAAGAGCTCATACTTGGAGAGAATTTTTTTGAGGTCTAACCCAAGGATACTATAGAGATAAGGATAGTTCGATTCCTATCTTCCTGCACTGTCAGTTTTTTTACGTCATCTGGGGACCGAGTTGAAGTTGGCGCTAAAGATTTTAGACAGTGACAGTTATTTTTGCATTTGACGGACGAGCGCACAGTGCGTTGGAAGATAAATTTAGCAGGACAAAAGGGTTTGGTTAGAAATAAGCCAAAAAAGTGTACTGTAAGAATAAATAGTAGACATTCCAATTGATATAAAAATGCATGAATATTCTTTGTATTTCGATACATTTTTATCAACCAAATTTGATAAAAATCAAGCTCAAATCAGCAAGGCAGAGATCATACGAAAACAAAATATTTACAAGTGCTTATACATTTTATTCCAAAGCCAAATTATGTTGAAGATTGCCAAAGGTATGTACTTTTCTACTTGGACACCGATGCATACAGGGTGTTCAAAAAATATATTTAATATTAAATAAACTTAAATTTTATTATAATTTATCTACTTATTTGATAAATAAAAATATTATTCTGATTGAGGTTTTTTTTAACTTGTGTTAGTTATCTGCTTTTAGATACATTCTATATCAATAATTGTTTGGCATATGCAGAATGTACAAAGCTTTTTGTACCATTTAGGGCCATACGTATGACTAAAAATGCATATTTTTCGAAAAAAACGTCGTATTTTCCTTAAAACAAGAAAAAAATGAAAAACCGATCAAATTGTTTTTTCTAATTTCAATACAGATTCGTCGTACTTGGTAAAAATAAATTGTAAATTTGCGGTAAAAAAGATTCTTGATCAAATTTTCACACTCTTATAAAACACCCTGTATACGAGAATTCGCTAAATATATTTTCGAAAACCACATCAGCATCTTCATCACAATAGATTCATGTAAAACCTAGTCCAAACCGCATCCCAAAATCTTTTTTAGTTCAAGAGATATTCAACTTTAAATTTACCGTAAAATTTTGCTTGTCCCAATAATTATGTCCGGCAATTTATTTGACGAAATTGTCCACAAGTACTAGTTAAACGCTTTTCTTCACTTACGCACATACGCCAGAAAGAAATCTAACAACTAGCCTGTTTGTTTCACTTATTTTTAATGGCTAAGCCGTAAGGGGAATCCCCCGGGTTCCGAGCGTCGACGCATCGGCCCGGAACGAAGCGGTTTGATCTTAATTGAGATCGATTCGGTTACCCAGTAGTAATGTTTGGTAATGTGTTGATCCCGCGGATCCCGCACAGTAAATCCCGCAACTTTGATCCCGCGGAATCTTAGAGGGATCCCGTATTTGCGGGATTGCATTCCCTACCCCCCAAACATTCTACATTCTAAGACTTACTGAGGAGGATGCTTCTTATTTTTGTGATTGGCCAAACTCCTCTTGTGTATCGTCCGGTAGGGACACATATCACATAACAGCAGTTCTACTTCCGGTTCTTCCTGCTTGATCATAATCGATTCCGTGTCGTGCTTGATGTCCATGTGCCTCTGCAACATCTCCTCCGACTTGGTGCTGTACGAGCACCGCTGGCACCTGAACATCGGCACCTCCGGGTTCTTGATGGGGACGTCTTGGTTGTGATCGATCACGTGATCGGGCATCACCGCCTCCTCCACCGACTGGAAGTGGCACTGGAAGCACTCGAAGTACTCGTCGGACGTATCCTTGTTCATGACGCAACAGTAGAACATGTTGGCCACGTCTTTGTCGTCGTGTTGGAGTAACACGTGGTTCATCATGGGGTGCTTCCGTTTGCTGGTGAACGCGTCGCAAAAGATGCATCCGAAGATGAGTTGGCTGCTGATGTGAGTAGTCATCTAAAATAAAGTTTATTATACATACAGGGTGGCCCATTGAAAACGTTCCGCAAGGCATAACGGCCATTCACCCACCGGTGAATGGCCGTTAACCCACGGCAAATTCACGTCACATTGACATTTTTCATTATTTTATTCGCATTTGACTATTAGATACCGGCGAAATTGCGATGCTGTCAATATGTGCTCAACGCGTATCCAGAAAACGATTCGCACGGCAACGAGAATACCAAAATCGACTGCTTTGCGTTCCGCTAATCGCATGCTTTTGCTCACCGCTTTGAAAGCGTAACGTTTTTATGTCAAAGTTACAGAATTCGGGCCCAGGTTCGTTGCGACCTGGTCGTCAGTGAGTTAGAGCCCTTATAGAAACACGTTTTGATGATTAGGACTTAAAAAATTAAATTTTATTTTCACGTCGTTTTTTTTATTTTCGATAAAACCGAATGGAGATTTGGAAAAGTATAAACGGAATTATTCATTATAGAACAAGCAAAAAATTTTATGAAGATATGATTATTTTTCTCAAAATGCCAGTAATAAAAATGTTTCTCCTCTTGTAAAGACAATTCGGGGACATACTGTATATTTTTTATGATTTAATTACATATGTATAGCTAAATCTATAAATTTTGATTCCCCTGAGTGTCCAAATATGCGTTTTTTGCTAGAAGTTACGGAACCCTAAAAATGAGGCCAAATTTCACCCAAAAACTTATTCTATATATTACCTACCATATGCTGAGTGAATAACTCTTCAACCGATGTTCTAAATTGACACTGACTACACTGATATTCAGAGAAATTGCCTAGAACGTTGTGTATGTATTTGTGTTGGATAAGAGATAATTTCGAAGTAGTTTTAAACGAGCAACAAGGGCACTGGTGGTACACCACTTTCTTCTTTAGTTTATTCTTTTTTAGCTCTGATGAAGGTTTCCTAAACAAAAAGAAAATGTGACACACTCATACCATTTTAAAAAAAGTAATAGACATGTTCACTAATTTCTAATTTCAATGGATTTCGATAGCTACATATGAGTAAAAAAAACATGGCATTAAAAAGTATAATTTTCTCATATGAACGCAAAACAAAATTGAGAAATGCAGCAAGGCTAGAAAACGTACCCGGCTTGAGGCTACCTGTTTTTGACGTCACTGCTTTGATCGATCGATGGGGTCCGTACGATCGTGCACTTGCCTCATTGTTTTTACAGACGTTCGCGAAGATGTATTGTTTATTTTCATTGTTTTGGTGTTTTGAAGAAGTAAAATGAGTTCAAATAAGTGGTGTTTTGTCCCTGAGTGTATGAATACTTCAAAAAATAATCCACAGAAGTTTAAATCGTTGCTTTGCGCCCCTTGATTTTAATTCTTATTTTCTACTTTAAGTGCATTTAATTTTAAGCTTGTTTTTAAAAAGTTTTTTTATCAATTTTTTCACTTGTAAATTTTTCGCTTAATATGGGTTCTATAGGGTGTTCAATTTAAAATGAGGTACATGGGGATCTCTCTTGGAAACCGTTGAAGATAGAAAGTCGGTTAAATGGAAGCAAAGTTGCGTATTTGTGTGCCCAAAAATAATCTATGTCTATTTTATTTTAAATCCATATCGTTACGTAGATACAAGGTGAAAAAGAAAAAATGAACATTTTCGAAAAACCACCATATTTTCTTTATTATTGGAGCTAAGATAATCAAAATTTCAATATATGGGCAAGGCAACATGGCAATTTTAAAAATGATATCAAGAAAAACCTAGGCCTTCTATGTTGCGCACGGCCGAGGTCAGCTTTTATTTTTCTTATGAGCGCCATATTTAAATTTGGCATTTTAAAAATCCTTCTTAAAAATGTTTTCAACCATGTATTTCAATATGGCGCCCATAGGAAAAGCAAAAGTGCACTTCGGCCATGCGCAACGTAGTAAGCCTAGACTTTTTTAAACTTGATTTTTAAAATTTCCATATTGCCTTACCCCTATGTAAAAATTTTGATGACTTTAGCTCCAATAATAAAGAAAATATGGTGGTGTTTAGAAAATGCACATTTTTCTTTTTCTCCCTGTATTTACGTAACGGTATATGGAATATTAAATGAAATAGACCTAGATTATTTTTGGACACACAAAAACGCAACTTTTCTTCTATTTAACCGATCTTGTAACTTTAACGGTCTTCAAGATCCCCATTATTCCCCATGCAGGTACCTCATTTTCAACTGGACACCCTGTATACGTGTGCGAATTTTCAGGTCAATACAATTAAAATTTAAGATTTGGCTCCTTCTCCTTAATACGGCCCTATATCAGATCAATAATACGATAATTTTACAGCTTTGTCTTAGCTTCTATATACGCATGCAAATTTTCAGTTTAAAATGATAATTAAAATTTAAAATTTGGTCCCCTCCTCCTAAATACTAGCTCAAAAACTCAATAATTTTGTATTGTCAAAAACCAAGTGTTGTTTGTTATCGCTTTCAAGTAAACCCGTCCTCCATCTCACTAAGTAGCTTTGTTTTTAAACTAGTAATAAACTCCAAATATTAATCACAATAAATCAAATTTAACATACAAACTACATCCGAGCACAACGCGATATGTCGTATTCAGCGTGCAGACAGCACCGTTTACTCGCGCGGAACTACCGATCGAAGCAGTGACGTCAGGCCGCGTTTAGCGGATTCAAACGATTACCATAATTTCGCACGGATTTTTGAGGCATAAGCCTTTTACGGAATGTTATGAAACTTTGCATACCGAGTTTTAATGTCATAATGAATGATTTTATGAGAAGTAGGCACGTTTTAATTTTTTTGTGAACATTTCTATTCAAAATGAACTTACCGTTTTGGGCCCCTTTTTTTCGGTACTTTTACTGCGGGCTTCGCTTCCGGAGACGATTCTTGTTGCTCTTCCGTATCGGTAACCTTCCCCGTCAATTTCTGCCAAGTCTTGTCCAATTCAGCCCTATTAACAACTGTCTTTTTCTTCCTTCGGATTATAGTAACGTCAAAAGGTTTAGCCTCATTTTTTACTTCCTTTTGAGTATCGATTTTATCGAAATCGGAAACTTCATTTATCATAATTACTTCTTCATTTTCGTTAGGCTGTATAACATTATCCGATTCTGGAGATATTTCAGACTGTGATGTTTCCAGAACATCAAGAATTTGTACGATAGGAGCTTCATTGTTGGCGGTTTCAGTTCTTTGTTGTTTTGGAGCAGTAACTTCAGGTTTTGATTCTTCCTTATCTTTTTCTTCGGTGACTTTCTCAGGGGTTTCAGTATTTTCTGGCAAGGGTATTTTTCTTTTTCTTCCTCTTTTTTTAGGTACTTTTGGAACTTCTTCTTGTTGAGCAGTACTTTCAGGAATCTCTTTATCAACACTCTGAACTTTGTCATCACTTTCCTGCAGAGGTATCTTCCTTTTTCTTCCTCTTTTACCCTTAGTAACTACTTTTTGAGCTGTAATTTCAATATTTTTTTCTTCACACTCATATTCTTTCTTCTCTTCACTCACATTCTCAACCCTCTCCATATTTTCTGGGAGGGGATACTTCCTTGGTCTCCCTCTTTTGCCTTTTTTAGGAACCTCAACAACTTTGTCGATATTTTCTGGCAAAGGATACTTCCTTGGCCTTCCTCTTTTACCCTTAGTAACTGGTTTTTGTGCTGTTGTCAAAGGAGTAGCCGAAGATTCTTCTTGCAGGGGTATCTTCCTTTTTCTTCCTCTCTTGCCTTTAACAACATCTTTTTGAACCACTGCTTCCTGTACTTTTTCATGTTGTAATTCAATTTTTGGAGAAACATCTTCTTTTTGAACGATTATTTTACTTACTTTTTGTTCTAGGTCTTCCTCTGATTTTTTTACAACAATCTGGTGATGAATACGAATATTACCAGTATTATGTGATTTTTCAGTCTGTTTTTCACCAACTTCTACCGCATTATTTAGATTAATTTTATCCTGAATATTTTTAGATAACTCGTCGATATTCAATTCAATCTCAACCTCATCAACACTCTCTTCTAAAACCTCTGATTTATCAGAACCACAGTCATCTACATCATCTGATTTAAGATCTAGGATTGTGTTACTGGGTTTAATTTGAAAATTCATAATAATAACTGCGTTATCTTTACCGCTGGTTTTACCAGTTTGGGTATCCAACAAGTCTGACAGTTCTTGGATGCCATTAATTTCTGGATTATAATCTTCCAGGCTTTGTAAGGTAACATCTCCAACGTCAGTAGTGTCAGCATCAATATATGTAGTGTCTAGCGTCAGAGATTTCCTTATCTCATTTAAGATTTTTAGATGTTTTCTGATATTAGGAACTTTGTTTTTTGTTGTGTCTTTTTTAACATACGTTCTATGCGTTTTTTTAACCTCAACACCAGGAATAACAGTATTTTTTGATGTTTTACTTGTATGCGCCATATCTGTTATTTTAATTTGTTTCAAGTTCTCTTTTTTGACTTTAGACGAACTCTTCTCATGACTCTCTTCACACTGGGTCTTCAGGTTGCTTTTAACTCTCTCAATCGTATTTTTTAATGCATTTGAGCCAATATTTAGTTTTGTTTTCCTTTTTACAGACAGCCCAACTTGTTTTAAATTATTATTACCTTCTGAACAAGTTTTATTTAGCTTCTTTGCTTGCTTAAGATTAAAAATATCCACAAGATCACTGCAATTGAGAATTCCTTTTTCTGAAGCTGCAGAAACTAACTTTCTTTCCTTTTCATCACAGTTATCAGTGAAGGCAGCTAAACTCTCCAAAATTTCTTCACAAACCTGACATATTTTAGATGGATTCTTTAAATTTGCATTCTGAAACAACTAAATTATATTTCTTTTACAAACTACAATATGGTATACTTGCCAAACAAATTTTACAATTTTTAATTAAACTGTTCCTTTCTTTCAAAGTAGTGTAAAATTTATTTTTGTCATCAGATATTTTCAAACACAGACGACAAATTTTATCTACATCATTTGAGATTGATTGAAGGAAGGCATTCTGTCGATTTTTTTCATTGCTTTGTATCTTGAATTCGTTATTTATAATATTTTGCTTGAAAGTGGTGAATATCCTCAGTTTTTTGTTGCATTGTTCACATATAATTGGATTTTTTGTTATTTGAAGGTTCTGAAAATGTCCAATACTTTAGATATTTCCTTAAATATTTACATTCTAGGTCTAATAATTTATTTATCTATGTTACAGTCACCTTAATAGTGGAGAAACAAATTAAATTTAGATTTTGAATAACAGCATTATTATGCTGTAATGGGGTGAAAGAAATATTTTCACCGATAATTTCTAGGCACAATCTGCAAATATTAGGCTCTTCGTCCATAATTCTCAATATATCCTGTAGCTAGGCTCACAAAATATCAATATTTGCCTGGAAGAATGGTTTTCTAATTTAAAGAAACAAACAAAATCGAGAAATAAACATTTAACTTCACAAGCAAATCATTTAAAACGAATTTGACGTTTTTAGCATCTTTTGAATATATTATGGCTTGAGAAGTGACGCACAAAAGGAAGTCTGACAGATCATATAAAAATTATATATGTTCATGGATATACAATTTTTCGGTCATTACTGCTAAAGCTTACTGGCATTCAGTATTTTAGTTTTAAAGCTGTAGCTGTTAGGGTTATCCGACACATAGTAATGTGGATTTAAGGCAACAGTTGCCGGCATTATCCGGCCGTTTACAGAAATTCTGGAATATATAAATATTAATGCCGCAAAAAATAAAAAGAAGAATATTTATAATTAACCTTCAAATTTACCAAAAAAAAATACAATTTTAACAGCTTATTAATGATTAAAAACCATGAAAATTGTAATAAATCAACTGAGAACATTCCGAACCGCTGCATTTAATTACAAAGAGATATCTCCGGGCAAATTAAAACGAAAAGTAAAAGGTGTTAGTTCTCACGAATGGTTGGCCAGGCAAAACTCCGATCCTTACGTGGAAAAGGCAAAAATGCTGAATTACCGTTGCAGAAGTGCATTTAAATTGATCGAAATCGACGATAGGTTTAAGATATTGCGTCCAGGTTATCATGTCGTTGATTGTGGTGCCTCTCCGGGCTCGTGGACACAGGTGACTGTAAAACGAGTCAATTCAGATGCTTCAGACAAAAGTCTTTTACAAGGGAAAGTGATATCTGTTGACAGACAGCTTATATACCCTATAGAGGTATTAAGACCTTTTATTTTTATCCATTAAGCAGTAAAATATATTTATTTTATTGTAGGGAGCAACTCTAATTGGCAATGCTGATTTTACAGACCCCACCAGTGAACAAACTATTATAAAAGCTTTAAATGGTAATAAATGTGATGCAGTTATTTCTGATATGGCACCTAATGCAACAGGTATTCGTGATTTAGACAATGAAAACATTATCAAACTTTGTTATATGGTGTTAAAGTTTGCTATAACGAATTCTAAAGTGGGAGCTTCAGTGTTAATGAAATTGTGGCAGTGTGGTGACAGCAAAAAACTTGAACTTGATATAGGAAAGTTTTACGAGAAAGTCAATGTGGTAAAACCGAAATCTAGTCGATCAGATTCAACTGAAATGTTTCTATTAGGACGCGAATTTAAAGGTTTAAAAAATAGTTAATTAATTTAAACAACTACAAACTTGAAAATAATATAATTCTTAAATACAAAATACCGTTTATATGAATATGAGTTTCACAGTTACCTTACCTGTTTAATAAGTTCTTTTTTAAGACATATGTTTAAGATAAGCTTGAATAAGATAGGTGGTTAAAACACCAGTTAGAAAGTACAAAAGGTTCGAAGGAATTGAGAGAGATATTGGTCTTTTAGTCAACATAAACCGTAAATATGCCATTTTCCCTGGAGAATACGGAGGATATCTTGCTTCAGACAGTTTCTCTCCTATAAATCCCAGGTCTTTGTACAAAACTGATTTTTTATGTGAGAAAGCATCAAAACTGAATTTTCCGTGATATGAACCCATGCCACTGTTGCCAACACCACCAAAAGGTAATGTATCTACTGTCAGTTGCATTATTGTATCATTAACACATACACTTCCTAAAATTTGTATTTTTAAACGTAAAAAATAAGGTATAATTTAAGCAAACTTACCTGAACTTGTATTTTTCAAAATAAGTTCAACATCATTTTTGTTATCAGAAAAAATGTACAGCGCCAATGGTTTTTCTCTGGAATTAATATATTGAATAGCATCTACTGTATCATCTATGTTTACTATTGGTAAAATAGGACCGAATATTTCTTCATTAAGCACTGCAGAGTTTATTTTTGCATCTGAAAGGTTTTACATTAACAAAATAATTTGTTTCCAAATAAATTTTATACTTATTAATATAGTAGGTGCGATATATTTTTCATTAGCATCATATTCACCACCCACAGCTACATTTCCATCCTTCAGAAGGGCTGTGAGTCTTTGGAAATGCTTGTCAGAAATAATTCTGCCAAGATCCGGACTTTCTTTTGGATTTTTTCCAAAGTACTCAGTGATGACTTCCTTAGCTAACTCAATAAACTTATTTTGAACATCAGTTGTGCATAAAATATAATCTGGAGCAACACACGTTTGTCCAACATTGAGGAATTTACCCCAAATTATTCTCCTAACGGCCCTTTTCAAGTTTACAGAATTATCTATGTAGCATGGACTTTTTCCTTTAATATTATAAACAAATTAATATATTGGCTTACCTTAAATTTAGATATATTACCTCCAAGTTCTAAAATAGTTGGTGTTAAGTTCTTGTTTGCAGCACTATGTATGATTTTCCCTACAGCTGAACTCCCTGTATAAAAGATGATATCAAATTTTTCCTTTAATGCCTCAGTTGTTTCTTCAGGACCACCATTATAGACCTTAAATCACAGAATTATAGTAACTATTTTATTGTATTATTTAAAAACTACTCTGTAACAGTCTGGATCCAAATATTGTGGAATAATTTCAGCCAGCAATTTTGCAGTGAATTGTGATACTTCGGATGGTTTCAATAACACACAGTTTCCAGCAGCTATAGCACCCTGTACTGGTAACAATAATAATTGTAAAGGATAGTTCCAGCTTCCTAAAAATATAAATTTATTTAAAAAAAACATACAACTTAAATTAAACCATACCAATAACTAAAGCTACACCATACGGATCTTTCTGGATATAAGCAGTGTCTAAAAGATTGGCTATATCTTTGTGCACATACTCATTTTTGTGCCACTGTCTTATATTGTAAAGGGTATTTTTAATATCATTTATAAGGATATCAAGTTCTGTAACGACAGCTTCCATTTTACTTTTTCTCAAATCCTTGTACATTGCAGTTAAAATCTCTTTTTCCTTTTCGGTATACATTCGGTGAAGATTCTTTAACTGTTTTATGCGATATTCCAGTGATAGCGTTTTGCCGCTTTTAAAAGAGTTGCGAAGAACCGCCACTATTTCAGATGGACTTGCCATTTTCTTCAATTTAGTAGTTTAAAAATTGTCGAAAGCTAATGAAACCAACTTTTGTTTAAAACCTTACAATGCCTTATTACAAAACAATATGTTAATACTTAAAATGGTAATGAGCTTTTCACAATCACTTAATTATGCATATATTTGCATTTTATTCTAAAAATCATGCTAAGCTACTTAATTCTTAACTTTTTTAAGGTATTAAAAAAACTTGTCTAAGCCACAGGTCTAAGCAGATGACTCGTATGACAAGATAATTGTTTATAAAAAAAGATAATTTTTTCTATGAAAAACAGGAAGAAGTGAAATTTAAAATCTGTAGAACTAGCGCATTATTTTTCTTTTCGAATCTATGGTAATAAATGCAGTTACCACAGAACGGTATATAGTATTTGGCATTTTCTGCCACACTCTAATAAAATGACAATATGATGACAATAATCAGCTGGTTCGAATAAATCTAATATTTAAAAGAATAATTTCAGTGTAAAAATTCACAGAAACAACTAAAAATGAGTATATTACCGAATATTTTAAACAAGTCTGTATCGTTTACAAGAACATTCGCGAGGTCTATTGCTTATAAGAGCGCTATATCATTAAGCAACTTATACCCTCAAAGCAGCCTGAAACTAACAACAGTAGAAAAAGTAAGCAAGATGAATCTATAATTTGTTAAAGAATCAATACAATTTTGAGTATTTTGTAGCCAATTTTTGAAGAAGGGGTAGATTTCAATGGAGTCGTACCTATGGACCAGTTAGATATTACATACAGTAGAAGTTCAGGTCCGGGAGGTCAGAACGTAAATAAAGTTAATACAAAGGTCGATGTAAGGTTTCATTTAGAATCAGCAAATTGGCTAAGCGATAAAGTAAAATCTAAAGTTTTAGAAAAGGTAACACCTATCTTATATAATATTTGATTTCAAATTTTAATTTTGCTTATTTTAGTACCATTCAAAATTAACTAAAGAGGGAAACCTAGTTTTTCGATCTGATCTAACTAGATCTCAGCAATTGAATTTGGCTGATTGTTTACAAAAAATAAGGAAATGTATTAGAGAATCTCTCTATGTAAAGCCAGAGCCTTCTCCAGAAACGGAAGAAAAAATAAGGAGAAATGCTGAAAAGGCTAATAGAGAACGACTGGCATTTAAACGAGAACGTGGTTTAGTCAAGAGGCTAAGACAGGGTCTAGATTATTAATTTACTTAGAAAAAATAAAAGTTTTTGAAAAAATTGTGTATTGTTTTCCTTTTTTTTAGCAATGTTAATAATATACCTTATTGTTACAACTTCCTTGTCGATGTGGCAACAAGGTAGGTATAATAAATTACTTTAATTTATTAAAGGGTCACTCTATATACCTTTTATAGGATAAAATTAGTTGATTTACTATAATTTACTTTATTAAAACAAATACATATAACCATATTTTTAATATAACTTAAAAATATATCTACAAAACTTATATTTTGTACCTGCTAAATCGTCATTAAACACACAAGTACTGTCTTGAAGATTATAAATAAAATAATTAAAAAAATCGCTTGAAAGCGATCATAGATCAAAGAATACAGTTTTTTCTAGTATGAGTGATGTCATTATTAAATACCGTTAAAAGAACTTGGCCTATAAATTATTGAAATATATTTCACAAACTTTTCCCTTGACTATGTTAACCATACAGGCTGATCCCATCTTAAATGAAACACTTTTTAATGTTTATACTATTAAAATCGAAACACCCGGTATATAGCAAACCGACATAGTTTAAACAGCATAAAAAAGCATAAGGCTTCTAGAATTCTATAAATAACCTTCAAGCTCAATCCCTATCGCGTTCTCTTTTCTTATCGCTAGAGCTGGAGTGGTGCGAGTGAGAGCGACGGCTTCTGTCTCTGCTGCGAGATCTAGAGCGTTTCCTGAAAAATAAATGAAAATATATTGCACATCACATACGTTTAATGTAAAAAAATGTAGGTATAGTATTCCCGAAGTCAACTGGAAGTAGTGAGACTGTTAAGGCCTTTCTCCAGCCGACGCCAAAATTAAGAGGCCCTATCTATTCCAACTGACTTCAGAAAAACTATACATACAACAGTTTTTTTTTAATTTTTCGTCATAAATCGAAAACTATACATCAAAAAAATAATAAAGCTTTGAATCTTTGAATAAGAAGACTAAGGAAGGAGCATATCAAAAATCTTAGGTCCACCGCGATAGACCTTAAATATGGCCGACTTAAATTCCAGTTTATCAGTGCCGTTCTAATTTTATTTAAAAAATGTAAAACTATGATGTAGGGTAGACGTGGGGTAGACTCAATCATTTTTATTTTATTTTACGTTGTGAATAAATGTTTGTAGTTAAAATTGTTATAAAAATATAAAATTCTAATAAAAATAGATAAGTTATAATAATTATTTATAACCATAAACATCTGATACGCTACTGAAGCAGGTAAGTCAAGTTGACGTATCTAAATTCTTTGATAAGTAGTAAATAAAAGGAAAAATGCAAGAAAAAATATATAATTAGTTAATTTTAAGTGAATTTCATAGAAGATCGGTTTACTAAACGTATGTATATTATATAATCACTTACTAGTGAAAAGTTTTCATTTTCCCTCCATTTTTGACCGAGATCTACCGCACGCTACACAACCAACTATTTTATAGTCAGGGGTGGGAGAGTGAAATAACAAAAGCGGTTCCACCGTTTCCACGGAAATTTCAAATAAAATAGTTCCAGCCTCAGGCGCTAGGTGGTAGTGCAATTAATTTTTAGGTTAAGAAGTTGCTCCTAGTTATTGCCAGATGGCGTTAAATCAGAAGTTTTTTGTAGTTTCCATAGTTACTAACGGCCATTGTCATACTATTGTCAAATTCTCAAAAAATATTGTCGTTGTCATAGCGCCAATCATAATATTATCGAATGATTATCAAAACGTTTTTCAAACTATAATTTGTTATCATTTTGTTATATGTGTTTTAATTAGACAATTCCTTTTGTTTCTGGCCCTAAAAATGTAATGTAAGTCTTTTATTTTTGCCATCATTTAAGTACCTATTTATATTTACTCCATTTACAAAACTTTGGGCATATTACGTTGATCTTGTTTTCTTATAATAAATGATGTTTAAATATTTGACTTATAAATAAAAACTTTAAATAACAAATTATTTTATTTAATAATTGTATAAATTATACTGTTAAATCTTATTTTTTACACATCACAACGATACTTGTTATTAGTGTTGTTGAATTTGTGTAAAAAATAAGATTTAATAATCAAATTTAATTAAAAGCCCGCGCTTCGATCCATTTAAAACAAGCCCTACTCAATAGATGGCGCCACTTCTGTAGGACCATTTTTCAGTATGGCAGAGTCCATTCTTTTTCTAGCTAGGTGTATTCTTTGTTTATAGTCTTTTTCGATAAATCGCGATAGTGTCACTGTTAATTTAAGTTCTGCCAGAATTTCCATCTAGATTTACTACCATTATACAACTATCAGTAGCAGAATAAATAACAAATAACATAAAATAAGCTCATTAAAGACGGACAAATCCACAAAATTTCAAATCAAATTCAAATGTGTCAAATGAATCGTCAAACAGAACTGTCAAGGATCCCCACCCTAGAGTCCTCTTTCCGTCGACCATGCATAAATACATGTGGATAGAATTATAATCCTATATTATTTGTTTTATTCAAAGAGATAAAGGGTCTTGACAGATGGAAACTTTGCAACATAAAACTTACCTATCTCTCTCTTTGTTGTCCCTGCTGCTTTTATCTTTATCTTTGTTGTCCTTGTCCCTGTCCCGTCTCTCTCTGGACTTGGACCTGTGCCTTCTGGAACGTCTGTCCAGTTCGCGTCCTCCAACGTAGTGTTCTCTGTATCGTCTTCCACTACCGTAGTCTTCGTCACGTTCTCTGTCCTTGAAGGCCTTTTTTCTTTCCTCCTTTCGTTTCTCAGAAGTTTTCTGTATAATAGTTTCGTTAAATAACAAATATTTTAAATACACAAAATAAAAAAGATATAAAAAATTGGTCAAGTGCGAGTCGGACTCGCGCACGAAGGGTTCCGTACCATTCATTATCTATACAGTATTGGCCATAAGTGGATGAACTTTGTTAAAATAATAGGTTTTTCCTAATATGTTTAAAATTAAAATTTGAGCTATATTTACTTGAAAGTCTAGTGTCAGTGCTATAAAAATAAATAGCATTGTTTTTTTAAAATGTGCTTTAATAAGGTAGCAAAAAATTTAAATTGAAAAAACTATTGGACAAAAGTAGATGAACAAAATATATATTTAATAAAAAAAAATCTTATGTTAACAAAAACTGAAAAATTAACTCATAATTTACTAGTACTTAGTGTAATAACCCTTATTCTTAATTACTTTCAGATATAGCTTAGGCATGGATCCCAGAAGATTTTCAATTATAGAAAAATCGATATTTTTCCAAGACTCTTCCAAAGCTGCAAATAATTCTTGCTTATTTTTGTAGAATTTGGTCCTAATGTGTTGATCCAAAATTTCCCATAAATTTTCTATTGGATTCAGGTCTGGGGATTGCGATGGCCATTTGAGAACAGTCACCATTTCATCTTCCAAAAACCTTTTAACCAATTGTGAGGCATGTTTCGGGTCGTTATCATGTTGGAAGTAGTGTACAACTGGCATTTTTTCCTCCAAATAAGGCACTAAAAGGTTTTGTAAAATGTCTCTGTAGCCAAACCGATCCATTATGCCCTCAATTTTATGGAGAGGCCCCATCCCATACTCAGAAAAACACCCCCATACCATGATTGAGCCCCCACCATGTTTTACAGTGGGTTGCGTGTACTTTGGTAGCAATCATGTGTTGGGAGGTCTTCTTACATGTTGAATTCCATCTGATGACACCAAATTAAACTTTGATTCATCACTAAAACAAACTTTTTTCCATTGTGCCACAGTCCAGTTCTGATATTCCTTGGCAAATGCTAATCGGGCCTTCAAATTTTTTTTTGATAGCAGTGGTTTCTTGGCGGGTCTTCGGAAAACAACTTCTGGTCAACTAATTTACGTCGGATCGTCCTTGTACTCACTGGTGTAGCCCATTTCTTCAAGTTTTGCTTTTATCTTTGTTGACGGCAAAAATGGATCTTGTGAAGAAATTCGTTTTATGGCTTTTATCATATCGGGACCAACTTTTTTAGGTCGTCCTGGTTTTCTTTTTATAGAGACATCTCCTCTCTCATTATATCTCTTTAAAATATAATGTACCGCTGATTTTCCAAGGCGTAATTGCTTAGCGATTTCCGATTGCTTCAAACCATCCTTAAAAGCATTCACTACTCGCAACTTAAGATATCCAGACAAGTTAATTCCACGTGGCATGATATATCACAAGAGCTCAAATGTTTTTAAATCGCAATTGTTCATAAAAGCAGAACAAATGAAACTAACGATTTTTAAAAATATTTGGTTCATCTACTCTCTCCAAGACAAAAAAGCAATATTTGCCAATTCTTATCTATAAATGATAAGACTAACAGAAGAATTTATATTTGTTTGTAGTATTTTGGTGAGAATGTATTAAACTTTTAACATACAAAAATACATAAAATAATTTTGATATTTAACACCTCAAATCTGATTTTCTTCGCAATTATTGGTATTGGTTCATCCACTTTTGGCCAATACTGTACAACATTAGACACTATATTATTATAAACTATTTTTCCGATTAAGCTGAAATTTTGAATGCGCGTATAAGTAACAGCGACTTCGTTCGCGTCGAATTAATCATTTGTAATGTGATGATAAAGCAAAGCAAGAATTTCCATTAACATACAAACTGGATAAAATTTTCTCACATTTATGTCAGCATGAGAAAAAACAATATGGCGATATTATTATATAACTTGGTAATATTTGAGGGGTAGTTTCATCTCGTTGGAATTTGACTTTCGAAAAATCCGTTTGCCAAAAATAAGCTTTTTACGTCAAGCAGTTTAAGCAGAATCGTGGTTAAGAAATTACCCAACACCCTGTATGATTTTTTAAAAAATTTCAAAATATGCAAAAAACCAAATAAATTAAGCTTGTCCAAGCGTTTTCCCGAAAGACTAACCGTTTTTTAAATAACAAATATTGTAATATTTGAGGGGCGTTTTCACCCTCTTGGAATTTGAGATTCGAGAAACCCCTCCTTATAGAACCTCTACACCCCACAGTAAATCCGTTTATCAAAAATCAGCTTTAAACGTCAAGAAGTTTAAGCAGAATCGTGATTACTCAATGGTCATATTTTATAAAACACCCTGTATAAATTTATAAAAAATCTTAAAATATGTAAAACAACAAAATAAAATATACGTGTTTAAGAGTTTTTCCGAAAAACTCAGCGGTTTTTAAATAAAAAATATTTTAATATATGAGGGATAGTTTCACCCCCTTAGAATTCGAGTTTCGCAAAATCCCTTCTTGTCGAACCTCTACACCCTAAAGTCAATCTGTTTTCCAAAATCAGCTTTTTGCGTCAAGCGCTTTAAGCAGGATCGTGATTAATCAATGACCAGATTTTTCGAAACACCCTGTATACATTTTAAAAATCTTAAAATATGAAAAACAAAATATAGGTGTTTAAGCGTTGGGTACGAAACCCTAAAAAGACCCCAAAAAAAAAAGAAAAAACGGTTCACAATAATCAACAGAAAACAGCGTTTTGAAAAAGCTTTGATAATTCAAAAAAGTAATTGTTTTATTCTTCATAAATTATTTTTTACACATAAACTTTTTAACATTATGCAAGGATAATAAATAATTAACTTTAACCAAAACAACTATGCAAATTAAAAATTTCTGTAATTACCTCAAGTTCAATCAGCTTCTCCCTGATCTTGATGAATCCCAGATGGAGTTTCCCTCCAAAATGATCAGCCAATCTTCTATCGTTGTCGTGAATGCCAAGATACGCCGAGCACACCTCACAAACCCTCAATTTCTGCTGCTGGTAACTGCTGGCCGGCATAGAGTTCCTGTACTCCTGTTCAGCTTCTAGTTTCTTCTTCCTAAATTCATCCACTTCCTCCATGAGCTTCATGCTCTCCTCTACGAAGCCCTCGGCGCCCAGTTGCTCGGCTTTGGCCAGCTTTTGACCGATTTGCTCCTGAAGTTCGTGCACGTTGTTGGCTTTAACTGCCACTTCTGCCGAAAGTTCTTCTTGGGTCTCGGCAAGGCGCTGTTTTGCTGATTCAGTGCGGCGGTCGCAGTCGCTGATGAAGGCTTGAAGATGTTCCATTGCCTAGAGTGAGAATTTCGTTAAAAAAATAATTTGGTTAGGTTTACGAGCAGAGATACAAAGAGACAAATTTCACATCATTGTGCTACTTTTTTTTTGGAACTTAAAGATGCTACACACAAATTTGTCCTAGCCCCCTTGGTTTCTAAAATACAGACTATAAAAAAGAGAGAACAACGACATATTACCATTTCTAGATGTATTAGTTATTAGAAATACTAATAATTGCCTGGAATTTGATATCTATAGGAAAAATACGACCACACGCAGATATATTCCTAATGAATCACATCATAGTGTTGAACATAAAATGGCTAGTTTAAATTTCTTAGTTCATAGATTACTTAGTTTCCCACTTTCCAACGAAAGATATTAAATAGAAAGAGATTACATTAGGAATGTAGCTGAGTGTAATGGATATTCTCCTTCACTAGTTAATAAATTAATTAGAAAAAAGGTAGGTTAATGGTCTGAAAATTCGACTTTTCAAGTGGAGAAAGATACGTCTAAATATTTTTCGATACCGTTTGATAGAGAGTTATCCTGTGGTCTAAAAGGAATTTTTAAGAATGTCAATTATAAACTTGTGTATAGTGCTAATAATAAATTACAACAATTATTAGGTAATCCAAAGGATAAAACAACTCCACTGGAAAGGTCGGGTATTTATGAAATTTCTTGTAAAGATTGTAATCAGAAATATGTTGGGCAAACTAGAAGATCAATATTAACTAGATTTAAAGAACATTTAGCTCAGATAAGATATGGTAGACCGGATAAATCTTGCGTTGCCGAACATATTGTTGATAAAGAACATTGTATAGATCTTAATAATTTAAAATTAATTAAACAAGTCTCAAATTACAGGCAATTAGATGCATATGAAAGCATCAGAATTAATAAATGTAAAGATAGTATGAACAGAGACAACGGTCCAATTCCTTCAAGTTCTTTGTTCCTACTACTCTAGTGGCGGAAATCTAACTGTTACGCTCAGTGGGCTCTGACTCGGTTGGCTAGATTTTGCCACGCCCACAAGGTGCCCACTGAGCGAGTATATAAACGCTCAACTTGTAGATTGTACTTTAGTTTACACTCATCTGCTGATGATGCTAACATGGTTAGCGAAACGCGCGTCCAGTGTAAAAGTAAAAGTGTTTTGGTGTATTGTGGTGATTTAGTGTTTTTATTTTGCTGTGTAACACCAAAGGTTCCAACCCTCAACTGTAATCAAAAAAGAGAGAAAAAATGTTTACAATAGTCAACAGAAAAAGGCGTTTTCAAAAAGTTTTAATAATTCAAAAAAGTAGTTGTTTTATTCTTCATAAATTATTTTGATAAAATAATAAATACTTATTATTAATCTTATTGTAGATAAATTAAATAAAAATAACGTGTTATAAATTTAAAAAAAAGTCAATAAACTAGTGTCGATTTTGAAAATAGCTACTAACTGCCACTAGACAATTGCCATGGCGACACCAGCCATCTTGATTACAATTTTATTGAAAAAACGCTTTTTATTCAAAATCTGAGCCGGATAGGTATAGGAAACCCTAATATAGTTTGAAAGAGCATTTGAATCTGCTTTGACTTATTCAAAAAAATACATAGTGTTGTATTTGTAATAACGAAGTTCTTGTGTAAAATAAATATTTAAAATAGACCAGCAATTTTTGATACCCCTGTATACATTTAAGAAAGTTTATTTCTCTGGCTTGAAAGTCAGCACAAGAATTAATTCTGAAAAGTAATGTACAAGATGTTGACAAACTTTTGTATTATAGCATGCATATTGAAATATCTCAAAAACCAAAGCTTGTAAACATATTAAACCCTTATAATATTTGCCTTATTTTATGTCCGAGAATCCAAAAATTAAATAAAATACGGGTGTTCCATAAGAAAAAATATAACTTTGGTATGGATCTTAATTCTGACACACCCTGTACATTTCAAAATAATTTTAAATTATGCACATTGTCTTCCCACATACACTCACAAAATATTTTGTTTCTACATCTTTCCGTTTTCGTATAATCAACCGAGGCGAATGAGGTGCGCCACCCTGTATAATTTAAAATCATTTCCACTCCACTGGTTATTTTTTTTCTAAGGTGAAATAATTTTAAGTTGATCGAATTCAATTGAATATATTGAATGATAAGACCTTTTGACAGACAAATGACGGACATCTGCTCACTTCAAACGAAAATAAAGTAAAAAAATAATATTTTCTAACATTGTGAGGTTGAAAAGTTTTTGAACTACCCTCGTATTCTACGTATACTTACGTCAAGATCATAGAAGTAGTCCTTGTTTTGTTGGGCTTTCTCAAAATCAGCTCTGAGCGCCAAATCGTGGATTTTTGGGCATTCCCCTAGATCCATACGCTGGTAAAAAAGAATAAAATGGAAGATATTAAACATATTTCCTATAAACAACTCTTCAAATGTTACAGAAATTCAACAACTGTATTCTTTATTACTTTAAATTTCTGAAATTATCTTGTTAAATAAAATTTCAACGTAAATTAAAAGAATACAGTTTCCAAATATTTACTTATTAGGATAATATAAACACAGAATTTTTTTAAATATATTATTAATAAAGTGTTTTTAATATTTAAAGAGGTACCATGAAAATTATCATAGATAAATTTTATATTTAATTGAAAAGTAATAAAAACGAAAAAAATCGTGGGAAAAAATATTTAGTTAAGTTAATATATCTCCTAGATGGTCTTCCCTCTAAATTCAAGTAAAAAAATCTATTTTTTTTTGTCTACACGCACACATTGATTTATTTGATACATTTTGACTGAACAGGGAAGACTGACGGGCAAAACGTTATGTGTAGATGGACCTTAAGAATCTTACAACCTGTTAAAAAACAAATATTTTTTTATAAAAAAATGTCAAACTCACTATATTTTACTGTGTTTATATTCTAGTTGGTATAGTTCCTTAAATTTAACAAATATAAATAAATAATATGACGTCAAACTTACAATATATGCACTTTTCCACCTGAATCTCGTTTGTTCCCGATAAATTTTCTCAAAATCGACTTCAATTTAGGCTTTTTATCCGGAAATTCGATTGAAATTCGTCTAGACTTAATGCATTACATAACATACTCACGAAATTATCAGCCTCACGGTGTATCGGCTATTAGTAGGTAGAAACAGTACAAAAATAATACTCACAGCTTAAATTCTTGCGTTTATTTGCGACATTTTGTATGTAGTACGATGCGCAGGCACTGTTTGTTTAGTTTTAATAAGTTAAAGTTACTTACCAAGTCAGCGTAAATTCGATAGAAAAGAATTGAAACATACTTCTACTTTTTTAGGGTAACTTACCAAATAAATGTCGATGCTCGTACTTTGGTGATGGTAAAGCATCATTGACAGAAGCAAAAACCTTTGTCAATATGCTTTACTAAAAATAAACAGCAACAACTCAAAGAAAAACATAACCAAGCAATAATATATGAATATTAAAAATCATTAAAATACAACAAATTTGCTCAGTTATGCCATAATAATTTCCCAGTTAATGTTGATTTCATCAACTGGAAAATATTATTATCTTGTCAGTACATTGCTGCCGACATCTCTTTACTATCGACAATAATAACCTAAAGAAATTGATTTTTATACGTACGTCAGTGTACTTACATACAAAACTAACACCTATTTTCCTCATCTTTTATTAGATAATTGAAGTTTCTGAAAATACAGTGCATCGTATTAGTGTACCGAATAACATATTTGATCAATTCACATTCAGTTTAACAAAATTTTATACAGAAAAAAAAGAAAACATGTCTATAATAAGAATTGTAAATTTCGTTCACTCTTAGTGTTCACAAATCGTTATTTAAGTCAAATTGAATCATACTTTATGTTTAAATTAAGTGGCATATGGCGAGGATTGTGAACAGTAATGAACATTATTGATATTTTTAAGTGAATAGAATACTTACTGTGGAAGAGAGGATTTCGTGAGGGCAACAGCTCAGTAAGAACGATTTGCACACCCTGGGGTCATTAAATTTTACGTGAAATTTGTTGTTTTCACCTGAAATCGAAAACAGCCTGGTTGTATAACGATAATTAACTTGAAATTCGCTTACCGTTTCGACCAGTGCCCATGAGCTGGTCGAGCATGGCTCTCATTTGATCGTGGGCCGACATGGTTTGTTAAAATTTAAAGGCAAATTTTAAGTATTTAATTAAAACACTTTATCCACAACTACATCAAATACGCAGACAAAATTAAAGTGAAAAACAAAATGGCGCAGTCCCTTTCCCTTTCCCAAATTGATAAAAGTCAGACGTCATTTGACAATCAGCTTGACCAACATCAGAAGATAAAACCAAATATCACCAAATTTGATAAAATTAAACAACGCTTTGTTCAATAGGAGAAAAAAATAAATAGAACAAAATTATGAATTAGTTATTTCTTATATCCCTTTTAATCCTTATTTACTAAATTATTATAAAAATAGTTTTTAATAAATCAATATTTTATGTTAGTGATTTTTGTTTTACCACATTGCTAACTTTACACGTGTTGTAACCAGAAATGTGAGGTTATTCATTTTAATTATAATTTATCAAAATGGACGTTGTAAGCCAAATATTGGAAAAATCAGCCCAAGAGGCTGAAAAATATAAACCCATTACCGTTGAAAAGCATTTAGAATTAGAAATTGACTTGGGAACTTTGTTAGCAGTCGATACAAACGAATTTGATACGAATTTATTGAAGTAAGTAACGTTTGTATACGTATTGTTATGGACATGGGACATGTCTATACCAGATTTTTTTTGTTAATTATTTACATTTTTACTCGAAAGTAAACAATCTATTATTTTTCTAGAAGAAACGCGGATGATTATTTTTTGAAACTGACCAGAGATAATACACAACTTTTAATAAATCAATTATGGGAATTACCAACAGAAAAGGTTGATGAAGCTATTATGGTTCGATTACCAACCCCCAAAACGCTTTTACCTAGAATGAAACCCGTTCCCAGACCAAGACCGTTAACTAAATGGCAAAAGTTTGCAAACGAAAAAGGTATACAAAAGAAGAAAAAGTCGAAATTGTCATGGGACGAACAACTACAGAAATGGATACCGATGTATGGGTTTAAAAGGGCCAAAGCGGACAGTACGAAGAATTGGGTGCTTGAAGTACCACAGAACGTTGATCCGTATGAAGATCAGTTTGCAAAGAAAACTGTGGCCAAGTCTGAGAATGTCGCAAAGAATGAATTGCAAAGATTAAGAAATATTGCGAAAGCAAAGAAGGTTAAAGTACCTAGAGCGGGTGTAACAAATCCTGAAGTTTCATCAGCTAAAGATGTGAGTTTTTTACTTTTATAATCTTAGAGAATATTGAAACAATAATGACATATTACACTTTTAGTTACAAGCTGCCGTCACTGTAGCCAAGGCTTCAACGGCCAGTTTAGGCAAGTTTCAGGATAATTTGCCTAAAGAGAAAAAAGCCAAGGGTGTAGCGCCTATAACACCAGGTGTGTCGCGGAAAAGAAAATTGCCACCAGCCTCAGGGGAACATGAGAAAAAGGAAAATTTAAATATAGTAGATTCAATTTTGAACAAGAGACCGAAACTGGACATAGAAAAGGCCATTTCAAAGCAAATTCAACACACAAGGTAGGGGTTTGGGATTATTTTTTATGAAATTTAATTTAATTAATTTTTTTTTAGTGAAAACAGCAGTAGTAGTTCTAAAGGTATCGGTCAAAGACTTCAATCGAGGGAAAAACAAAACAGGAGTAAACTAGCCAAGAAACCGAAGAGCGGGAATGGAATAAGAAAGGGCGGTAAAAAAGGTGCTGGTGGAAGAAAAAGGCGTTAACAAAACTAATAAACGGTAAGTAAAAATATTTGTTTTCATACATATTCCATGGTTATTTTACATTCTATTAATTTTGCTTGGTTATGGGTGGTCCCAGCCCAAACTGGGGTCTTTAGCCACGGCCATATAAACTAAGGCACCTTGACCTGGGATTGGTTTCGTGGCTATGTACGTTCTTTTGTCTTTCGACCATTTACACATGTAGTGGTCATCGTTTTTTTCCTGAAGATCCTATAAAAATATTTATTAAGTGTTTATACAGGGTTGTTCATCACATATGATAGTATTGTAGCTAAACAATTAGATTTTTACAAATTGTAAGTTATGGGTTTACTGAAGGGCTATTAGAGCTACAATTTAAAAATATTTTTACAAGATACAGATTGTCCCAAATAAATAAAAAATATCAAAGTTGTATTTTTTTAAACGGAATATCTTGTATATTATTACATTTTTAGTTTCTACGATTAAAATAAAATAAAGGTAAATTTGATTAAGGTATTTTAATTTTACCATTTTTAAAATATTTAGGTTTTTGTCAAAATAGAGTAATAATTTTAATGCTTAATTTTTCTAGGCATATTTAAGTTCTGACAATCAAATATTGTACTGAAGTATTTCTATTTACTAAATTTTGTGTTGCATTAATAAAAATTATGCCTACTACTTTATACAGAGTGTCTAAAAATTTATTTTAAATAATTACTAGCGTTAAACGGCAATAACTTGTTTAATTTAAATGGAACACCATGTATATTTTATGAGAATCAGATGCACAATTTAATTGTCTATCAAATTGGATTATACTATTTTTTACTTATCTCTTCAAGTTTTCGTAGAAAATGCATTTTCTTATAATTTAGACCTCATTTATCAATATACCCATGGAATATTGACGTTTTAGATTATTTTTAAGGATGTAACAAATTTTTAAAGAGGACAGATACTAATATTGTCGATATAGCTCGTTTATTTCATTAAAAAATAAAAAAAAACTTTTTTTCATAACTTATTAGATTGATTTCTGATTCACATCCACATTTATTTAGAATAATTTATTAACTAACACAATTAAGTATGTAATTAATTAATATTTGGGCGGAAATAATGGTGGTATATTTAATTAATGGTATACTCTTTTATAAAGATTTAAATAGTTTTCTTTTTGTATACAAATGGGCTAGTAATATTATCGTTTTTAGCACCTGTACATTTGTTGCTTTAAAAACAATCTAAAATGTCAATATTCCATGGGTATAGTATTGACATAACCAACATGACATACTGGCCAGAAACATCGATTTGTGACGTCACCGCACTAGTCCGGCTTTTGTATTGTGCCATATGGTACTGCATATAGTTTTTGCATAAATAATAGTGATTATTGATAGTTTTGCCAGATATAAATATGAAAATTATTATACAGAAAGGTATTAAAAAATAACATTAACTTTTTATCGCGTTAAAGTAATTGAATAGCATTAAAATTTAGATCTAAAGCACGAATATTAATATGAAATAAACTACAGCATAAGATGAACAAAATAAAATCTAGATAATAAAAAGCGTGTCCTAAAATTGCGTTAGCGAGTATTTAGCAACTAGTAATAATATACCTGTGATAAAGTTTCCAAATATTAAAAAATTTGAAAACTATACATTTATCGACAAGTTAAGAAAATGTATTGTATATGATAACGGCAGAATACATTTTAAAGTTTAATTAAAAATAATTGTAAAAATTTGCCTAACATATTTAAAAAAATGTGGATATAAGATAGAATTAACTATTAACATTAAGTAATTTGTAGTTCGATGTTCATCAAGTAACCATCTCCATAAATCGTAAATAAAAAGATAAAGATATCATTTTTTTTATATAAAATACTGAAATAAAGTACAAATTCATTTAATTTCTTTAAAATATATTGCCATTTCATAATAATAATAATACTTTTCAATATTTATTTCATCCTGAATGTCCAAATCTTGTTTTCTTTCATCGGGACGTTTTCTCTTTATGGGAACATGCACAGAGGGTCCATAAGAGGGTTGATTTGGAAAAATTGTAGGCACAGCATGTTCTGTAGGTTTTGGACGTGACCTAGTTACAGTTAATATTGTTGGGAAAGAGAATGTAGACAGATCCTGAGGACTTATTATAATTGCTGCTACAAGGCACAGGCACAGAACAATGTCGCCGAATTTTTTATTTCACAAAGTAAAAATAAAGAAACGAAAACTGTTTTACATAAAAATACACGTCACTTACGTTGGTATAACACTATACACTAACACTAACGCTATTAATTATGTTTTTATACAAATTCCCCAACATTTTCCTAGCCCGGACACACAGCCGGCATCGCCGGTGTTACTATAATTTTTACCGAAAGTATGGTTTTTTTCGCGGGTACGATGTTATGAAGCGGATCTAGATAGTTCACTATTCACTCAAAATTATTTAGTATAATTTTATTAGCATAGAAACGCGTAAAAAATACAGATTTGTTGCGAAACTAATGGAAACAATTGGTTTGTTTAAGACTACTAATTCTGGACCACTTCGGTAGAACTGTCAAAACAGTCAGGCCTTGAATATGACGTTAGCCACGGTATTGATAATGAGGTCTAAATAATAAGAAACTGCATTTTCTACGAAAACTTGAAGGAATAGGTAAAAAATGGCATAATATAATTTGATAGACAATTAAATTGTGCATCGGGTTCTCCTAAAATATACAGGGTGTTCCATTTAAATTAAACAAGTTATTGCCGTGTAAAGCTAGAAATTATTTAAAATAAATTTTTAGACACTCTGTATGTGGTAGTATTATGTTTATTATTGCAACACAATAACTGATTGATAAATAAACTTCAGTAAATATTTAGTATTATAAACTTTGATACCCTTGGAGAAATGAAGCCTTTAAATTTTTACTGCAATTTCACAAAATTGAGAATATATTAAAAACGGTAAGGTTTAAGTGTGATAAACCTTAATCAAATTTATCTTTATTTTAATCGGAGAAACTAAAAATATAATAATATACAGGGTGTTCCATTTAAAAAAATATAACTTTGATATTTTCTATTTATTTGGGACACTCTGTATCTTGTAAATATATTTTTAAATTGTAGCTGTAATAGTCCTTCAACAAACCCTAAACTTACAATTTGTAAAAATCTAATTGTTTAGCTACAATACTCCATGTCGTATGTGTTGAATAACCCTGTATATTTAAAGAGTATACTTATATAAGTTTTTTTTTTATTACAGATTAAATACACTTACCCCATCAATATTAATCGTGTAGGCAGAATCTTTAACAGCCTTCCTCAAAATTTGCAACATATATTTGAAGAACCCATTTCGGTTCTTTTTCACTACAGGGTCGAGTGTATTGATTTCGACAAGTTTCCCAATCCATTTTCTGCATATTTGCTTATCTAAAATATCATAGAAAATAAATCCTTGTACATAAAACGCAAACATTTAGTGTTAAGGTAATTTAGTATTGGTTTTCATATAATCTGTATAATTTTTTGGGTTTATTTTTTCCAAATTCAGACATATTTTTTTTTGTTTTTGTGCCAATACTGATATAGGTGTACAGTTTAGCGATAAAACATGATGGTATTTACATAAAATATTTTTGTAAAAACTTGTGATAGCTATTTCCAAAAAAATCATGGTAAAAACTATTTTTTTTACGCGTAAAATACTATTTGTTACACGCAAAAAAATTTGATGTGTAAAAAACTATTTTTTAAGTGTTAAAAACTGTTTGTTACATGTAAAGAACTATTTTTTTACGCGTAATAAAATATTTTACTTTTACAACATTTCAAACTACACTTTTCCAAACATGTTTAATTTAATAGCTGTTAGTAAGAAGTTTCTCTTTTCGAACTTTTTTTTATGGGAAACATGTTTTTCCATCAGATTGAAAAATGAACTTTGTAGATTATTCAAATTGTGTCTGGATAGTTCACTGAAACCAAAAAGTTTCATTAAACAACTGTTACTAAACAATTCAAAAATATTTTATGTGAAACTATAATGTCAATAACAGCACTATATAGAGAATAGTTCCAAAATAAAGCACTACTTTATTTTTCTAGAACTAGATTTGTGCAGAATTAATATTCAGTTACAGCTTTATATTGTTAGAATATAAAGATTTGTGACTTGTTTCTTTCTTGTCAATATATTAAATTCAAAATAAAAATAAAAGTCTTTTATTTCGACATATTCTTTAAAGATAATATCACAGATTAAGTGTACTATATGTATACAGATAAAAATCTTATCCCTAATTCGTGGTACGAAAATTGTTTTTTATGACGATGTGCAAACGAGTAAAATTTCCTGTGCGCAAAAATAAACTCGCGTAAAATAACAATAAACAGCGTAATAGAGAGATATCGCTAAACCGAATAGCGTGCATGGACATTAATAAGGCCAGGTGTTATTTCCTTTACGTGAGGTGGTATTAACTCTCTCCATTTATAGTTATTGGATCGGAAAGAAGTCTGTTCGCGTCGCGTCCGCTATTTAAACTTAACCTAACTTTGAATTTAAAACTTTGAAATTGTTTTGTTTACTAGGTATTTTAAAACTAAAGGGCTAAAGTGCTTTTTTCCAGTGTTTTATTGTTCAACGTTTGCCAGTGGGTTTAGGGCAACAAGCAACAAATTCTCTTAGAAGGGCTAAGTCGTCATCTGCTGTAAACCTAAGCCTCTTTATAGGTTCTTTAATATTGGAAGAGGTGGAATCCATATTTTGGGCCATATTTATTTAACTAAAACTAATTCCAGCTACTTAAATATGAAATTACCTAATAAAACTAAAGTAATAATTCAAAACAAGTCAAACATAACCTAAAATAAAAGATCTCGCCGGCCGGCCCCGATTGTCAAATACCCGCACATGCCCATTTAAGCAATTTTTAAACGTTATTTAGAAATAGCGCTTGATGTAATTGATCCGCAAATTACGTCAGGCGGTAACGTTATTATAGAGAGTTTTTAGGTCGTCTATTTGGTAAATGACGTAAAACGCTAAACGTTATACTGATCATGCGCAGTTTGTGAAAAATAACCGACAACATTTGTTGGCCAGGTACTGTCATTTTAGATTTTGAGCCGTTTATTTAACACGTCATCTGTCAAACGTTAACGTTAAATTTTGCAAATGTCAAGATGTCAAGTGTCAACCATCAACTTGGACACTACATCTTGGCGTTGCCAATTTTTGTCACTCAAATATGTTGGTTATATATTTTGATGGACAAAAGAAGACTACAAAAAGTATATATTTAGGAACTATTTTACGTATTATTTTTTACCCTTTTGTAGCAGTTTTCTTTTTTTTTTCTTCTTTGATTATAATCCAAATAAGTATTACACTTGGCAACCGTGCTAAAATGTATCCCGTAATAGCGTACCGTTTATTTGAACCTAAATAGCGGCAAACGCTATCCACTAATAGGGTAATCCCTTATTTTTGTATCAATGCGCATGCTCTAAATAACGGATAACGTATAAAGCTGATCGAATAAGGGGCTTAAAAAGTCTCTATTAGGTTATTAGCGGGTGTTGCGTTAAAAATTGACTCGCGCATATCGTAACCATGATAAGGGTACGCGTAAATACTGCATGACGCTATTCGGTTTTCCGATATCTCTCTAATAAGTGTGCCGGTCAGGCGCTGTGCACAATTTTAGAGGCCATAAGTGGGCGTGCTATGTGCGCAAACTAGTAACCTAACTAGTGCCCGATTCCGAAAATTGGAACCACGAAAAACAATAAAGATTATAATCTGTATAATCTGTGATAATATAGTCTAAGAGCTAGCAACGTTTTCGAGAAAGTATTTTAAGACGTCTGTATATCTTTTACTATGCTCTCTGGAACAGCATGCGGCCCGTCTGGCTGCCGATACCCGTTACGTTCGCTACTGCGCATCGAAAGAAGATCCTATATTTTTTATTAATTTAGTCCTATAAATTCTAGTATTGAATATAAATCGAACATGTCTCCTTAGCGCAGTGCGTAGAGTTTCCGACCACGAGCCGATGATTCAGAGTTCGAATCCGGGTCAGGTCAAAGACTTTTTTATTTTATTTTCGTTTATATTCTGATTGTAAAGTATTAAATAATTCTGGTAATTAAAAAAAAAACAAATATTTAATACTTTACTATCAGAATATAAACGAAAATAAAATAAAAAAAGTCTTTGCCCTGACCCGGATTCGAACTCTGAATCATCGGTTCGTGGTCGGAAACTCTACGCACTGCGCTATGGAGACATGTTCGATTAATATTCAATACTAGAATTTAAAGGACAAATAAAAATATAGGATCTTCTTTCAATGCGCAGTAGAGAACGCAACGTTTACCGGCAGCCAGACGGGCCGCATGTTGTTCTAGAGAGCATAGTAAAAGATATATCAAAGAGTTTTAAAATACTTGTTTTTCCGACGTTGCTAGCTCTCGTACTAATATATTTAGAAAAATTACTACTTGCCACTAGGTCTTCCAAGCTGATCTATAAGGACTTTTGCAATATTTAAGTTGGTATAGAATTCTTCATCGTATATATCCACTGGCTTGGTTGCCTCAGCTTCATCTTCAGCCATAATTTGGAAAAATAATTTTGAAAATTAGATTTTATTCCATTACTGAGACATTTACTTTTTCATAATGACAGCTCTTGTGGCTACACTGTTGACATAATCTGACAGACTTTTGTATTTACATTTTGTTGGTGGCATTGTTGAATTTATTTATTTATTTGGCCATTTTATCACCCTTTATAAATGAATTAGGTACTGTAAAATCAGAGAGAAACTAATAACTAAAGTGAGAGGGCTTGTGGAATAGGGCATTTCGTAGACAAGTTTATTTTGTCACCGCGCATCCCAGACGCGCATAGCGTTTAGGCGCTCAAAAAAGGAAGTTTTCAACTTTGCAAGTTAAACATTTGACAGGATGAATTAGATTGTCAGTAGCTTTTTCTATTTCTTAGCTCTAGAAGGAGATAACGAAAATCTGTTGATAAACGGAGCAAATCGGAGTAATAAATTGTTTTTGACTGAATGTGCCTGTTCTTTTAGTTTGTCAGAAGAGAATATTATTGTCATTATTGATTATTTCAGATTCCACGATTATTCGGCATTTTTCTAATTTTTGTTTTGTGGTTGAGACCCAGACAAAACGTTTCCTTTAAAGGTAAGTTTTATCTCGGTAATTATTTTAACATACCTAATAGTAATAGTGAGTGCACATAATAATGGTACATTGCTAATTTATTTCTTTTTAATTTAAAACATCACATTCTTTTCTGATACCTATGGAACGACTAGGTATTATACCTGGTATTATTTCCAGTAATACAAATTATTTTCTTTAACTGCTAGGTTCTTGTTATGGAATAAAGACTATCAAAAACATTGAATACCTACGGGATACCTACTGATACTCTGTGCGAGCTCCCAACCGTGCTTCCCTGTTCACTCCCAATCAAGTTAGATAAAAAAGATACTGAAGATTGCAGCTTTGAGTTGGAGTATGGAGTTAAATAAATTATTGTGTTCCTACACAGTATTTTATTTATAGGTTTTAATGCTTTAAAGTCTAATAATAGAGAGAGTAATATAAAAAAAGAGATAATCTAAAAAAACTACGAAGATTTCTTATTATAAACTTGAAAGATTAAGATTCGGTTCAAATATAGAAATTTTAAATTTTTCGCGCCAGTATATAGGTATGAATGCAACCTACTATATCGATAATGCGCTCATAGTTCGGGTTAGACGCCAAAGGCCGCGCCACTAACACAGTCTTCAAAAATTAACGTTGATCGGTCTCTGACTTTAGTTATTAGTGTTCTCTCTGCTGTAAAATAAAGCAATAATTCATCACAATACACTAAAACACTTTATTTTCAAGACTGGACTATCAGCAGATGATTTATTATTTTGAAGAATCTGCTGATGACGCTAACACGGTTAGCGAAACGCGCGTCCAGTGTTTTAATAAAGTGTATTGGTGTATTGTTGTGAATTAGTGTTTTATTTTTTTAGGTACTATAGTTTTCTTTATTGTAGGATTAAATAGGTTTAAAAAAAGCAACAGTATCATTTATATTAATTATTTATTTATTTTAAACATTTTCAGTTAATTTTTTATATCATTATAATGTCTAACATACAAGATTATATAGCTTTTTCTAAAACATTAACAAACTTATATAAATTTAAATTATAAATACTCTAAAAATATGTCTATATACTTATATACCCTTCATCATTATATTCTTTTCAGTCTTTTCTTTATTTTGGCATTTTTTAAACCATGCAACATTCAATAAACTCTAACACATTTTTAATAATCTATAGTATAAGCCAAACAAAATTTCGCAAACGTCATAAAAAATATTTTGTTTTTGACGTGCCCCAATTTTGTTTTACATTTTTACTATAGAAAACTTATTTATTTTTCTATTAACTTATTACATAACAAAATATTTAAATTAAATAGAGTAGAATAGTGTGACGTTCATGATTATGCAACCAATAACACACTAAGTAAGCAAATTTGTTAGGTCTTGGTGTCACGTTAGTTGCATATCTTCCTAGATTATTTTTTAGGCTCGTTGTTTTAGATTTTTAACAGTTAGTCCTTTTGTTTTTTAGTTAGTCATTTTCTAACTATATAAGCGTCGTTTCGTCTTGAGTTTCCTGGTCAAACACTATTAAAAGAGAATCTTTCGAAGAAGATTGGTCTTCTTGGTCTAGGAGAGCTGTTTTTTCGCAGTTGTCGTTTAGGGAACAATCCGGGGAACTACAGAAAAAAGGTATACTTATTATAAATATCGAGAAAGCCAGATTTTAGTGTGTTACCTGTTGTCAATATGTAGAAAATTATTTGTAGCTGCGCTACTGGTTGAAGGTAAAGAATGCAGATCAGGTGAAGCTAATGGTGGGAATGTTTTTGGACTCGTTTCCAAGGTGTCTTTGAGGTGCATTACTGGATAAGATTCCCTATTGAATAAAGTCAATATTTATTATCTCATAATTTTAGGGACTTAGGAACTGATATTGAGACATAGTCCTTATACATATTTTTCTTTTAAAGGCTACGTTCTGTTGTCAAAAACACGCTGCTTATTATTTGTTTATTGTGCTCATAGAGGAAATATTTAGGAGATATTTATTCCTCCTTGAAATCAATAATCAAATGGTTATTATGTTCGATAAACACTCTTAATATCTTTAACTATAATTTAGAAAATTATTCATATTTATTGTTATGTAGTACTGGGTCATTTCTTTTACTGCTTTTTTAATTAAATTTAATATTCCCGATCTTATGTCAGCTATGTATAAGGTTGATTTCAAGTGATCATAAGAGGAAAAAACATTAGGAGTAAGTGTATTGTTAGTTGTATCTTTTAAGCATATGATAATTATTAAAAATATCCAATACCTGTAACCTGAAGTGCTAGAAGTCTGCGAAATAGCACTATCTTCGTCCCAAGATCCCTCAGCGCTCTTTCCTCTAGTTGCTATCCTCAGTCTATGTGAATCAATAGCTGAGAAACTATTTTGATTTTGGAATCCAACCTAGTTTTTTTAAAATTGAAAATTATAATAAATTTAATTTTGTTCGGCTTAGAATTCACTATTCTTGATAATATTCTCTTACTTTTTGGTTATCAAGTCCAGAATTGGATTGGTTTGAATACTGTTGATGAAGATACTGATGTCCCGATTGGCTCTGATTTGCTGGGGGTGTTGAAACTTGAGGAGAAGTAGGCAATGAAGGAGTTTCATTAGGCAGAGGTGTATAAGGTGTAGAAGAATCAATTTGCAGACCATTTGGGAACATTTGAGTAGGAGTTTGAACAGGTGGAGGTGAAAATGTCTGAGGACCTGGAGGCGAATCCAGTTCTGAGTCTAGTTTCAGATGAGATAGCTGGAAAAATAAATAAAACAAATATAGGTTTGAATTCTCAGAAAAATATAATTTTTAAGTTGAAAAATTTGGTTATTACTTACTTCTGAAGATTTCTTGCTACGACTTTTGCTCCTGAGTCTGAAAGTTTTTCTACTCTGAGGCATCATGCGTTGCAGTCTGGATTTCTGATGCACCTCTTCTTCTTCTACGGGACTTGATGGACTCAGAGGTGTCAATGAGGTTTCACCTTATTAAAAGAGAGTTATATAAGCATAGGCGTTTTTAATAAATTATATTTATTGGTAATGAATAAACACGCTGTATGCATCAATTAAGTTTACATTGTGTAAAGTTAATTTAAGTAAAAAACACAGAAAAAATATGTTTTGCTACATTTTTGACATTTACAAATAACTACGACAATAACAAGAAAAACAAACACAAAGGTATGGATAAAACTGCTTCTTTTAATTGATGACTTATTCCATATTATTTTGTTTTATTTTTTAATTATAGTTTTTCTTTATTTTTTATGTTTTGTGCTTCTGACTTTATACAGGGTGTTTCAAAAAACATGTGCCATTTCTCGTGGGGAGATTCCTCACGTAAAAATAAAATGTATTTTTCATATCAACATAGGTCCGATTCTGCTTTATTTCGTAGCTACAGGGTGTTAAAATCTTAATAATCTTTCGATTAATTATAATTTTCCTTCAAGTACTTTTAGTGATTCTTCATATTTTTTGATGAGGAATCAAAGAGTATTTATTTAAAACTTTTGCAAGTTAATGATATTAAAATATTTTAAAGGTTGCTATTGATAACCCATATGCACGCCCCTGGTGAATATGTTGACACTTTTTTAGCTTTAAAATATGTCGCATTTATAGTAATTTTTACCCTCAAAATTTCATTAGAAAAACTAAAGGTACTTGGAAGAAAACTATAATAAATCGAAAAAATTTTAAGACTTCAACGCCCTGTATCTACGAAACAAAGCAGAATCGGTCCTATGTTGGTATGAAAAATAAATCTTATTTTTACGTGAGAAATATCCCCACGGGAGATGGCAGATGTTTTTTAAAACACCCTGTATTTAACTTTAAAAGTATGAAAACTCAGATATGTAACAAACCTATATTATTTATAAGAAAACTTTGTTTTATATGTGAGTTTTAGTTATTTAAGCAAGAAATTCAATCAATTTTGAATGATTATGTACAAAATGGCAGATGACAGAAACAGAGCCGTACAAAATAGAATGAATTATAAACAAAAAAACTTTATACAAATTAATTTAGCTTAAAAAAAGTTTTATTAAACATACTTAGTTGTTGCATGAAGCAATTAGGAACATTTAAGAATAAAGAACAATGTTAGTTATTAATTAATAAAACTGATACGACTCTGTTTTACCAGTGGCGGCCCAGTCTAACTTTACAATTGGATTACAATTTATTAGTCAGAATTACCAACTTCTTGGGTAATAAAGAATTTTGAACGTCAATAATCCTTTATTTAGGTTAATTTAACTGTCTAAGTTTTATCGGATACGCCACTGGTCATAACCCCGCCCATGACTTGATCTCCGAACGGGAAGGATTACCTGAAGAATGCTTAAATTCTACCGAAGAGACAAAGCGCAGTTTGTGAGCGGTCTTATGAGTAGTAGAAGGTGGATGGTGGTTGGGTTGTGGGTTGATTGGGTGGTGGTAGTTGGTGGGGTGAGCCTCGTCGCTGGTCGAGGACCGTTGAGATGAACGATCTGAAACAACTACATGCAGCACAGGCACTCCGCACTGCCCAGTTTTGTACTATTTTATGTGCGGATGAGAGTAACCAGAACAAGAATCGTTGTACTCAGTCGTTAATATATATATAATTGTATAATAACAAAAAAAAGTATGTTCATATATAAAAATCATATATTTTTTAAAAAGTCCTAGACACTCTAATCTTGTACACACGTTACAACAACTTTTGTTCTGTTACTCTTAAAACATAAGTATCTACCAACAGTTATTAGCATTCTAGCACACCTATATTTAAAGAAAAATATTTTGTATTTAGATTATTTTCATTTTCACTTCTGTCTCTTTGAGAAATTGAAGTAAGAGAAATTTGAAGTATACATTTATGAAACATAATATATAGCTGTTTTGGTGAGAATAACTTGATGGTACCTGAAAATATATATACACTTGAAAAATGTACGCAGTACTCCAAACAACGAACGACAATATATAGATTAATTTTAACATGCAATGTCTTTAATGAGATTGTTTTTGCTTTGAAGACGAATTTAACCGATACCTGACATCATGACGTATATATCGTCATATATAACATAGAAACGTATAAAAAGATCATATATAAAAATCATATATAAAATCATATACAGGGTTGTTCACCACATACGACACGGAGTATTGTAGCTAAACGATGAGATTTTTACAAATTTTAAGTCTTGGGTTCGATGAAGGACTATTAGAGGTACAATTTAAAAATAATTTTACAAGATACAAAGTGTCCCAAATAAGTAAAAAATATCAAAGTTGTATTTTTTTAAATGGAACACCCTGCATATTATTGCATTGTTAGTTTCTACGATTAAAATAAAGGTAAATTTGATTAAAGTTTATTATACTTAAACCTTACCGTTTTTGAAATATTTTCAATTTTGTGAAATTGCAGTAAAAATTTTAAGGCTTCATTCCTCCAAGGGTACCAAAGTTTTTAATACTAAATATTTACTGAAGTTTATTTATTGATCAGTTATTGTGTTGCAATAATAAAAATAATACTACCTTATACAGAGTGTCTAAAAATTTATTTTAAATAATTATTAGCTTCAAACGGCAATAACTTGTTTAATTTAAATGGAACACCCTGTATATTTTACGAGAATCAGATGCACAATTTAATTGTCTATTAAATTATATTATACCATTTTTTACCTATCTCTTTAAGTTTCCGTAGAAAATGCATTTTCTTGTAATTTAAAATTTATTTATCAATATACCCATGGAATATTGACATTTTAGATTATTTTTAAAGATGTACCAAATTTTTAAAGTGTACAGATACTAATATTGTGGATATAATTCGTTTATTTCATTAAAAAAATTAAAAAAAAACTGTTTAAATATTTGTTAAAGAGGACCAATTAATATGATTCCAGTATTCAAACTACATTAACTGACTGCATTGATTAATAATAATTGTTCCAAATACTAAAAAAACTGAATTTTGTATGGGTATTAGACAGTGTGATAAAAAGTAACAGCTTAAAAATATTTCATTTTTTAATAAATGCTTATTTATAACAACAGAGACTTTAATTTTGATAACTTATTATTATATTGATTTCTGACTCGAATCCACATTTATTAAGAATAATTTATTAACGAATACAATTAAGTATGTAATTAATATGGGCGGAAATAATGGTGCTATATTTAATTAATGGTATACTCTTTTATATAGATTTAAATAGTTTTCTTTTTGCATACAACATTATTGTTTTAGCAAAACGATAATGTTACTAGAATGCAGAGAAATAGAAGGGATAGAGAATGAGCGTCAACATGCGCAGAAGGTCTAATCAAGTTGGGCGCCATATTCCAGGTCTTCCTGTCATTTTGTATATAGGTGGTAATTATTAAGCCCTCCATAGTGGTAATCTATAAGTAATCAAATATCAATTTGCTGTTTTCAACCATACGGGGGGCAATTTAAATTTAGTGAAATTCTATCATTTATTATGGTTAGTTAACATTAATATGATTTATTTAATTATCAGTTTCAAAACTGCGTACAATATTGGTATATAACACACTAAATATACGAATATTCTGACAAAAGACGCTACGGACAGATGACCTTTTCGTCGTTAAACACTCGAAATGATATTAAATAAGTATTTACAATATTTCATGTTTACTTGTACTGAATTACGTGTTTCAATTTAAATTTTTTGCAAATTTGGTAAAAATTGTTCTAAACACCTTTTTGTTCAAGTTGTATGTTCATAAAAAACATTTGGTTCATAATTATTTTTTATGATTACCTACCTTGTATTTTTAATATAAACCTAGAAAAAATATGTTTTTGTTTTATTTTTTTTATTCGTCCCTTCAAATTGTGTTTCAAAAACTGTTACATAATATGTCCTCTGACAAATATTTTCATAATACATAAACATCATTGATTTTATTATGGGTATTATTATTAGTATTTATCCTGGTTTTTGTTGACAAAAAAAACTCAGTCTTGTAATAGAACATCAATTTTATATTTCGTAAAATTATTTTGATACAAATTCAATTTGTCAAAATTCAAGTCATTAATATATTGATAAACAACCCAAATTATTCCTAAATATTTTATTATAAAAAAAACTGTTACCGGTAAGTTTGTAAAACACATTATGGTTTGTCGTAATACTAGAAAAAATAATACGTATATTTTTTGCACAAAAGAAGCTTGTCGATCCTTATTTGTCCATAACAAAATTCTGTATGTACAACATACATATACCTAATTTATTATTAAGAAAATTAGATTATATCATCTCAGAATTTTAAGAAATTTTTTTTAAGATAAAATAGTTTCTTCTCAACTGTAATATTGTCAACTTTGGCCTGTATTTTATCTATTTAAAAACATGGGATTGACAATCCTTTACTAAAATACATACTGGAAGGTACCGATTAAGTTTCATTGCATCAAATACCTTTGCTATAAATCCTGGCTCACAATTTAAGGCCATTGCAAAATGCTTTTGAACTTCATCATAGATTTTACAAGAATAAAAGTGTAATATTGAAACAAAGTAACATTGTAAGCTTCATAACTAATAGTCTCATTTTTAATACTCTTTAAATATCATCTCCTTAACAATTATGAATATTTTATGATTTTTCTCAGTGATTTGTGGCACAGATACAAATTAATATATGCTCCATAACAGTTTTTAAATAAGAAACTTCTGCCTACAGATTTAATTTTCTTATTGGCATAATACCCTTTCTTCCTATATAAATCTTGCCATTTTTTCAGTCCAATGTTCCTTGTTTTTACAGTTGTAGGAATACTAAAAATGTTGACTATAGAACTTGATACTATGTTTGAAAAAAGCCTTCATACCTGTAACTGTGCATAAATCTAATTAACTGAATTCTCCTCCTCTTGACACTCTGAACACTGCTGCTGCTAATGTTAGAAATATTTAGCACAAAACTACAACTACCTACAACAAACTTTCCAATAAAAATGTTAAATTTTCGCTGTTCGATTAAAATACCCTATCTTATGTTTTCTTTTCCTCCAAATAATCTTCTTGTCAAGTAAGGACCAATCTTATTTGACATATTTCTGGTACACATGAACTTGTGCTTTCATGGACACTATAAGAGTGCACTGTTTTACAGAAGCATGAACATTGATTCCAAGTATCTTCTTCCTCCACACGTAATAAAAACATCCTCTTTAAATGGCCACATCATACACTTATTTTTGACCATTCCCAATTACAATCACGATTTTTACAAATCGCCATTAGGAAAACTAAAAATAAACAGTTTTGGATCATCTGTAAACACGATTATGCTGTATAAACTTACACATGAAAACTAATCATTTTTCCCGGCGTATTAGCTTTCTTAGAATGACTATGACAATACACAATAAGCCTTTTTGAATTAGTGTTTAGAATAATTGAGACTCTGATTGAGATAATAATAAATTTTAACTAGATAACAACAGATAACAACACGAACGAAAAAAAAAACAAAACAAACAGATGTCAATTAAAGAGGGGAAGTGACAGCGAGACCTGGAAGATGTCTGCCATCTTGCCGTCGACAAAAATTTGGATGCGCACTCGTCGAAGCTCATTCTCCCACTTCCATATCTCTGCTAGAATGTCAATATATGATGTCAATATTTCATAGGTGTCAATAATAAAATGTCAATATTCCATAGGTATATTGATGAATGATGTCTAAATTATAAGAAAATGCATTTTCTACGAAAACTTGAAGGGATAGGTAAAAATGGTATAATACAATTTGATAGACAATTAAATTGTGCATCTGATTCTCTCAAAATATACAGGGCGTTCCATTTAAATTAAACAAGTTATTGGCGTTTAAAGCTATAAATTATTTAAAATAAATTTTTAGACACTCTGTATAAGGTAGTATTATTTTTATTATTGCAACACAATAACTGATTAATAAATAAACTTCAGTAAATATTTAGTATTAAAAACTTTGATACCCTTGGAGAAATGAAGCCTTAAAATTTTTACTGCAATTTCACAAAATTGAAAATATTTCAAAAACGGCGAGGTTTAAGTGTAATAAACCTTAATCAAATTTACCTTTATTTTAATCGTAGAAACTAAAAATGTATAAATATACAGGGTGTTCCATTTAAAAAAATACAACTTTGATATTTTTTACTTATTTGGGACACTCTGTATCTTGTAAATTATTTTTAAATTATACCTCTAATAGTCCTTCATCGAACCCAAAACTTGAAATTTGTAAAAATATAATCGTTTAGCTACAATACTCCGTGTTGGTGAACAACCCTGTATAATATCATATATAAAAATTATATATGATATCATATATTTTTCCAAAAACACATAATTTTTGTAGAAATTAGAGTGAAATTCGTCTTCAAGCTCATGTCTTCTAGACGCCTATGAGATCGATTTGACACATTTATGCTAGCGATAGAAGCGACACCGAAACATGAAGTACCTTGTGCGTTACAAGGGGTCGTACCGCCACTGGTTTCTTCGCTGGTTCCAGTGGTTTTTTGTATCGGCGTGGACGCGTGACTGGTACTGGTCGAAGATCCTTTAAAAAGGGTAAACATTCGGGATTTGAAAACATATAAAATCATATATAATCGTATATAAAATCACATAGAAAATTATATATAAAATCATATATAAAACATATAAAATCATATATAAAGGTAGATAATATCAAATCATATATGAGTTTCATATAAAAACATATGTCACATATCATGCCCATATATTATATCACATATTTTATTAAAACGCATATTTTTGTAGAAATTAGGATGGAATTCGTATTCATTGTCTTTAAGGCGCTTATGAGATAGATTTTAATACATTTATCAACACCCAAACATGAAGTACCTTGTGTGTTACAAAGAGTCGTACTACCACAGGGCTCTTCGGTAGTTCCAGTGGTTTTTTGTACCGGTGTGGACGCGTGACTGATACTGGTTGAAGAACCTTTAAAAACGGTAAACTCTCTGGATTTTCCCAACAAAAATAGGTACAATTTACTGAATAAAAGTTAATGTAACGATTCCGTTATAAATTTATGATAAAAAAATTAATTTTATTAGGTTATTTTTTTACCTTTTAAATGAGAATGTAAATATTCGTGTGTGCTGCTACGCTGATGGTGATCCCAAGATGGCAACAATCCACTGATCATAGATTGGCGCTGAGGTCTTTGAATTTCACTGGTGATATGCACATTTGTTTGAGGGTTCTCCTTTCTAGATTCCTCAGCTTCGGTTGCTAAAAAAAAATAAAATAAAAGAGGAGGTTATAACAAAATACAGTTCTTACTAGTAGTGGGAACTATCGAATGAATACTATCGAAACATCCGATTGTTGCAATTCATTCGAATAATTCGATAGTTAGTAAAAAACATTCGTTGAAAACTATTCGAATAAAAATTATCGAATAGATGCGTCATCTGCCTTGGTATATTGTATTCTAGTAATTCGGCAACAAAAACCATTCATTTATAAAATTCATTCATTTATGAAATTCATTTGTTCGTCAGGATCGATTATAATAAAATATTAACTGAATTTTAGTTGTAGCCCGGCGACGTAGGTTTCTTTCCGAGAAACCCGACAGCGGTCGGTGGCAATGCTATGAAAGAAGCCGGCATCTTTGATTTTTTGCGGAGTCAGATATAGATAAGGACACATTATTTTTTTTATTGAGGTGCTAGTATTTACACAGAAAATATATTATGAAGGGCGCTGTTGCCATATTTTGGCATTACTTGATATTAGCAAAGAATATTATTGTTTGGCTTTAGTTAGTTAGGGATAGTATGTCTATATATTCTGCATTTTTTTTATTAATATTCTGTTGTTACACTGCAATAATACTTGTTATTTTGGATGTAAGAAAATTATTTTTAATGTTTTTAAGCAAAGACTGGTTTAATAAATAATAATAACAATAATAATTTGTTATAGCTATTAACAACAAAATTTAAAATGATTTAATATAAATATTTTTTTAAGTAGTAGCAAAATATAAACAACAAATTAGATGTCAAAATTATTTATATTAGATCCTATTTAAAAATAATATAATCTCTAATTTTTTTGGCAACGTTGGTTTATTAAATAATAATAATTACAGAACTAATTTGTTATATTAACAACAAATTTTAAAATCATGAAATATAAACATTTGTTAATTTTCTAAGCATGCAGTGTAATGGAACGAAAATATAAATAAAAAATTAGAAATCAAAATTATTTATATTAGGTGCTTTATATTACTATTTAAAAATTATATTTACTTTTACTGGCATTTACTTTAAAAAATAAATGAAATATTTCTTCGCAAAAAAACTACATGTAAGAGAATTAGCATAAACAAAATACAAACATCGTTAACTTTTTTTTAAAATTGGCACGTGTAAAACTTTCATTTTAATTTTCTCACCCTATATTTTGAGTTCGATAACCCCCCATTTACTTAACCACATTACTTAAATTTGATTATTAAGTTCAACTAATTCATATTATTAAAACATCTAAAATACAAATATGTATTTTTAAAATTAATTGTAAGTTCATCTCATCTCTCTTAAAAATTGCTACTTCTCAAAATTTCCCATTAAAAAATAGACCATATACCATATAAAATTAAATAATTGAAAGATCGGACCACGGAAAACCACACAAATTTTCGGAAAAAATTTGACCACCTGCACATGCACACAATCGTCAATAAATAAAATTAAAAAATAACTACTATTTTAGTATTTTAACTATTTTAATAAACGCAAAAATAGCACAGTATTTATACGGCGAAGTTATAAAAATTTGGAAGAACTAATAATGCACTGACGCATACAAAAATCAAACGAATACTAAATTTCATTTATCAAAAGCATTCGATAGTCGTGGCTCAACGATAACCATTTAGTTGCACGGCGAGGTTGTCACATATGCTTTAGTATACAAATGAATGAATGATTTTATTCGAATAAAACCATTCGATAGTTGAAATCATTCATTCATTAACCATTCGATAGTCTAATTCATTCGATAGTTCCCATGGCTAGTTCTTACACCCAGACAGTTCTTCCTTTAACTTCTTCATTCGAGTAGCTAGTTCCATCAGTATAGCCCCCTTGCTTTTGGGCAAAGGCAAGCCAATACTTCTTATCTTGTCTCTTATCCTTTGATGCATGTTCCTCTCGAAGTCTGATATAGGTGGTTGAGCTAACTGTTTGAAGTACCGAATATTATAAAAAAATTCTTCGGTATTGTTGAGAGAAACCTTACTTTTAGAAAGATGAAAGGTTGCATTAGGATATAGAGTGGGGTCCTGTGGGTAACAACAAAGTCCAGAAAGTCCCACAGAAACGTTGCAGCTTCGTTTCTTTTGCCTAGTTCTCTCATGGTTCTTCCGATTTTGATCCAGTCGTTTATCAAGTGTTCTTCGAAACAGATTGCTGGAAAAAAATCAACAATTTCGTTTTGTAAAAGAATGTTTCTATTTTATATACAGACCTATAATTTACATAGAATAGAATTACTACATTAGGGAAACCTTTAAAATTTACAATAGTAATAAATACTAGGTATATTTGATACCAATTAGTAAACTTTTAGTTGCGTAATCGAGAGCGAAATTTTCGCTCTCATTCGGCAACGTACTGTCTAAAGCCCCATACTCACACTTCGCTACTTCACTTCCTTCCTTCGTCGCATCCCTTCGTCCAAAAATATTATATTTACTATGGGAAATGTCGATTTTATGCGACTGTGTGTTCCTTCGTTCCTTCGTCAAAACGCTCCTTCGTCCGTTTACTTCCTCGAAACGCTCCTTCCCCGTACTGTTGGTTTTTGGACGAAGTAGCAAAGGAATTATCACGAACACAAAAAAATATTAAAATATATAAATCGATCTTGGATTTCATTCATAGTTGATTCCTTGATTTGGCAGTACGTCTGTACAGGGTGTCCCATTTTCGTGTGTTTTGCAGGGTTTCTCGTTTATGAGTCGAGATACAAAGATGCGGTTTTCACATTACCCTGTTACTTTTTTATGAAACTAAAGATGCTACATACAGATATGTCCTAGCTCTCTTACTTCCGAAAATACAGGGCGAATCTGAAATTATTGCATTTTTCGATCACCTTTGTATCATAACTTATCGAAAACGTGAAAACGGTCTCCCATATAGTTTTTCACGTAGAATGCAGTGACGTGATTTCTTCGTTGGAATCTGCCTTTTTTTAAATTGACTAAAACTTATATGTTTTTTTAAATACGATATTTTGTATATTAGTTTATTTTCCTTGTTACGAGCTTTCTAAAATACTTATTTTCATAAACGGGATAAAAATGCATTATTTAACTTTATTACATAGTCGGCCGGTTTAAATTAGGTAATCAAAACAATCAACTAATTTATTCGACGTAAAATGTTGGTTATTGGCATGTTATTTAAAAGCAGCACAAGTTCAGTTTCCGTGTAGTTTATCAAAATATCATGACGCAAAGCAAAATTATCTGGTAAAATTAAGTTAAATAAAATAAGAGCCGTTTAGCAGTACCTAAATAAATAAATATAGAGTATATTATAATTTCGAAAGCTCATAACAAGACAAATAAAATAAAAAATAATATATAGAGTGTCCTGTTTAAAAAAAAGAACATAAGTTTGAGTCATTTTTCGAAATAGACAGCTCCCAACGAAGAACCACTTTCGTCACTGCTATTCTACCTAAAAAACGAGACACGGGCGGTGGGTAAGTACTCAATGGGTAGAACAAAACAAAATCAGGGTATCCGGTATATACCTGTACATTTAGATGAACAGTCTAATTTTATAAAAGGTATTTCCAACGACCGCATAGTAAATACCCGGTATAATACCAGTAATATCAGGAATACGAGTATATCTACAATATTTCTTATATATATTGTAGATATTATATATTGGTATATTTCTATTCCCGGTATTATACCGGGTATTTACTATGCGGTCGTCGGAAACTCCTTTTATTAAAATTAGGATATTCATCTAAATCTACAGGTATATACATATATACGCAGATTTTATTTATCTACAAATTGGGTACTTACCCACCGCCCATCACTGACCCTTTTCACCTTTTCGATAAGTTATAAGATAATCGAGATACAAAGGTTATCGAAAAATGCAAAAATTTCTACTAATTAAAAAATAAAAAGTAAAAGAAAGAAATAAGAAATAACTTTGAACTAAGAAGGCTAGGATAAATATGTGTGTAGCATATTTAGTGTCATAATAAGTAGAACAATGATGTGAAAACAGCATCTTTATATACTCTACTCATAAACCAGAAACCCCATAAAACACACAAATATGGGACATCCTGTACATCTAGCAATCGCCAATCGATATAAAAATAATTCACACACAATAGTCTAAAAAATGGAAGAAAAAAACAATATTGTCTTCATATTTGTGAAAAAATGCATGTCCATATTTATCATAGAAAATAGAAATAGTGTGCATGATGCCTTTACAAAAATATCTGAAGAACTGGAGATTGACATCATTAACGTTTAATTAGTATGTCATATTTCATGGTTTCGATATAAATTACATAATAAACTTTACTCTATTGTTGACTCGCCTTGTACATTCATACTGAAATATTCGGATTTATTAAAAAAAATATATTATTAAAATTGAATTTTTATTTTTGACACGACAAAGAATTGCAGTTTTATAAAATAAAAATTATGCGCCTTTCGGATTTTTTAAAAATTTTAGATATTGCTAGATATTTCGTATTAAACATGTAGCTGCTATATTAAAAATATTTTGTGGTGTGTTGTTGCATAACTGACTAATTTCCAAGCATCGAATGGACGAAGGAAGGAAGCGAAGGGACGAAGGAACGCGAGGAAGTAACGCGAGGAAGGGACGAAGGAGCGAAGTGTGAGTATGGGGCTTAACTAGAATTTAAATTTCCCGCTGGGGATTCAGGTGGTAGACTGTGGTAGTCTACCACTAGATTCACAGTGGTAGTCACTGCTGAAAAAAATGCCAAGTTGCCACATTTATTTATTTATTTTCTGACATTGTTTTTCGTTTTGACACTTTAATTTTGTATGACGAATTTTTGTTTTAAATTAATTGTGTTGTGATATTTTAAACTTAAACATTTTTACTAGGAGATCTTGCAGTCGAACATTGTTCTCTTTATAACCTATTTTAGTGCGAAGTTTACAAGATAACTTAATAGCCGTAAAAAACTCATCGCAACTTAATTAGAATATTTTGAATTAACTTAAATATTATTACCTACCTATCATTTTAAGAGCTAGGAATGAAACTTCGTACAAAGAAGTGTTAATCTTAGACGCTGTTTTAGTATCTCTAGTTCCGGTAAATGTCAAACTTCCGGTTCTTGTTTCCGCGGTTCCTTTAGGATTAGGTCCTGACTGAGCTGCTGCTTTGATATTCGGTGGACTCATAGCGTGCAAAACTAGAGTTATGGCAAAACTAACATCCGATGGTTTGATTTTTGGAACATCTAAAAAAATAATTTAGATTTAATAATATTTTCTAAATTGTATCACTAAGTACCTTTTCTGCCACTTCCAACTCGAAGACATAGAGGCATAATCAAGTTAATGATGACACTCTCGGTTTTTTCTTGAGTAGGGAAGGTAGAACCACCACAAACAGTCTCTAGAGTACAAAATTCCTGGAAACAGAAAAAAAAAACATGTTTTTTTCGATGAATATGTTTGATTTGAGTCGATTATTTACTTGACCATCCTGTATTTGTAGGGCTATTAGTCGTACGACCATGGAACAAAAGTTTGGGGGAGGGGCTTGGCTAAGTAATGCTGCAGTTGCACCTGATACACCTTCCACACAACATTCTGTTACTATCAGGCACTAAAATAGAAGAAACTGTGCTTCAATTTGTTTTGAGATATACATATATAGATTTTAAGATTTAGAGAAATAAGAAAACTTATAGGATTTTGTCTGAACGTTGTCACATTTTGCAGGGGTATTATTTGACACAAATTGACCCCCTCTATGTATAAATATTTCTCTGAGATTTAGGTTTGTCTTACCTGACATACTGTAACTAGTTGTTTGATTTGGTGCCAGTTGATTATATAAGGATACTTAATCATGGTGTTGTACACTCCTTTCAGTAGCCCAGCTGCGGCATCCCAATCAGTGTTTCTCTAGAAAAAATATATTTTCTTTTAAGTATGGATTGATTCTATGTTGTAGAAATTTCTGTATTAACATACAGTTTACAGTCACCAAAAAAAAATCTGATGCGAAAAATTTACTTTCATAAAGAATTACCATTATTATTTTTATTATAGAGTGTCTCAAATAAGTGCACCAATTTGACCTCAGAAACAAGCTCACGAGTTAAATAACGCTTAAAATACTCGTACTTGTTAATAGACACCCTGTATAGTTAAATTTCCTTACCCTTATAGAAGGCTTTTTCTGGATCTTACTGAACACTTTCTCTAAGCGTTTTAAAAGAGTTACAAATGCCGGTCTCATGGCATCATCTCCCCAATCAGTAGCTGGCAGTACATAAGACATGTAGTACTGTAGTCCTCTGCAGGCCATGGACTCAGGGTCGTACGGGGATACTTTCAAAAGGGCATGAGCTATATCCGCCAATCTCTTCAAAAAATACATTTAATTAACTTTACTTAAAGAATCTGTACCTTGAAATTAATCTACGCTGAAGAAAAAGATCAAATATCATAAAAAACTACTTGTCTATACTACTTGGTAATAGAGGAGCTATATTAGAGGATATTTGAAATATTCTCGGTATATTGTTTTTTATAATATAAAAACATTATATACTATGGTACTTACTACATGAGAGCGACAGTCCAGAACTTCGATAGTTTTGCCATCCGTGTCTTTTTTCATGATTTCCGCAATCCTTTCGTTGACTTTCAGCACAAATTCTCCCACCAAGGATAGCAGAACATCCCTGTAATTAATTTTATGATAATTATAATATATTAAAATATAATTACAATATAATTATGATTAATTACAATTAATTATAATTAATTACAATTAATTATAATTAATTACAATTAATTACAGTTAATTAGAGTCAATTACAGTTAATTACAGTTAATTACAGTTAATTACAATTAACTACAAATAATAACAATTAACTACAATTAATTAAAATTAACTACAATTAATCACAATTAATTACAATTAATTATAATTAATTACAATTAATTATAATTAATTACAATTAATTACAATTAATTGCAATTAATTACAATTAATTACAATTAATTACAATTAATTACAATTAATTACAAATTATTATAGTGTAATTACAATATAGTTACAATGATACCGAGTTAAATATCTCTACCTGGGTCTTCGGTATTCTGCTCTCTGTACCTCACTGTTCTCGGTATCGTTTTCGTACATGCTCTTTGTTCTGTTGTGTTCGCTCATAAATTTAGAGTGGGAATCGTCTTCAAAATCGAAACCTGGCGAGTATGGGCCTCGGAAGTTCCTCTGGCTCGAGCCTTTGTGCTCAGGGCTCGAACGGTGTGGCCCATTGTACACCCTGTATATTGAATAAAAGCGATCATTAATGATGTTATTCTGTTTGAAAAAAACTTGTGGGTTTAGGGTAGTGTATGGAGTTTTCTAATTTAGGGTATGATGAAGGATATTAGTCGTTTCAACTTTATCGTATGATCGAAAAAAAAACGGCGTCAAAGTTTTTTGCCAGGTTAAACTCAGACTTCAATCCCCAGCCGTCTTTGACGCTGTTTTTTTCGATCGTTTGCTATTTAAGACCGATTTTTTTTGATAAAGTAGTTAGAGTCTTATTTTGCTATAATATACAGTGTTTTTTTTTAAACAGTTAATTTAAATGCGGATTCTTATCTTTTTGAATTTCTCACTGTAGTTTTTGATTTAAACAAGAATTCAATCTCATAATTACACTGTATTATTTTGGAAAATAGTCCCCCAAAAAAAGTTTGAAACGACTATACAGATATTAATGTTTTATAAAAACTACTATAAGTTATGTTCGCTGTATTTTTATTTGGTTTAGTGTATCAATGTAGGTAACTGTCAAAATTTCGTGCTTGAATTCAATCAAAAACAGTGAAAACAAGTATTATTTTACAAAAGAAACGAAAAATGAACGTACTGCTTATGGCAAACGGGATAAAAATACGCTTTAAAAAATAAAAACCATTAAAAAATTATGTCAACTTATAATAGTATTCCTCCAATTTTACATTACTTAAAATACCTTTGAATAAAAAGACTAAGAACTAATTAAAATATTATGTGCGTTATATACCGGGTGTTTCTCAAAAGTGGCTCACCCCTGTAACTTTTTTATTTGTCAGATAAAAAAACGAGATTTGATATATTAGTATATAGTTTTCGGTCACTTCTTATCTCACAGATAATGACTATATACAACTTGTGATTTAAAATGGCACCCTCGGTATTTTTTTATTTTATTCGTTAGAAAATGACACTGTGAATAGAATGACATATCGTATGTCAACTTTTGACATTCTTGCTTTAAGAAAAAAAATCGTATTTTAAATTTGAATCTAGAGTGCCATGTCTGGGTTAAAAACACTAATTTTTAATCAAGGAGCCTTGAAAAAATAAATTTGATCATTTAATGTTTTTGGTGTCTTGTCCTGGCCGGTTTAAAGATGCTGAAATCGTATTATTAATCATAACTCAATTTTTTCAAATGAAACGATGGTGGCTCATTAGTATATTTGGAATAAATATTTTTTTACAAATAATTTGGTACCCCAAACTTGGTATTTCTTGCCAGGGGGTTAATCTTTTTTTGTATAATATAACAACAAAAGATTAACATCCTCCGCATAAAAGTTGAAACCAATGCAATTAAAACTCTTCCGCGTTACTTTGTGGATATAGGTAGGTATATTAAATTATAATCGCCATATGTCTAATTTTCGGCATCTGTCCCCAACATATATACTAACATACTAAATTTCGTTTTGTTTATCTGAAAAAATAAAAAAGTTATAGGGGGTGAGTCTGTCACTTTTGGGAAACACCCGGTATACGCATATTAATTTTCAATTTAAGCTCAAAATTGGAGTAAATTCACCAGAACTGTAGTTACGTTTTATTTGTGAAATCAAGAAACATAAAATATAACAGAAAAAACATAAAGATCAAGCTAAAATGCAACACCACCTACCTTTTGGAACTGAATCTGCAAATAAAAAAATACAAAACGTTAAAAACAGAAGCGTGATGCGATGGGTCAGACACTGTCATGAAATGGCGCCCTTTTGCGAAATTCAAGCAACTAATTCTTGTCTAAAACAGTAAACTAAACGTGAAATCGATTCAAAATGGCTTTCGTGAATTCATTTTTACTCTGTGTATTAAATAGACATTCTATATACAGGGTTGTTCACCACATACGACACGGAGTATTGTAGCTAAACGATGAGATTTTTACAATTTCTAAGTTTTGGGTTCGTTGAAGGACTATTAGAGCTACAATTTAAAAATATTTTTACAAGATACAGAGTGTCCCAAATAAATAAAAAATATCAAAGTTGTATTTTTTTAAATGGAATACTCTTTGATTAAGGTTTATTACACTTAAACCTTACCGTTTTTGAAATATTTTCAATATTGTCAAATTGCAGTAAAAATTTTAAGACTTTATTTCTCCAAGGGTATCAAAGTTTTTAATACTAAATATTTACTGAAGTTTATTTATTGATCAGTTATTGTGTTGCAATAATAAAAATAATATACAGTGTCTAAAAATTTATTTTAAATAATTATTAGCTTTAAACGGCAATAACTCCTTTAATTTAAATGGAACACCCTGTAAATTTTATGAGAATCAGATGCACAATTTAATTGTCTACCAAATTGTATTATACCATTTTTTACCTATTTCTTTAAGTTTCCGTAGAAAATGCATTTTCTTGTAATTTAGAACTTATATATTAATACCCAAGTAGCATTTTCACGACTTGCGACCACATGTTTACTAAACACAACGTTGGATTAGTTGCAAAAAATAGTTAGCTCCCTACCTTGGGTATTAAAATAAATTTAAACGTTTTTATAACGTTGTGCCGACGTTGGACTAGTACTACAGCAAAGTAGAAGCTTCTGCGACGTCGAATAAACGTTGTCTTGTAACCTTTTTTGCTTAAGTGATCTTTAGGTGATTCGGACAACGTAGTTACACACACGTACGTTGGACAATATAGAGTTTTCCGACGTCAGTTTCAGGACCTATTCCAACGTTATGCAAACGTCGTCTGTTTTACTAATTCCAACGTTGTTTAGATTTTCTTATTCTTACGTTGGTAGGACGTCGAGTCACTACCTTTTTGCAACTGTATTGAACCATAACCTTAAATCTTAAATTTTCACTTCATTGTTCTGTTCAGTCAGACAGTTCAGTGCTGTTTTTGTTTTTATAAAAAAAACTTAATTAAAATGACATAAGAAAGGTACATATAAAACTAAATTTAAATATACATCGACATATATTATATTACCGATAGTTTATCCACTCCCTCGTTTATTTAGATTATAGAGGGCGGCACAAGCTAGACTCTAGGATGACTAAATTAGGCAATCTTGCGACTAGTATACTACCTGTTAAGGCCGAACTGCGACTTTATTAGTCCAGTATGCGACTACTCGAACTACCCCATCTTAATCTCCAAAACAACAAAGTGAAAGCCGCCATCTTGTTAAATAAGAAAATGTTTCGTTTCTAAAATAGCAATTCCTGCTTTTTGAATACATTAACGTGAAATATTTGACCCTAACCATACGGAATAACACGCGGAAACAATTTTTTCGACTGCGAATAAATTATTCCCATTTTACTAAAAAAAAAAAATTCTAGAACATTTTTAAAACTTCTTTAATTTTAAGGCCCATTAGTATTTTTCAAAGTAGAAACAATACATTTATCAATAAAGTTGTTTGCGTTTAACTTTTTTGCCTTGGGTAACGAGTTACAGAGTCGGTTAAAGTGTTTCAATAATTATGATCTTCAAACATCCTCCACACCACTTAAATATTTTTGTTTTGTTTTCCTTCACTGCCATCTGACATGTGTCTCTAACTAAATCATAAAAATAATATTTTTACTATAATTATCCCAATATAGAATAAAACGCGACTTACACGCCATATTAGTTTTGTATTTCTGTGAATTAGGATTTTAAACAACGTTGCAGTTTGTACTAAATTAGGCTTCTAGCCAACGTCGGTATCCAACGTCGTTTCGACCAAAAAATTATTCTCCAAACTAGTGCAGACTAGGGTTGGCACGAGGTTGTGCCGACGTTGTGCCCCGACGTTTGGTCGCGTGACACAACGTTGTCCCGACGTCCAAATGCTGCTTGGGTATACCCATGGAATACTGACATTTTAGATTATTTTTAAAGATGTACTATATTTTTAAAGAGTACAGATACTAATATTGTCGATATAATTCGATATATTTTATTAATAAATAAAAAAAACTGTTTTGTATGTGTATTAGACAGTGTGGTAAAAAGTAACACCTTAAAAATTATATTTAATTTTTTCACAAATGCTTATTTATAACAACAGAGACGTTCATTTTCATAACTTATTATTATAATGATTTCTGATTCAAATCCAGATTTATTTAGAATAATTTATTAACGAACACAATTAAGTATGTAGTTAATTAGTATTTGGGCGGAAATACTGGTGGTATATTTAATTAATGGTATACTCTTTTATAAAGATTTAAATAGTTTTCTTTTTGCATACAAATGGGCTAGTAATATTATCGTTTTACTAAAAACGATAGTATAACTAGCCTGTATATTTTGTACATTTGTTGTTTTAAAAACAATCTAAAATGTCAATATTCCATGGGTATATTGATAAATAGGGTCTAAATTATAAGAAAATGCATTTTCTACGAAAACTTGAAGGAATAGGTAAGAAGTGGTATAATACAATTTGATAGACAATTAAATTGTGCATCTGATTCTCATAAAATATAGAGGGTGTTCTATTTAAATTAAATAAGTTATTGCCGTTTAAAGCTAGTAATTATTTAAAATAAATTTTTAGATACTCTGTATAAGGTAGTATAATTTTTATTATTGCAACACAATAACTGACCAATAAATAAACTTCAGTAAATATTTAGTATTAAAAACTTTGATATCCTCGGAGAAATGAAGCCTTAAAATTTATACTGCAATTTCGCAAAATTGAAAATATTTCTAAAACGGTAAGGTTTAAGTGTAATAAACCTTAATCAAATTTACCTTTATTTTAATCGTAGTTTAACTAAAGATGCAATAATATACAGGGTGTTCCATTTAAAAAATACAACTTTGATATTTTTTATTTATTTGGGACACTCTGTATCTTGTAAAATTATTTTTAAATTGTACCTCTAATAGTCCTTCGACGAACCCAAAACTTAAATTTGTAAAAATCTAATCGTTTAGCTACAATACTCCGTGTCGTATGTGGTGAACAACCCTGTATAGTTATCCTTAATTTATTTTTGTTTCCTAAAATATTTTGATTAAAAGAAAATATATAAAAGTGGCAACACTGTGCCGGTCAAGCTTAATCACGTGACTGAAAGTTTATTTGGTATGAAACAAAACAAAAACTGTTCTAAAAATGTATTTTAAACGTTTGTTCTTCCATTTTGTTTACAATCATGGAGAGACACAAAAACCTTTGAATCGAATTCATTCTATTATTCTATCCAATGACTAAAGAATACAAGGATTAATAACATCAGGAACAGACTTGTTACCAGTTGTCACCAATGGTCTTTTGCCAGTGCCGTGTAAAAAAACTTAATTGTTTCATAAATTATTTTTTTAAATTTCTTATTCGATGGTTTTTAATTTTATTTGTTAAATGTCTGCTTTTTATATAATATAAAAATAATTTTCTTAAAAGTTTTGCCTAAAGCCTCCACCATAGGCGTCCTTGTATTGGTTAGTCATTGATTCTATCGCACTAAAAAATTCGTCACCTTCCTGGTCGAATTTCGTGTTTTTTTTGAAGTAGAACATGTTCAAATTAGGAAATGTGAAATGTTTAATTATACCTTTTTTTCCAAACATCTGATAAAAAAAACTTTTCACATTTCTTAGAGAAAAAAGACTAAGATAAAAATTATTGGTAGCCTGTCTCTAATTATACGAAACCAGGGGCGTACGGTCCATGGAAGAGGGTACAAAAAGAAACCAAGTTTTTTAGATAGTGAATTATACATATAGTCTGTAGGTATACAAAAATATCTTTCGACTTTTTTTACCTTTATCGAATCGCTTCCTCTTCTAAAATTTTTCCGCACGCCACTGTAGGAAATGTGCCATGTTTTAAAGAAATAATTTAACGTACTACCAGCATTTTTTTCTCTTAGTACCTAAATATTAACTACTAAATCATCCAAAATGGTTTTTGAAATTATTTACAATAGATCGAAACAAATATTCAGTAAACTATTTTTTCTAAAAGAATAACTATTATCAAGTAATTTTTCATTTTTAAACACTCTTTAACATAAAAACAATCGTCGTAGGTATATAAATATGAAATTGAAAACATATTAAACATATTATGTAGTTATAACTGAGTTAAACTAAATCAAAGGAAATTTATTAGTGTTATTTTTAAAAGTATTTTATTACTATGAAATTTGAGTAAAAAATATTTGGAACGTTTAGACTAAGCAGTTCCTAATCAGTTTTTTCTTTAAATTTTACTAGAAAACTTTCAGGATTATACAGGGCGTGTCTCTTAAATATGTGCATGTGTTTTAAGTAATTCGACGTCGGAAAATACTCGCATAAGTTTTATTTTGCCCAAAAAATTGTCCAGAGTGCCTCAGGTTCATTCCCCTGAAATAATTTGACATTCTAACGAGATCTATCCAATGTTGCCATCTCCTACATTATCAACATTTTGCATATTTTTGTGTTTATAAGCATTATTTTTTTAAAATTTCCAAAATTAAATAACTCGGTTATTTTTAATTTATTTTAAAAATTATTTATTATTTTTTCCTTTGTCCAGATCTGCCAACCCTTAAAATGCTTACACCGATTTATGAGACACACTATCCTATATATAACTTATTGGTAATTCATAGTTTGTATTATTTATACGCAGAACAATATTATTTTTTCTGAAATTCATGAAAATCTATTTTTTTCAAGTTAGCTTAGCATCATTTTTTATTGTAAAACTTCAAACAGCAAACGCGGATTTATACAGAGCGGCCTAGAATAAAAATATACTAACTCTAAAAAAACTGGCATTCATTGAACACGTCCCGAGCGCCATAGTTTTGTTTTTCGTGTTTTTTCGAGTCCAAAAAACTTACTTGGTCAATTCTGAGCAGTTCTCTATCAAACATCTGACTGCAATCGAGAGCTGGTTGATTATATCTCGTTCGTTTTTCTTGAATCGTTTTATCGAGTTGGCTATGTAAACGGAATTCTGGATTTTGTCTACGTAATACGGTAAAATCGCTTCTAATATCACCTAGATAAAAATAATATCTACACTTATCTATTGCTGTATTTCGCTGGAGTAAAAATAATACATTGACAGGCTTTTTTTCGACCATACAGTACTTAGTAATAAATTAGTATATTATACAACGAGCATATAATGGTGGCTGTTATTATCATATTATAATAATAAAATCATTATTCACTAGTGAATAATGAATATTATTATTATTTTATAAATTCATGTATAATAATCAAATTATAGACGAGTCGTGGAATAGTATATCATTCAACGAGCATATAATGGTAACTGTTATTATCATATTATAATAATATAATCATTATTCACTAGTGAATAATGAATATTATTATTATTTTATAAATTCATGTATAATAATCAAATTATAGACGAGTCGTGGTATAGTATATTATTCAACGAGCATATAATGGTAGCTGTTATTATCATATTATAATAATAAAATCATTATTCACTAGTGAATAATGAATATTATTATTATTTTATAAATTCATGTATAATAATCAAATTATAGACGAGTCGTGGAATAGTATATTAGTCAACGAGCATATAATGGTGGCTGTTATTATTATATTATAATAATAAAATCATTATTCACTAATGAATAATGAATATTATTATTATTTTATAAATTCATGTATAATAATCAAATTATAGACGAGTCGTGGAATAGTATATTAGTCAACGAGCATATAATGGTGGCTGTTATTATCATATTATAATAATAAAATCATTATTCACTAGTGAATAATGAATATTATTATTATTTTATAAATTCATGTATAATAATCAAATTATAGACGAGTCGTGGTATAGTATATTATTCAACGAGCATATAATGGTGTCTGTTATTATTATATTATAATAATAAAATCATTATTCACTAGTGAATAATGAATATTATTATTATTTTATAAATTCATGTATAATAATCAAATTATAGACGAGTCGTGGAATAGTATATTATTCAACGAGCATATAATGGTGGCTGTTATTATTATATTATAATAATAAAATCATTATTCACTAGTGAATAATGAATATTATTATTATTTTATAAATTCATGTATAATAATCAAATTATAGACGAGTCGTGGTATAGTATATTATTCAACGAGCATATAATGGTAGCTGTTATTATTATATTATAATAATATAATCATTATTCACTAGTGAATAATGAATATTATTATTATTTTATAAATTCATGTATAATAATCAAATTATAGACGAGTCGTGGAATAGTTTATTATTCAACGAGCATATCATGGTGGCTGTTATTATTATATTATAATAATAAAATCATTATTCACTAGTGAATAATGAATATTATTATTATTTTATAAATTCATGTATAATAATCAAATTATAGACGTGTCGTGGAATAGTATATTATTCAACGAGCATATAATGGTGGCTGTTATTATTATATTATAATAATAAAATCATTATTCACTAGTGAATAATGAATATTATCATTATTTTATAAATTCATGTATAATAATCAAATTATAGACGAGTCGTGGAATAGTATATTATTCAACGAGCATATAATGGTAGCTGTTATTATCATATTATAATAATAAAATCATTATTCACTAGTGAATAATGAATATTATTATTATTTTATAAATTCATGTATAATAATCAAATTATAGACGAGTCGTGGAATAGTATATTATTCAACGAGCATATAATGGTAGCTGTTATTATCATATTATAATAATAAAATCATTATTCACTAGTGAATAATGAATATTATTATTATTTTATAAATTCATGTATAATAATCAAATTATAGACGAGTCGTGGAATAGTATATTATTCAACGAGCATATAATGGTGGCTGTTATTATTATATTATAATAATAAAATCATTATTCACTAGTAAATAATGAATATTATTATTATTTTATAAATTCATGTATAATAATCAAATTATAGACGAGTCGTGGAATAGTATATTATTCAACGAGCATATCATGGTGGCTGTTATTATTATATTATAATAATAAAATCATTATTCACTAGTGAATAATGAATATTATTATTATTTTATAAATTCATGTATAATAATCAAATTATAGATGAGTCTGGAATGGTATATTATTCAACGAGCATATAATGGTGGCTGTTATTCATGCGGATGAAGTTTATGATCATAAATCATCCAAGTGAATAACAGCCATTATATGCGAGTAGAATACTATACCTTATCCAGAACTATCAAAAAAATTTAGATAATATTAATATAAATTTTTATTTTTAATTTATTTTATATTTATTATGTCAAAAAATATTGAACGAGTATAACGAGTAAGTAACATGGAAACAAAACATTGAAATTTTCTTTAACTAGGTAGCTAACAAGCTAACTAATTTAATTTTGTGCGTACAATCGCATTCCAAGCCAGTTTGGATCGAGCACAGTTGGTGGCACTTTGGAGTTTGGATCGAGATATCCGTGGAAGCGGTGAATAATGAAACCATTATTCACTAGTGAATAATGAATATTATTATTATTTCATAAACTCATGTATAATAATCAAATTATAGACGAGTCGTGGATAAAATATATTAAACCACCGGATTATAGCCACATCTTATTCAAAAATAAGCTATTTTGAATATAATTTCTTAATGATAAATGTCTCTTGCTTACCATCATTTGATACCCTCTACAGCTTTCAGCAGAATAAGATACGACCATCACACACATAGATATACAATCCAGAACGGTGACATCGTTGTCTTCATCGTGATAACAGAAATCTATAGCCTTCACTGGTTCTTTCACCAATTCGGCGATGTTTAGAGGATCTGGAGATGGTGTTTCCAGACTAAAATTATAAAAAAAACGTTGTAGAGTATTTCTGTTTAAGTAAGCTCCAAAACTGCGGTTTGTTTGCATTTTGTTGGTAAATGATGGATCAAAGCAACTCATTATGTATACCCAGTCTATATTTATAAATAAATGTCTTTATTGTCAAAAAATTTTACATTTGTAGACAAAGATAAAGTAAACAAACAAAGGAGAATACAAAACATTATATACAGATTACATTGTCAGTCTTATTGTTTAAAATAAACATTTATAAATGTCAAAGAATAAAAAAATAAAAATAAGATTCAAAAATATTTAGTACGTTTATAGTAAATATCAATGACCTCTAAATACATTTATTTCGATGTCATTTGGTAAATATAATAGCAAACATTAGACCAGTGTTTACAAGATCAAATTCGATTATCAAAATATGAGTCATTTACCGCGTAGAAAGCCTTGTCTAGTAAATAAGATTTCAATGCTTTGCGAAATGAAGAAAATGATGTTATGGATTTGATTTCAAATGGCAGGTGACTGTGCATTTTTTTCGAGTTGTATAATATTGAACTTTTAATTAACTCTGAGCGTGGGGTAGGTAGATAAAGATCTTGCTCCGCGTTCCTGAGTGGATAAGTGTGAGATGGCCTTTCTTGAGAAGCTATTTTTTTTTCTAGCTTACGTATTAGGCAAACGGATTCAAATATAAATAAGGAAGGAAGAGTTAATATTTTTAATTTTTTAAAAAAGTCCTGGCAATGAGTTCTGCTGTTTAGTCCCAGTGTATATCGAACAGCTCTCTTCTGGAGCTTGAAAATGCGGTCAAATTGAGTCGTACAACACGTGCCCCAGAATGGAAGGGCATATCTGAGGGCGACTCAAAAAGTGCATAATAAACAGTTCTAGCCACTGACAAGTTAAGCTCCTTAGAAACAGATCTTAATGCAAAACAGGCAGAGCTTAATTTATGTACTAATATATACAGAATGATAAAAAAATCCTCATACCTTAGCAACAAGTTAAACAAACAGCTTGACTGTATCTTGTGGGCGTTACCATACATGCCTTCCTCGTCTGTATCAAGCATTGCTGAAACAGATCCAAACATTTGCAGTATAAAAGGCTTTCGATTCATAGTATAGAATTCTTTCACTGCGTATTCTATTGTGGTTGTCACTAGTTTGTTTGTCTGGTGATTTGAGTAGATTTTCAGAAGAGTCGGCATTATAAGAAGATATCTAAAAAAATTTAGGATATTTTTAATAATATTGGTTTTGTATTTTTTTGTTACCCATTGGTAGAAAATATATTTTTGAAATGAAAGGCTGCGTTGATGTAAGTTGCCATAACGTATCTCAGGATACAGGCGTCTTCTGTGTGAAGAATCAAGGCTCCATTTAAGACGTTGACGAATAAATGGATATCTCCAGAGTACGCAAAATTGCCAGCCATGGCTTCGAACATTCTCGCTATCAAGCGCACCCACATGAATTTGTGTAGGACATCTAAACCCAACAATTCTTTGCCTAGTGGTCCGCTTTTGTACAGATCTAAGTTCGATTCTAGAGCTTTTCTTGGGAATGAGGGCAATTTTATGAGTTCTTCGTGCAGAAAAACTACCCTTTGCACCACCTATAAACGATAACAGAGTTTTAAAATTTGTTTAAGTTTATCTCGTTTGTTTTCTGAATTATGAAAAAATGTTAAACAATAAAGTTTTTTTTAGTATACCTACAGGGTGCGTCAAAAAATTGTGGAGGACATAACATATTATATGTTTATTTAAACGTGTAACTATATTTTTTATTTCAATTTTAGATTCTGCGTAAAATTCTATAACTTTCTTATATACCGGGTGCAATAAGTGCAAGTATTTTAACTGGTAGTATACTTCAACCCCAGAAACACGCCTATGATGTTTTTTTCACGAAAAAAAATGTTTGAAAATTCGAAATTTTTTGAAATATTTTTTGGATTTTTTTTTAGTTTTTAGTTAAAAAACATAATTTCTTGATAAAATGGCAACATAGGTATTAGATTAAATTTACAAGAAAGAAAATCCAGAAAAGATCCAGTGGTTCTCAAAATTTTAGCAAAAAAATATTTTTTTTTGGAAATTTTCAAAGTAAAATAACTCCGTTATTTTGGACTTATTTGAAAAACGATAAAGAGAAAATATGTTTCTTTTATCGACATCTACCATCCCTTAAAATATTTGCACTTATTTCTGGGACACCCTGTATAATGTTATATACCTAAAACTAGTAGTTTTTCTAATATTTTTATTTATTTAAAAATATTAGATTTCAGTATACTAAAAAATTGTCAGTGACGCTATTGTTTCTGAATTTGGAGTACTGAAGATTGGTAAGTGAGTTTTATAGAGATTAAGAAAAAGCTATATGCAATGATATTTAAGTTAGATCCTACAGGGTGTTTAGAATAATAACACCCTATATAGGGTGAGTATGAAGGTGCAAATATTTTTAAGGCTAGTATATTTCGACCTTAGTTTTTAGTCATTTCTTGATAATATGGCAACACAGGTAGTAAATTAAAATTTTTAAATTTACAAGAAAGAAAATCCAGAAAAGATCCAGTGATTCACAAAATTTAAGCAAAAACTCTTTCTTTTTTTAGGAAATTTTTAAAGTAAAATAACTCGGATATTTTGAACTTATTTGAAAAGCGGCAAAGAAAAAATATATGTTTTTTTATCGAGATCTACCAAACCTAAAAATACTTTCACTTATTTAAGACTCACCCTGTATAATATTATTTTTTCTTGTAGATTTTGCAAAACCTTCCCGCTTATAACCAAGTACAAATTATATTTTTTTGAAAGCTTATAACAAGGCAAATAAAATAAAAGCACATTATGCCATTTAAACAAAAACAAGTTTGGGTCATATTTCAAAAATGACAGCTCCCAGCGAAAAGCTAGTTACGCCACTGAATTTTGACCGAAAATTTCTATAGTACACAGTTTTTACCTTTTTGCTAAGATATAAGACAATTGAGATACGAGGGGAGTCAAAAAATGCAACAATTTAAAATTCGCTCTGTATTTCAGGTACTAAGAGGGCTAGGACAGGACTAGACCACATCTGTGTGTAGTACCTTTAGTTTCATAAAAAAGTAGCATAGTAATGTGAAAACCGCATCTTTGTACCTCTATTCATATACGAGAAACCCTGTAAAACATATTCTTGGTTCATACGAAACTCGGCACCCAAGAACATTCCTTGCCGACACTGTATAGGGTCTCTTACAAAAATTCCCTGTTTTATAGTTTCACAAAGTATTGGAAATTTGGAATAATGTAGAAGACTGGTATGCATCTTTTATGGAATAATGATCCACTCTGTATATATCCAATGACTTACCATATCTACATTCTTTAGGATCGCCCATGTGAGTAAAACTTTGCCACTTTCAACGAACTTGTGAACCAACTCTTCTTTTTGCAGTGCATGGAACCCTTCTTCTGGTTCCATATGAACCAATTCCAACTGAGGATACTGGGAACGCTTGAAAAAATAGTAGTCTCTGACATAGGCAGATGGATTTCTTATTTGATCTACAAATAAAGATATTAATAGAGCTATAACTAAAATTTGTTGTAGTAAATGTCAATAATAAAAAAGTTTTTCCTCTTGTAAAGACAATCCGGGGACATACTGTATATGCTCGCTTTATCTAGAAGAGTATAACAGGAAAAAAAGTCATCAGAATTTGTATTACGTGTTTTGTAGTCCGTGAGAAAATATTCTTCTTTTTTGCTTTCTTCGATCCTGAAAAAATCCAAAGCCTCCTTCAATATTTGCCAGAACTGAGTATTTTCGTTGACTTGAAACTGTGTAGGAATTCCTCCAGCATCCGGATCTGAAACATTAATCTGTAGATACTTTATTGTACCTTTTTTTATTTTATTTTGCCTTGAGGTCCGTGAACGATAATCTTTTTAGCTGATGGAACGTTTGCAGTAAGTAATATGGAAGCATCACACTGTTCCTTGCGTAAAATTTGTTTTAAATCTTTGAACATTATTCCGTGCACACTATGAACCACCTAAAACAAAAACTTGTGTGTATGGAGATGTATTTTTATAAACTACTAGCGTGTACCCGCGATTTCGTTCGCGTCGAATTAATCATTTGTAATGGTGATGACAAAGCAAAGCAAGAATTCCCATTAACATACAAACTGGATAAAATTTTCTCACATTTATGTCAGCATGAGAAAAAACAATATGGCGATATTATTATATAACTTGGTAATATTTGAGGGGTAGTTTCATCTCGTTGGAATTTGACTTTCGAAAAATCCGTTTGCCAAAAATAAGCTTTTTACGCCAAGCAGTTTAAGCATAATCGTGGTTAATCAATTACCCAACTTTTTGGAACACTCTGTATGATTTTTTTAAAAAATTTCAAAATATGTAAAAAAACAAAATAAATTATGCGTGTCCAAGCGTTTTCCCGAAAGATTAAACGTTTTTTAAATAACAAATATTGTAATATTTGATGGGCGTTTTTAACCTCTTGGAATTTGAGATTCGAGAAACCCCCCCTTATCGAACCTCTACACCCCACCTACAATCCGTGTGCGAAAAATCTGCTTTAAACGTCAAGCAGTTTAAGCAGAATCGTGATTACTCAATGGTCATATTTTATGAAACACCCTGTATTAATTTTTAAAAAATCTTAAATTCAAAAAAAAAACAAACAGAAACAAACAAAAAAAAAACAAACAAAATTTCAATTTATTAAGGGTTGTGCCGCAACGAGACCACCTGGAAACGATGTACAGATGACAAGGGTACACCACCCCGTATTCAAAATCATTTGCCGGTCCGTAGGAAAAGGGCCAAGTTCAAAAAACCGCTGTTTCTCATGAAAATTAGACTGAAAAAAATGTGTACCTCATTTATTAAGGGTTGTGCCGCAACGAAACCACCTGGAAACGATGTACAGATGACAAGGGTACACCACCCCGTATTCAAAATCATTTGCCGGTCCGTAGGAAAAGGGCCAAGTTAAAAAAAACGCTGTTTATCTTGAAAATTAACAGAAAAAAATTTGTAGCTCGTTTATTAAGGGTTGTGCCGCAACGAGACCACCTGGAAACGATGTACAGATGACAAGGGTACACCACCCCGTATTCAAAATCATTTGCCGGTCCGTAGGAAAAGAGCCAAGTTCAAAAAACCGCTGTTTCTCTTGAAAATTAAGAGAAAAAAAAATTGTAGCTCGTTTATTAAGGGTTGTGCTGCAACGAGACCACCTGAAAACGATGTACAGATGACAAGGGTACACCACCCATTTTCAAAATGTTTTGCCGTATTCAAAATCATTTGCCGGTCCGTAGGAAAAGAGCCAAGTTCAAAAAACCGATGTTTCTCTTGAAAATTAACAGAAAAAAATTTGTAGCTCATTTATTAAGGGTTGTGCCGCAACGAGACCACCTGGAAACGATGTACAGATGACAAGGGTACACCACCCCGTATTCAAAATCATTTGCCGGTCCGTAGGGAAAGGGCCAGATTCAAAAAACCGCCATTTTACATAAAATTAGACTGAAAAAAAATTGTAGCTCATTTATTAAGGGTTGTGCCGCAACGAGACCACCTGGAAACGATGTACAGATGACAAGGGTACACCACCCCGTATACAAAATCATTTGCCGGTCCGTAGGGAAAGGGCCAGATTCAAAAAACCGCCATTTTACCTAAAATTAGACTGAAAAAAAATTGTAGCTCATTTATTAAGGGTTGTGCCGCAACGAAACCACCTGGAAACGATGTACAGATGACAAGGGTACACCACCCCGTATTCAAAATCATTTGCCGGTCCGTAGGGAAAGGGCCAGATTCAAAAAACCGCCATTTTACCTAAAATTAGACTGAAAAAAAATTGTAGCTCATTTATTAAGGGTTGTGCCGCAACGAAACCACCTGGAAACGATGTACAGATGACAAGGGTACACCACCCCCGTATTCAAAATCATTTGCCGGTCCGTAGGAAAAGGGCCAAGTTAAAAAAAAACGCTGTTTATCTTGAAAATCAACAGAAAAAAATTTGTAGCTCGTTTATTAAGGGTTGTGCCGCAACGAGACCACCTGGAAACGATGTACAGATGACAAGGGTACACCACCCCGTATTCAAAATCATTTGCCGGTCCGTAGGTAAAGAGCCAAGTTCAAAAAACCGCTGTTTCTCTTGAAAATTAACAGAAAAAAATTTGTAGCTCATTTATTAAGGGTTGTGCCGCAACGAGACCACCTGGAAACGATGTACAGATGACAAGGGTACACCACCCCGTATTCAAAATCATTTGCCGGTCCATAGGGAAAGGGCCAGATTCAAAAAACCGCCATTTTACCTAAAATTAGACTGAAAAAAAATTGTAGCTCATTTATTAAGGGTTGTGCCGCAACGAGACCACCTGGAAACGATGTACAGATGACAAAGGTACACCACCCCGTATACAAAATCATTTGCCGGTCCGTAGGGAAAGGGCCAGATTCAAAAAACCGCCATTTTACCTAAAATTAGACTGAAAAAAAATTGTAGCTCATTTATTAAGGGTTGTGCCGCAACGAAACCACCTGGAAACGATGTACAGATGACAAGGGTACACCACCCCGTATTCAAAATCATTTGCCGGTCCGTAGGAAAAGGGCCAAGTTAAAAAAAAACGCTGTTTATCTTGAAAATCAACAGAAAAAAATTTGTAGCTCGTTTATTAAGGGTTGTGCCGCAACGAGACCACCTGGAAACGATGTACAGATGACAAGGGTACACCACCCCGTATTCAAAATCATTTGCCGGTCCGTAGGTAAAGAGCCAAGTTCAAAAAACCGATGTTTCTCTTGAAAATTACAGAGAAAAAATTTGTAGCTCATTTATTAAGGGTTATGCCGCAACGAGACCACCTGGAAACGATGTACAGATGACAAGGGTACACCACCCCGTATTCAAAATCATTTGCCGGTCCGTAGGAAAGGGCCAGATTCAAAAACCGCCATTTTACCTAAAATTAGACTGAAAAAAATTGTAGCTCATTTATTAAGGGTTGTGCCGCAACGAGACCATTTGGAAACGATGTACAGATGACAAGGGTACACCACCCCGTATTCAAAATCATTTGCCGGTCCGTAGGAAAAGGGCCAAGTTAAAAAAACGCTGTTTCTCTTGAAAATTAACAGAAAAAAATTTGTAGCTCATTTATTAAGGGTTGTGCCGCAACGAGACCACCTGGAAACGATGTACAGATGACAAGGGTACACCACCCCGTATTCAAAATCATTTGCCGGTCCGTAGGAAAAGCCAAGTTCAAAAAACCGCTGTTTCTCTTGAAAATTAACAGAAAAAAAATTGTAGCTCATTTATTAAGGGTTGTGCCGCAACGAGACCACCTGGAAACGATGTACAGATGACAAGGGTACACCACCCCGTATTCAAAATCATTTGCCGGTCCGTAGGGAAAGGGCCAGATTCAAAAAACCGCCATTTTACCTAAAATTAGACTGAAAAAAAATTGTAGCTCATTTATTAAGGGTTGTGCCGCAACGAGACCACCTGGAAACGATGTACAGATGACAAGGGTACACCACCCCGTATTCAAAATCATTTGCCGGTCCGTAGGGAAAGGGCCAGATTCAAAAAACCGCCATTTTACCTAAAATTAGACTGAAAAAAAATTGTAGCTCATTTATTAAGGGTTGTGCCGCAACGAGACCACCTGGAAACGATGTACAGATGACAAGGGTACACCACCCCGTATTCAAAATCATTTGCCGGTCCGTAGGGAAAGGGCCAGATTCAAAAAACCGCCATTTTACCTAAAATTAGACTGAAAAAAAATTGTAGCTCATTTATTAAGGGTTGTGCCGCAACGAAACCACCTGGAAACGATGTACAGATGACAAGGGTACACCACCCCGTATTCAAAATCATTTGCCGGTCCGTAGGAAAAGGGCCAAGTTCAAAAAACCGCTGTTTCTCTTGAAAATTAAGAGAAAAAAATTTGTAGCTCGTTTATTAAGGGTTGTGCTGCAACGAGACCACCTGAAAACGATGTACAGATGACAAGGGTACACCACCCCGTATTCAAAATCATTTGCCGGTGCGTAGGAATAGAGCCAAGTTCAAAAAACCGCTGTTTCTCTTGAAAATTAACAGAAAAAAATTTGTAGCTCATTTATTAAGGGTTGTGCCGCAACGAGACCACCTGGAAACGATGTACAGATGACAAAGGTACACCACCCCGTATTCAAAATCATTTGCCGGTCCGTAGGGAAAGGGCCAGATTCAAAAAACCGCCATTTTACCTAAAATTAGACTGAAAAAAAATTGTAGCTCATTTATTAAGGGTTGTGCCGCAACGAGACCACCTGGAAACGATGTACAGATGACAAGGGTGTGGTGTACCCGTATTCAAAATCATTTGCCGGTCCGTAGGAAAAGGGCCAAGTTCAAAAAACCGCTGTTTCTCTAGAAAATTAACAGAAAAACAAAATAAAATATACGTGTTTGAGAGTTCTTGTCTGGTTCTCTCACCGGCTTTTAAATAAAAAATATTCTAATATTTGAGGGGTTGTTTCACCCCCTTAGAATTCGAGTTTCGAAAAATCCCTTCTTATCGAACCTCTACACCCTAAAGTCAATCCGTTTTCCAAAAATCAGCTTTTTACGTCAAGCGCTTTAAGCAGGATCGTGATTAATCAATGACCAGATTTTTTGAAACACCCTGTATACATTTTTAAAAATCTTAAAATATGTAAAAAACAAAATAAAATTTTAAGCGTTTTTTCGGAAACTTGACCGTTTTTTATATAAAAAATATTGTAATATTTGAGGGGTGGTTTCACCTCCTTGGAACTGAAATTACGAAAAATCCCTTCTTATCGAACCTCTACATCCTAGAATCAACCTGTATGCCAAAATTGAGCTTCTTACGTTGAGTGGCTTGAGCAGGATCGTGATTAATCAGTGAGTCAGTCACTTAAGGATTTTATATATTAGTATAGATATCAAAAAATTCCTTACCATCCAAAGTAGAGACAACGCAGAACCAATAAGCTGCTGCCCTTCCTCGTGAGGACTACGAACATAAAACATTACATAACCTATTATGTAATTGTATAAAGCAAACGCAGCTTGCTGGGGCAGTTTTGGTATAAACCTGATCAAGTGTCTTAGGATTTTGAACATCTGTTCTTGCTGATCTCTTGTCAGACGCTCCAAAATGTACCTAGGAGAAAGAAATATTGTTTTTTTTATTTAGAAATGGTTTTAACAGTATCTGGATAGTTATTACCTCAAGAATAACGCACTGTCTTCAACGAGACAGGTCCAGATTACTGAATAGGCAACTTCGTAAACAGCACAACCATCTGCTGACACAGCCGCGTCATCAAGTAGGTTTATTATTGACACTACAGCAGAACAGAGACAAGATGGGAACAGTGAATGGGCTGAATGGAGGTGATGACCTGTGTTCCTTGTCTGTCCATCAGGTTGATCATCATCTGGAAAGAATTATTGAAGATTTTTCAGAAATAAATTATGTATTAAGTAAGTAGTGCTGTTGTTATTTATTAGATCGGGTGTCTTAAATAGTAGTAGTATGTTTAAATAGTTAAAATACTGGCACTTATTTCAATGACAAATGTTTTTACCATCTTCATGTTCTTCACTGGTATGGTACAGGCTGGGTTCGTGAGCCGCTTGAATGGTAATCGGGATAGTTGTGATCAAGAAATTTTCTCGTGCTTCTCGTTTTTTATCGTCTTGTGCTTGAAGCGCCATCTTGATTAGTTCAGTCTGTTGTTTTTTGCGTGTCTTTGTAGCGGTTACCAAAGATCTCTACAAAAAAAAATTAATCTACAGGCATGTGTGATATCTTTTTGAAAACAAAACATACGTGTCTTTCTTGATTGATAGTTACTTCTTCGACTTTAGTTTTAACCAACAGTTCCCAGGGAGAATCAACTACATCCAAGGATTCTATACCAATTTTTGGAGATGGCAAAGTGAATTCTATACCAGGAGGTGGAATTTTGAACAAAACATGAGCATTTTCCTCCATCCTAGGCCATACTTGAAACCTCAGTTTCCATAAAACTTGAAACCTAGATAGATTATAATATAAAAACACAGATTAAGTATACTATATGTATACAGATAAAAATCTTATCCCTAATTCGTGGTACGAAAATTGTTTTTTATGACGATGTGCAAACGAGTAAAATTTCCTGTGCGCAAAAATAAACTCGCGTAAATAACAATAAACAGCGTAATAGAGAGATATCGCTAAACCGAATAGCGTGCATGGACGTTAATAAGGCCAGGTGTTATTTCCTTTACGTGAGGTGGTATAAACTCTCTTCATTTATAGTTATCGGATCGGAAAGAATTCTGTTCGCGTCGCGTCCGCTATTTAAACTTAACCTAACTTTGAAATTGTTTTGTTTACTATGTATTTTAAAACTAAAGGGCTAAAGTGCTTATTTCCAGTGCTTTATTGTTCAACGTCTGCCAGTGGGTTTAGGGCAAGCAACAAATTCTCTTAGAAGGGCTAAATCGTCATCTGCTGTAAACCTAAGCCTCTTTATAGGTTCTTTAATATTGGAAGAGGTGGAATCCATATTTTGGTCCATATTTATTTAATTAAAACTAATCCCAGCTACTTAAATATCAAATTACATAATAAAACTAAAGTAATAATTCAAAACAATTCAAACATAACCTAAAATAAAAGATCTCGCCTGTCAGCCCCGGTTGTCAAATACCCGCACATGCCTATTTAAGCAATTTTTAAACGTTATTTAGAAATAGCGCTTGATGTAATTGATCCGCAAATTACGCGAGGCGGTAACGTTATTAGCGGGCATTGCGTTAAAAATTGACTCGCGCATATCGTAACCATGATAAGGTACGCGTAAATACTGGATGACGCTATTCGGTTTTCCGATATCTCTCTAATAACTGTGCCGGTCAGGCGCTGTGCACAATTTTAGAGGTCATAAGTGGGCGTGCTATGTGCGCAAACTAGTAACCTAACTAGTGCCCGATTCCGAAAATTGGAACCACGAAAAACAATAAAGAAAAAACAAAGTTTTTAATCTGTATAATCTGTGATAAAAATGTGCAGTGTGCGGTAGATCTCAGTCAAAAATCGAGACAGAGAAAGGAATCATTTTCCCTGATATTGCTGATTTATTCATAGAATTAATATCCAATATCTTTTTTTTATTAATAAAAAGTAGGTATACATACCTCAAGATGGCATTTATTCGAATTGCAGGGTTTGTATTGGTTAATCCGTGCTGCATTATTTCTGTCACTTGTGACGGCGCTTTGACAGCACTTAAAATGAACAAAGATGCCGCGGCAGCTGCCACTTCTTGGTTCATCTCGAGAAGAAGTTCCCAAGCCACGGGAACGATGTCGGAGAAATTTTCTTCGGTTAGTATGACGGCTCCTTTTAGTAGGGTGGCTAAGGGTGCATGATAGGCGTCTTTGACCTATATACATATAGAAGAGCATTATAGTTTTCATAGCAATTAATTCTAAGTAAAAGAAGAAAGAATTTTAATTTTTTTGAATATAAATTTAAATTACTTGGGATTGGATATATTTTAATATTGGTGGTGCTTCGGTGGGTCTTCCGTCATCGACGTTTTTAGAGCAACTGTTGCCTCCATCAGAGTCAGCAATGTCACGCGAGGAGTCTTTGGAAGCTAGTTTGCTGGCTTGAGAACCATCCAAGTTCTTGTCAATTCTGCAAAAATAAGATATATGAAATAATTTTTAATTTATATAGGTACCTACTTCATGGGACTATTTAAAAATGACTAGTACAGGGTGGTCCGAACTGTATTCCGGAAACTTCGGCAGTATATTCTGCAGATAAAAATAAGTAAAAAAGTTCGTATAAATGTATACTCTGTTTTTTTTCTCAGGTAAGATTTCGACAGACGATGACAGAAGAAAAGCAGATGACGTCCCATACCAATCTATTTATTTTACTAAAAAAAATTCTAATAATTTTTAAGTTAACTATGGATGGGTTTAAATATAAATTCGTCATGCGTCGTCACTTGTTGTTTTTAACCAGTTTTATTGGTTTATTTCAAAAATGACAGATCGTATTTCAATTTTATTGGTTTGACGGAACGACGAACGACAAACGGACGCCAATGCGTATGAACTCGCCTTTAGATTTTTGACGTTTGTCAAAGTCTTGCCAAATTATAGGTTATAATTTTGTGACAACTTTTGTCAAATACCCTGCGTTTTGGAAGATGATGCATTTTGATTCAGTTATTACGTGTGTTTTGTGTCTTTTGAAGTCAAGTGGAGGAAAAATCGAGTGAAAATTAACTGTAGAACCCAGAGCACAGTTTATGGTTAATACTCGCTGCCCAGGCAGAAAGTATTATACAGATACCCCAATAAAGTTACTATCAATGAAGTTCGTATACCATCTCGTCGTAGATAAGTGCATCTCGAATATGGTAGAAGGACCATACTAAACACATACTAAAAACTGGAGTAGCTGTAAAATATCGACATCACACGATAGGTAAATAATGGATTTTAGTACTGCAGAAAAATAATGTCAAAAGGTACTGGTTTAAAAAAAAATTAAGATTAAAGTTAATTAATCAACCTGTGAGGTGTAAAATTTGGTAAGTGTTATTCTTAATAAAGTAGTTTGTTTTATTTATGTTGTTTTATTTATTCCTGCGGAATATTACAAATTTGTATTTGTACATAAGTTATATTGATAAATATAATCATAAATGCGGGAAGTTTCATAAAGCTTGAAAGTAAGAAATACCTAGTTCTTTTTATATTTTTTGGTATGTGGTGTCTTGTTTTTGTTTGTTTTGTATTAACACATACCGTTTTTTATTAAATAAAATAACTCGTTACATTTTTTCAGTTTTATACAGTTTTTTTTTCACAATATTTTGAAGTTACTTGTCAGTCAAATTTTAAATACATATATATTAATTTCCTGCTATGCGTTCCAGTTGTACCAACTTATTTCTTTGTAAAATAAAATAAACTACTTTGAAATTAAAATGACAGACACATCTATCACTGTCAAGGATCTTCTCGTTGGACAGACTATATGTCCTAAAATGCTTAGTTTCGGAGATACAGGGTGCAGAAATTTCATTTTTATTTCGATTTTTTCCAAATAATTTCTGAAGTAACGTCAATATTTGGATGAAAATTGGTGTCTGGGACTTTTTTGACATGAGAAATTTGATTTTGATGTCAATATGACTCCTACTTAAAATACTTTACTTCATGTATAAATACTGACCTGTCCCTTTTACCTACACTATCCTTTCTTCTGATTGGACTGACTTGAGAACTAGTCTGATCCGAAACTTTCCTATTGTTCTTGTCTTTCTTATTCGATTTCTTCTTTGTTTCTGATTCGTTAACAAATTTGTCATCTATAACCCCAAATTCCTCACCATACACCTTTCTAACAGCTTTAATCAGCCTAGAACATCCTCTCATAACTCTTCTATGGCAGAATGGATGACAGAAATTCTGGTGATTGCAGTAGAAATACATTCCGTTGGATATCTGAACCATCACCTAGTAGAATATATTTATTGTAATAGTAAAATACGGGGTGTTTTTTAAGTCAGTGCAAATATTTTCAGAATTAATAAAAATCTGTGTAGAACAATGGCTAAATAATACAAGGACATGTAACGCACATATACAGGCTGCAGCAGAATTTGTGACGTTATACGCCATTTTTTTGGTTTTAACGAATGAGTCATCAGCGACAATTTTAGCGATTTTTAATAGTTTGTGTGTAGTGAACTTTGTATAAACTTTATTACAATGGTCATTAGTTGCTCAGCTTTCAAGTGTAAAAGCAGCAGCGATAAGAAAGAGCCAGGAGTTACGTTTCATAGGTAAATAAACAGTCCACTCTACCTTTTTAGCGTTTTTTTTACTGAATTGAATAATTATTTTTCTGATATTATATTTAATTGATATGTGCTATACGTCGATACCAGTTTTGTACCTTTTGTTAACAATTTAATACATTTTTTTCGTACTTAATTAGTATGATACTATCGCTTACACCGTATAGTTCAGTCATTGGGGATTTTTGCTTGGAAAAAAGTTTTGCAACTTTGCAGGTTTATAGGTTTTGGGGTCTCTAACTAAAATCCATAAAATGCACATTTCTAGACTTGCCGCCGGCGCCGCCATCTTGCCAAGATGGCGCCCAAAATCGGTATTTTGTGAATATCTGGAAAACTATGCGTTTTTCGCGAAAATTTCAGGTGAGCAAAATTAAAGAGAATAAAATTTTCTATAAAAAATGTTTTATAAAAATTTTCGCTAAAGTCAACCGTTTAGGCACAAAATCCGTGAATATTTTATAATTTTGCGTAAAATATGATATATTATGTATAGTCGATTTTCCGAAATCAAATGTCGATTAGGGTTCACTAAAACTAGTTTTAGTTTAGTTTCTTCAATTTTGTCATAAAACAGTGGTGTATCATTAATTCGCTCATTCATTTATGAAAAATTAATTTTAATTATTGAAAATGTGTATTTGTTTCCACACCACCCAAGAGGTAAAGTATATGGCGCGTTTATTTTAACGTGGTCTCCCCGGAGGCCTACTCCACTAGATAAATTAAAAACTTTAACTTATCTGGACAAGCCCGACGGATCTGGCTCATTGATGTCAAAGTCGATCGTGTCTGCTGTGCTGGGCCCATCAGGCTGGTCTCTCAATTCGTCCAACTCTTCATCTTCAGCCGCCAGAGGGATAGCTACAGGCAAGTCCAACTCCTCTTCATCGGATTCGTCGAGTGACACTTCAGTGACGTTGTCACAGGATTTCCCATTGCAGTATGCACAAATCATTGAACATTTTAATCCTGCTTTTCTGCATCCGCAGGCTTTACCATAGTTGTTGGTTTTACATTTACACGATAAAAATGCCAATAGGGATTTTGGAGCTGGATCTTTCAACATTGTGACTGGAGTAATGCCTGTTTTTGTTTTCTTCCAACCCCATTCTTCGGCATCTTTGGTACAACCAGACCAGTGCTGAACCTGGTGTAAGTTCGCAATGAATGCTGTCCAGCACGACAATTAATTATTCATAAATTAATGAGCGAAATAAAAACACTACTTAACTTAATGAGCGAATTAATGCTACGTCACTGTTTCATGGCAAAATTGAAGAAACTAAACTAAAACCAGTTTTAGTGAACCCTAATCCACATTTAATTTCGGAAAATCGACTATACATAATATATCATATTTTACGTAAAATTGTAAAATTTTCAGGGATTTTGTACCTAAACGGTTGACTTTAGCGAAAATTTTCATAAAACCGTTTTTATAGGAAATTTTATTCTCTTTAATTTTGCTCTACTCAAATTTTCCCGAAAAACGCATAGTTTTCGAGATATTCACAAAATACCTATTTTGGGCGCCATCTTGGTAAAATGGCGGGGCCCCAAAACCTATAAACCTGCAAAGTTTCAAAACTTCCGGACTTTATTCCAAGCAGGCTCCTTTTTTGATCCCCAATGACTGAACTAGTGAGCGTAGTCAAAACATTTATAAAAAATATATAGTCATTGGTGTAAAAATTGACGCACTACCTTGAGCCATGGCATGTTTTTAGGAGTGTCATCAGCATCATTGCTATCAGTTGGACTTTCCGGTGGTTGGTCATCACTAAGGATTCCTGGTGATTCTTCTCCGCTCACTTCCCCAGTGGCACCCGGTTCCGAAGTGTCACTTCTGTCACTCAGCGAGCTGACTTTGCGTTTGGACTGAATGGAATCAGTCCTTTTCACACATTCTTGTATTCTCCCTGTTAGAACATGATTCGGAAAAAAAATCTGATAGCGTTTCTAAAATTATCTTTTATACTGAGTGACATTCATTAAATTCCTTTTAATAATAGGCTAAAGAGATGGAAACACACTGTACAATAATATATGCTTCAAGTCAAGTCAATACTCTTGCTCTACACACCTGTCATCAGTCATCTTATATATAATACTGATAATATAGTTCAAAACATTTTAAGCCTTTAAGTATACTTTGCGCTGCTCTACTACAGTTTAGCAAAAAATATAAAATGAAATATAATATAGTCTCTCAATCATAACCTCATTTTCAGACTATCTATCTATCTAGATAATATTGTTCAGCAATTCAGCCACTGTTTTTTATACTTATGTTAATCATGTACTAAGCAATAGGCGTAATAAATAAATAATGCATTTTTAAAGTTAAGTTATTAGGTCATACATTTTTTTTGTATATATGTATACGATGTGTTTCTTAAATATGGTGAAACCACAGACATGTATAAAAGATAAATATAGATCATACCAAATAAACTTTTAGTCACGATCGACACAGCATATTTGCCTACTTTTGCATATTTTCTTTTAATAAAAATATTTTAGACAAAAGTAAATTAATTATACATACATAAACAGTTATTATTGACATCAACAATGTTCGACTGCAAGATCTGCAAAAACTCGTAATATAAACTAAAGTGTCAAAACGAATGATAATGTCAGAAAAAGAAAAAGAAAAAGAAAAACGAAAACGAAAACGAAAACGAAAACGAAAACGAAAACGAAAACGAAAACGAAAACGAAAACGAAAACGAAAACGAAAACGAAAACGAAAACGAAAACGAAAACGAAAACGAAAACGAAAACGAAAACGAAAACGAAAAACGAAAACGAAAACGAAAACGAAAACGAAAAACGAAAAACGAAACGAAAACGAAAACGAAAACGAAAACGAAAACGAAAACGAAAACGAAAACGAAAACGAAAACGAAAAAAACGAAAACGAAAACGAAAACGAAAACGAAAACGAAAACGAAAACGAAAACGAAAACGAAAAAACGAAAACGAAAACGAAAATGAAAAACGAAAACGAAAACGAAAACGAAAACGAAAACGAAAACGAAAAACGAAACGAAAACGAAAACGAAAACGAAAACGAAAACGAAACGAAAACGAAAACGAAAACGAAAACGAAAAACGAAAACGAAAACGAAAACGAAAAACGAAAACGAAAACGAAAACGAAAACGAAAACGAAAACGAAAAAAATGAAATGAAAACGAAAACGAAAACGAAAACGAAAACGAAAACGAAAACGAAAACGAAAACGAAAACGAAAACGAAAACGAAAACGAAAACGAAAACGAAAACGAAAACGAAAACGAAAACGAAAACGAAAACGAAAACGAAAACGAAAACGAAAACGAAAACGAAAACGAAAACGAAAACGAAAACGAAAACGAAAACGAAAACGAAAAGGAACAGGAATAGGAACAGGAACAGGAAAAGGAAGTAAAGGAAAAAGAAAAAAAAAGAAAAGAAAAAAGAAAAAAAAAGCTATCTTGCACACTTCCCACTAAAAAAAGTTCTAAAAAGAACAATGTTTGACTGCTAGATCTGCAAAAACTCGTAATACAAAACTAAAGTGTCAAAACGAATGATAATGTCGGGAAACAAATAAATAAATGTGGCTACTTGACATTTTTTACAGTAGAGCGGGAAGTTTAAATTCCAGTTAGTCAGCCCGGCGCCGAATATGTCCATGGTTGGAAACAATGGATTTAAAAATCGCGCCCTCGATTACGTAACTAAAATTTTAATTGGTATCGATTGTATTTATATTATTTGTCTGGGGGAAACACACATAACAGAATTTTGATTACAAAGATACTATTTAAACTAGCTAGACTTAATAACTTGTTTGCATTCTGTATGGAAATAAAACCAAGCGCTATACAAGCATATCAGTCAGCATCGGCAGCAGCAAACAACACCAGTCGATAATCGATCATATATGTCTTACACTCCATTTCCATATCTTTTCCTTCTTTAGTGCCCCTTCTTAATTTTAAACTACGTCTTTTAAACGAACCTCCGCTAGGAGCCGCGGTGCCCCTCCTGAGCAGGTACGGCCTGCCCTGGCTCTTCTTACCGTCTTCGGGGTTTTGGCTAGCCTAGAACAAAAGAAAATGCTAGAAAAACTAAGTATTTTCATATACCAAGGGCTGGCGAAGGTTAGTTTTGGATCGAGAGTTCCGTACGAAGAGTACAATGCGTTTATAATGTATCGAACAAAGTAAGAAGAGTAAAACGTTGCCAAACGTATGAAATAAACCGAGAATAAGAGACGTGCAAGGGGATATAGCAGATTCGTCGCGGTCGACCCAATCAGTACCATAAACAAAGAAATAAAAAGACATTTTTTATAAAAGAAAATGTTGGGAAACCAACAGAGCTTACCTGCATGGTGACAGTGGCATTACTGCTAGCTTCCGACTCATTGTGGTCTGGCTCTGGCTCATGCAACACGAAACTTATTTTTCTTTCAGCCTGTCCAAGAGCTGTAACATAAAAATAATACAACCATTTTCCTAGAAAACTATAAAGGACCCCACAAATATTATGCTATTTTAGTGGGGACCTTAATTATTACTAACTAGGGTCTCGATCGCCAGTAATGCTTTGTAGGCTTTGAGCTGAGGTTTGAGAGTGACCCATTGAAGACAATGCCATGCTCCATCGTCTATTGGCTTCTTTGCTGTAGAACTTCTCCCAGGGAGGTGGCCTTTCTTTACCTGACAAAAATAATAAATATAAGAATTCCTATCTTTGTTATCTCAAAATTAAAGCCTTACCAGCTGATTTGCAAGTTTTGGGCAGAGTCTGATAAGTCTCCCTAAGGAATGCTGTAATTTCTTGAAGAAGAACGCAAGCAATCAACCTCAAAGGCATGGGACAGTTAGAACCGTAAGAATAGATGCTGGCTTCATCCAGATAATCCTCTTCTTCGTCTTGTATCTGAAGTTCTTTCTGTTTATCTGGATCATTAACCTAGAGATTATCATAAATAACCTGCAGATTTTTCTTTTTATTTTATTTTTATACCATGCTATGCATATCGTTAAGGTATTCCTGATCTGCGTTGATCATTTCTTCCAATCTGTGCCCAATTACTTCAGCCCATTGGTGGAACATTTTGCCAGCTGCTCGTTGCATGATGTGTGATCTTCGGTTACCACTGTGTGAGGATCCTCGGGTTGGTAAAGGGCCTGAAGGTCTGAACATTGGGAAGCTTAGTTTCATCCAAGAGGGCCATTGACCTAGCAAGAAATTTTTTTAGTAATATTTTTTTAGAGACGTTCTGGCAGGGTAACCTTTGTTACAACAATGCACGAAATATGCACATTCTAAAAACAGAGTTGCTCTGGCTACCATTGCTGAGTTTGGCTGAAAAAAAATTCAATATAACTCTTTTTAATGATATTTTTATATGTTTATACCAAATCTAATGCAGATGCTAACAAAAAGGCATCAGGGACAGTACCAGGTGGGCATGTTTCTAGAAGAAAAGCTAGTCTTTGGGTACCATTGTACACCATTCCAGTAGGAATGAGTTTTCGTTCCTTTAAAAACACCACTTCAGATTCTCGTGATGTTTCTCCGATTTCAAATGAATTTCTTCGACTGAAACCTGAAATTTAATTAGTAATTTTTGAAAAAATCACTCAAAATCGATTATATAGAAAATATATGCACATTCTCTTCAAAGGAAGATACCATCAGAAGCATTAATGTACCTAGAATCCTTCTTTAACTTATTAATGATTCTTTTGACCAATAAAAAGGGATAAATACCAAGGGATGTACTTAAAGGAATCTCTGTCTTCAGATGTGGATGAAACCTGCTATTAGAAGCATCACTGTATTTAAAACTCTGCCTGTTTAAGGCCGCTTCTCTAAAACAACTTTGACAAAAATTAATATTAAAACATCAATGGGTATACTAAGGGCTGGCAAAGGTTAGTCTTGGGTCGAGATTTCCGTATGTCAGAAACTCTTCTTACAATGCGTTTATAATGTACTGAACAAAGAGACGACAGTAAACACGTTGCCAAACGTATGAAATAAACCAAAAATTGTGCACATTACTAAGAGACGTGGAAGGGGATAGCATGATACAAGGAGGGTTAGATAAGATATTACGAATGTACTGGGCGGAGCTTAACAGAAAATTACTATCCCGGTGACGTCATGCGCGCGAAGAACCGATTTGCCACCGCCAGCGATCTTCTGAGAAAAGATATTGCGCATGTAGTTGGCGGAGCTTAACAGAAAATTACTACCCGAGTGACGTCATGCGCGCGGGGAACAGATTTGCGACCGCCAAGGATCTTATCTAACCCTCCTTGTATCATGGGGATATAGTAGATGTGTCGCTGGTCGACCCAATCAATACTTCTGTCAGTACTTAAAGTTCTAGGGAACGGTGTACATTATGCTTTCAGCTTCACGATTTAATTACGTCTCGTGATAATTCATTTGTTTATTTATTAACGAGTCGTTGTAATTTTCCCTATAGCTTCAAAATTTTTAAGTGTTCGCGCTATTAGAACTCTGAATTCAAAAATCGATATCTAGAAATCTATTAGAAATAATTGATTGTAGTTTTTTTCAAAAACTTTCTTAACATTTCTGCTATATTTTCTCCAGAGAGAGTATGTGAAAATCTTTATAAATAAAAAAGTTACACGATTGCTGAAAATATGATATCCTTATAATTCCATTTCAGATGCTCAGAAACATATCTAATGATTTTATCTAGTTATCTTTTCGAAAAAAAAGTCTTTTAAAAATAAACGGTTTGCGATCGTGATTTTACTTTACTTGACAGAGAAAGGCGTACCGGCAACGCCGCAATAGCACGCCGTCCCATTTCTTTCACTCCGACTTAATAAGAGCCCTATGCGATTTACTTCCACACATGTAAATACCGACCCAAGAGTAACAGTTGCCAGCACGGTATAAGCAGTTATTTATTTCTTCAGATACTGATGGAATATAACATCAATACTATTTCAGGTCCAAAAATTTCAACTGTTAACGATTTTTCCTGGCCAAAAGTAATATTATAGAGTTATAATACTGGGTGATGTACAAAAAATAATCCTTGTTTTCAGATATAGGTGGAAAATTCTATCAGAAGCTTCATTCAAGAAACCCCAACCTGTTAAACTTGTTAGTAACATCTTTATCAAAAATAAGTATTAAAGATTTAAGACTGGCATTATAATAATAACCAGGGGCGGATACAGAAATTTATTTTAGGGGGGGGGGCCAACTAAAAAATAATGCAAAATATGCCTTTTAGGGCGCCATTTCTAATATGCCCAAAAGCCTAATATTTAACCCAATTTACAGATTTTAGGGGGGGCCCGGCCCCCATGCCCCCCTCTGTATCCGCCACTGATAATAACCCTTCTAATGTTGCTTTAACAGGCAGCAAGTCTTGTGAGGCTGAAAGTCTTTGGTTTTTTATTTTATGGTTTGAAAATAAAACGCGGACAGTCATTATTGGACAAGAGAGTCTAGAAAAATCAAAATAAGGTCTTTAAAATAGACAACCACGATGACAAAGAGACAAAAATGTACAAAAATATACAAATTGAGCCACTTTAATGGAGATATTAACCGCAGACTTTGAGTAAATAACCAGACAGAGTAGGGACATTCTCTGTGGTTGTGAGGCGTTAACCTACAAGATATATGGACAACCCAAAAAATTCTGCAGTACTGAATAAACGCAAGAAATAGTAAATTAGATTTGCAAAGAAAAATATATTGATACGCACACTTGCTACCCCCTCCAGATTCCTCCATACTCCCATCTTTTTTCTTCCCCTTCTTTAGAAACTTTAACTTGTCTTCCATGCGTCTTTTAGCTTTCTGTAGAGTGTGACTTACATGTCCTCTGGAACTCCTTTGTTGGTAGTGTTTTGAGGATTGCCTAAAACTTTGAGACATTGAAGATGTTGATGGAAATATAAAAAAAAAACATTTTTTGTACCTGATAAAACTGGCGGTATCATTAAAGCTATCCCCATTATCAGGCATTTCGCATTCATCAACAGATTGGGAGTCTCCTTTCTTAAACCAGTTGGTTACTATACCTCCGATTTTAGATTTTTTTGTTGACTTGAGACTTATTGTGTCCGGAACTATTCCCAAAGCTTTCTCACTTTGGCGTGGTGTCAAGATGTGATGTTTCTTCCTCAGGTTTCCCAAAGGACTTTGGTTAGCTTTTCCGAATTCTTCGGTTTCGGTTTCTAGCAAGCTCTACAAGAAATTTGGTAAGAAAAATAAATATATTTTATAAAAACTACTCTTAATACAGCACAGGTAGAAGATGTGCTTCGTTTTTTGAATAGAAGCTTCCTAACTACACCTTTATCATCAATAGTGTAGGTGGTACTTTCTCCTTGGTTATCAATAGTGTCGTTATCATCAACGTTTGCAGAAGATTGGTGCATATGTCTAGAAAGATAATCATTTAAAACTGTTCTTAATTTAAACAATTTAAAATCATTTACCGTATTACTCTGGTAGTCTGTATATTTCCTTCCTTTTTACTGTTTTTCTCTGCTGTATCCAGTAAAGCACTTAGAGCTACTCTTCTGAATGAACCTCCATGTCCTTCTTTCACGTATGTCATTAACTGACGAATTTCACAGTACAGACTCTAAAAGAACATTCCAATATTATGTTGTAGGATATTTTTGAATCGTGCTATGTTAACAGGAAATCTAGCAGCACAAAATGTTAAAATATGCATACAGCTTATTTTATGAAGAAGCTTTTGCGATAATCAACTTCATTATTAAAAGTGATTAAATTATATTGTTTATTTTTTGACATCTGAGACACAAATAAATGCTAAAATACCAGAAAGACTACAAAAACCCAACAAACAATTTAAAAAATATATTTGTGCTTCTATGGAATCTACTTACCATATTATCATGAGACCGTATTTCTTTAGAAGCCTCCACAAATCTAGTTACCAAAGGTTTGAAACAATGGCTCACCACATGACTCTCGATTCCCCTCACACCAGCCGTACCACCTAATGCTAAACTTGTATCAATTCTAATTTTAGTGCTAGGAAACCTACTAATTCTTACTTAGTGGTGATAGCAAAGATGTGGGATCTATGCAGTAGCCTAAGTAAGCATGTAATACTTCCAATATCTCTGTCAGTGGCTGAAACTTCACAAAATCTCTAAGGAACTTCTTGAATAGTTTTTGGTTGGACTTGTGTAGTCTCGACAGGATATTTTGACATTGGGTTCTGAGAAATTCTGCTGCTGGACCTCGTTGACCATCAGCACATCCATGTGGACAACCCAGATGTTTCAAAACTCTGTATAAAACAAAGATATATAAGTAATTAATTGATAGATGTACTAGGAAAACCAATTTTACCTTACAATAGTGCTCATAACATATGTATGAGGAGGTATGTATTTCTCATTGCTCATTGTATCTCCAGGAAATGAAGTATGTGTGTTACTAGCTGATACCTTCTCTTTCTCAGTTTTTTTAGGTGTTTCCTGGTCTTCGCCAGAATAGTTAGGTTGGTGTTCTTCTTTGTGTGTTTGTTTCAAGATCCCCATGTCAATTAATAACTCTAGTAGGTTTAATATCACTTCCAGGACACGAAGAGTACATGAAGTACTTTCTCTGAGTGATGTACGATATACACCCTATAGAAAATAGATGGTAGAATTCTTCTTACTTGTTATAAAAGGTATTAAATGTGGCGCAGTAGGCAGGATTTATATTAAGTTAAGCTTAGACAAAAATCAAATAGACTCAAACCTTACTTTGTGTATATCATAACGATCAACGCTAAAAATGAACTAGTAAGTACCTTTAGAACTACGTTAAAATCGATATCTCCCTCCTTGGTGATGTAGCATGTAGCTCCGGGAGCTTCAGGAATATCTTCGTGTGTGTAGGTGATGTTTGAGTCGGTTTGGGATCTTGTTAAACTGGATTTCCGCTCTTGCCAGTTGCCCAGACGACCTGAGAGACTTGCCCCATCTATCTGACTGTCAATAGAACCCTAAAATATATAAAATTTTGTGAGTTGATTTTACCTACGTTTGTTTATACGTAGTACATGTATATTATTTCGTATATTTTTCGTTTTATTGATTTTATGGAAAGCACTGTTCATTAAAATGTTGTATCCTATGTTATAGGGCTTGTTTCTCTCTACAATTTCCTGTCTCACAATATACCGTTTGTGTCCGGGAAGGGTTTATAGTTTCATAGTTGTCGATTTTCGAAAAAAATCAGTACATGTATATTATTTCGTATATTTTTCATTTTATTGATTTTATGGAAAGCACTGTTCATTAAAATGTTGTATTCTATGTTATAGGGCTTGTTTCTCTCTATAATTTCCTGTTTCACAATGTACCGTTTGTATCGGGGAGGGGATCATAGTTTCATAGTTGTCGATTTTCGAAAGAACTCAGTACATGTATATTATTTCGTATATTTTTCATTTTATTGATTTTATGGAAAGCACTGTTCGTTAAAATGTTGTATCCTATGTTATAGGGCTTGTTTCTCTCTACAATTTCCTGTCACACAATGTACTGTTTGTGTTCGGGAAGGGTTCATAGTTTCATATTTGTCGATTTTCGAAAGAACTCAGTACATGTATATTATTTCGTATATTTTTCATTTTATTGATTTTATGGAAAGCACTGTTTATTAAAATGTTGTATCCTATGTTATAGGGCTTGTTTCTCTCTACAATTTCCTGTCTGACAATGTACCGTTCGTGTCGGGGAAGGGATCATAGTTTCACAGTTGTCGATTTTCGAAAGAAATCAGTACACCTATATTATTTCGTATATTTTTCATTTTATTGATTTTATGGAAAGTACTGTTTATTAAAATGTTGTATCCTATGTTACAGGGCTTGTTTCTCTCTACAATTTCCTGTCTGACAATGTACCGTTCGTGTCGGGGAAGGGATCATAGTTTCACAGTTGTCGATTTTCGAAAGAAATCAGTACACCTATATTATTTCGTATATTTTTCATTTTATTGATTTTATGGAAAGCACTGTTCATTATATATCACTATCACTATATATCACCATCACTATCATTATATATCATTATATTCACTTCACTTTATAGTAAAAAAGGTAGATTTATAAAACTAAAAACCAAAAGTAATATAACTACACAAAATTTTGTAAACCAGAAGGTAAAGACAATGTAAGACAATGGAATATTGATATTTTCTTACCTGTCTTCTCAAGTAATCCGGTGATGGCGTAGGTGTATGTTCTGTCACAGTGATGATGGGATTGGCCATGGGTTGAGCATGGATTGATTTACTTGTTCTTCTCGCATCCCACCTACTTTCTTCAATAAATCTATTACAAAAAAAATACATTTTAATATTTAGATAAATTATTTTATTAATTACTAGAATTAAGAAAAAAATCTTATACAGTGTGTTGAAGAAACTTGGTAATGTACAGAATATATTCTACCGGGTGGTGTAATTTTAAACTCTCCAAATATTGGATAATTTTTTTTGGAATTTGAACAATTTTGGACCAGCCGATGTTAACGAATTTAATAAAAAACTGCATCTATTTTTAAATTAAAACTGAATAGATAACGATGCAAAACCAGAGAAATGTTAACATGATGAATTTCTTATACGGCGTTAAAAATGTCAATCAATAGTCGCCACTTTGTATATCCTTTTAAATTCTTGGACACACTGAACTTCACTATACTAAACTTGATATTAAAAAACCCATTATCATGCTGTAGAGGCTAACTAAGCTTTGAAGGGAGATTTTTTAAAACTACATCAACTACAGGAAAAAGACTGAGAGAGTTAAAGTTATGCCAATTTTGTATGGCATTGTTACCAAGTGTAACAAATTCAATTTTAAAATTGTTTAAATCTTCTTAAAAGCTTAAATCGATCTTGATTGTTAACTGTCAATGACATAACTTTAACAAAAAGATCAGCTGTCTAAGACTTACCCTTCAGAGTTTATTTCGTCGATTAAACAGCTATGAAAAGGACAGACACAGACGATAATTATTAGGAATATAAATAACAACAATGCAGAAAAAGAAAACAATATAAGACCAGTATAATATAGAACAAAGACAATGAACATTAATATATTTGTATAGAAATATCAATAAATTAGAATTAAAATGAAAAGAAAAATATCAAAAAACACAACAAAGAAAATTTAAATAGAAAACAGAATAAAACAAACATTCATTAAAAAAATAACAGAATAAAACTATAATTCAAAGTGTGTTTTATTCTGTTACATTATTTTATATACACAGGGTGTAATTTTAAACTAATGCTTGCATTTTTATAATTAGGTTTGTCCTTTATTGTACAGGGTGTCCCATTTTCGAGTATTGTACAGGGTGTCTCTTTTATTAACAGAGGTACCGGGTGTCCCACTAAGAATAGCTCTCGGCTGTATCTCGGAAAGTATTAGTCGTAGGGTCTACGGAAAAAAATATTTATAACTAAAGGGGCTATGGGAAATTGCTGGAAATTATTTTCAAGTTTGTAAAATGGCCGTTAGGGGGTGCAACTGCTATGGAAAATAAGAAAATAGAATTTTTACAGAATTTTGCCTAGATAATGGGTACTATAAATAATAGCTTCATAATCTTCAGTAAATTTTGGATTTTCTTTGTTAGAACCATTTTCCCCTATCTGCTAAAATAAAGTGGTGGGGGAAGGTTAGATCTATCTTTATTTAAATGTTAATAACTCCGGACTGGATGATCAGAATCCAACAAACAAGGACTCGTTTAAAAGAGCGTTAGAATTTTTTTAGAATTTAGAATAAGTGGGAGGGGGGTTAATCACTGCGACCTTACAGATCCATTGTGTCCCCCTTTCTTGAGTCATAACTCATCATACAGTCCCAGGGCTTTGACAAAAACCAGTATCTGGGACGGTTTTATAGAGGGTAGTTCTCCATCTCCAATATCAGTCGTACCAAAATTCATGGCACGAATGGTTTTCGTCTCGGCGCACTCAGTGATTAGCTGGTGTTTCCCATCTTCCCCACAAAATCTGCATTCGCCGTTTCTTCTTAGTTTCAATCTACTGAGGTGTTCATTGAGGAGACAGTGTCCTGTTAAAAACCCCGTGACAATCCGAAGATTGTTCTTACTCAGACCCAGGAAGATCTGTAATTTTTCTTGATCATAAGCCCTCAGAAACTTCTTCGAGTGTCTTAGACCATTGCAAGATTTCCATTCCAGGTTGCGGATGGAATCTTCCAAGTTCTTGAGTTCCGCCTTGAGTTGGTTACCACTTGGAAAGCAGAACGGTTCTGGTCCAGTTAGTGGAGTGTTAGCTCCTTTCCTAGCTAGATTATTTGCTTTTTCATTGCCTTCTATCCCTTGGTGAGCAGGCACCCAGAGTAGGAGGACTTTGTTTTCTTTGCCTAATTTATTCAGCTTCTCTATGCATTCTTTGACCAATTTCGAATTGATCGATACTGAGTTGATCGCTTTTAACGCTGCTTGACTATCAGACAAGATGGCTGTTTCTTGTTTCCGATAGTTGCTATCTAAGATAAGTTGTACGCATCTTTCGATAGCGTAGATTTCTGCCTGTAGGATACTAGGGTAAGTGCCCATTGGTTCGGAGTATTTAGCTCTCGGTCCAAACACTCCGATCCCTGTTCCCGTATTGGTTTTGGAAGCATCAGTATACCAAGTTATGGTATGGTCTTTTAACTGCTGGGCAGCGTTTCGCTCTTCCAATCCTTTTTATTGCTCAATACTACATTGAGATGTTTCTCAAAGTTGTACGTTCTTGGCATATCGTCCACTGGGAGTTGCAGGAGTGGTATTTCCTTTATGAGGGTGTTCCAAGCCCCTGATCTGACAATTCTCCCAGTACTAATTCCGTTAGTGACCATTCTAATCATTGTCGCGTTGGCATATCTACCAATGACAATGTGCAGTGGTGTTAGATCTAGAATGACCTCCATTGCTGCTGTTGGACAGGTTTTCATGGCTCCTGTGATGCAAACGCATGCTAGTCTCTGGACTTTGCATAGGTTTAGCCTTGCCGTCCGTTGCTCTAGTTTTGTGTACCAGGCAACTGCTCCATAAGTAATCATGGGTCTTACTATCATGGTATACATCCAGCGCAAAATGTTAGGGGAGCAGCCCCATCTATTTCTAAAAGAGCGTTTCTTATCTTATATTATACCATAAAAATAATAATAATAAGGTTTTGAACGTAGACGCTAGGGGGCGCTCTCTTACAAGTTAACATAGCGCGTTTTTAAAAAAAAAAATTAAATACAATAGTATATGTAATTTTAGCTGATAGTAAAGAGTAGTAAAAGCTTAAAAAGTCAGCGTAAACCGCATCTTGATATCTTCTTTCAAACCGAAGATATTAGCAAAATTATAATAAATACCAAAAAATAAGCCCTTAATTAACTTATTTTTACAATACGGTATCAGTAGTAATCTTGATTATGCCCATTCTAACAAAAAATATGATAGAAACAGTTAGTATATTTTAAAATCTACGAAATACCAGAATACTATGATACCAGATGTATTAATATCTAATAATTAAGATATTACGTCTACGTTCAAAAGCTTATTATTATTGTTTATATGGTACAATATACAGTAAGAAACGCTCTTTTAAACGAGTCCCGCTTGTTGGATTACGATCATCCAGTCCAGAGTTATTAATATTTAAATAAAAACAGATCTAACCTTCCCCCACCACTTTATTTTGGTAGATAGGGGAAAATTGCTCTAGCAAAAAATATTCAAAATTTACTGAAGATTATGAATCTATTACTTATAGTACACCTTATCTAGGCAAAATGGTGTAAAAACTCCATTTTCGTATTTTTTGTTGCAGTTGCGCCCCCTAGCTGTCGTTCTACAAACTTGAAAATAATTTCCAGCAATTTCTCATAGCCTCTTTAGTTATAAATATTTTTTTCCGCAGCCCCTACGGCTAATACTTTCCGAGATACAGCCGAGAGCTATTCTTATTGGGACACCCTGTACAAAGATGCGGTTTCTACATATATTTGCGGGCCTCTACAATATTTTGATATAGAAAGAGCAAAATAAAAACACTAAATCACCACAATACACCAAAACACTTTTACTTTTACACTGGACGCGCGTTTCGCTAACCATGTTAGCATCATCAGCAGATGATTATAAACTTATATAAAATATATGGTGATTTAGTGTTTTTATTTTGCTGTGTAACACCAAAGGTTCCAACCCTCAACTGTAATAGAAAGAGTACGATTTCTAGAAGATTTTATTGGTATCTCTTAAAAATACACCCTGTACATAAAAATGAAATAAATTATAATAAGATATGACAAGAAAAAATATTAAAATTGAAGAAAACATATTTATCGTTAATCTTGTTTTAATAATTCATGAAGATTATTTTCATTTAAATAATATATACTTGTCATATCTTTTAATATATTTTGATAAAAAACATAGCGGCATACCAACCTGAGGCTTGGCATACTTTTTCCTTTGACTAAATTACTAGGTATCGGTTCGTAGGATTTTGATAAACCTGAATTTTTTTTTGACATGTCTTCGCTGGTGTCCAAACTGCGATGGTAATCCTAAAAAAACATGTTTTTTTTTCAGTAAAATTTCTGTATAAATTCATTAGCATGTTGCAGCCGGCATCTACTGCTTCTGGTTAATCGTTTGCTTGAATTTTAGAACCGTTATCATAGATGGGTTTTCAGAATCTACATGGCATAAAATAAACTTCTGGCATAAATTAAAAAAAAAAAAAATACTATCTGTTTTAAAAGAAACATTTGAATAAGTATGAATAAGGAATATAATGCTGCCCATGCATTATAATGCTATTCATGCATTATTTAATTTCAATTGATGTTAGACAAGGAAAGAGAAAGGACGGGTAACACGCATATTCTCCCGTCATCGGTTAGTGAGGCCAAAATTCGATCGGCGGCCATACTTTGGTGACAAGATTTCGAGCGAATTTTTATGTTTTTTGTGACAACTGTTTTGTTTTAAATTTATAAACTGTGTTGTTTAGTATGGTGAGATGTTCAGCGTATGGCTGCAAAGGCCGAAGCGAGAAAAAAGTGGCTGGAATTACATTTCACAGGTTAAAATCGATACACAACTTTTGTTATGTGGTCATAAAATGTACATTTTTTTCATTATAGCAGTAAAAATATGTAAAATGCTTTTAATATGTCTTGTACCACATCCAAACCAAACTATTTTTAATAATTCCAAGTAGTATTTTCAATATCCTGTATTCTAATTAATGTTTGAAACTATAAATATTACTACTCACACCGGATTTCACCAGTGGCGTAGGTAATTATAATCAGAGAAATAAAATTTCTGCAATAAACATTTTTTTATATATTTTACATGTAAAAAAATGTATAAAGTATTTTTATCAAATATGTAAAATAATTGTAAACTATAAAAAAATGAAAAATTCTAGTGATAAAAAATTAGAGATCTAGTGATAGAGTAATTAATAAAAATTTAAAAATAAATAAAATAACACAAAGCTTCTAGAATTGTTTTATTTTTTTTGTGGATAAATTCGGATATTCTTAAAAATAGGATATTCTTATGGTTGAAGGTAACAAATATTAAAAATTACATTATTCATTGAATCCGTACGCAAGTGTGAAGGGTAATGGCTAGATTCATTATATTATAGCGTATGGTCGAAAAAAAACGACGTCCAGTTGGCTTGTAAATGACGATCGACGACATTCCCCATATAATTTTACATATAAATGACAGCGATCTTCATTTCATAGCCATCGTTGACGCCTTCTTTTTTCGATGTCGTTTTGTATAGTTTTTATGTCATTTTATATGTAGAATTATATGGGGAATGTCATCGATCGTAATTTACAAGCCAACTGGACGTCGTTTTTTTTTCGATTATACGGTATAATCCTGAATCTAACCAATTCCCTTCACACTTGCTTACGGATTCAATGAATAATGTAATTTTTAATATTCATTTGTGAAATTGTCATTTCCAACCAAACAAGGCGCCGTTTTTTTCGATCATACAGTATATATGTAACATATATATATATATATATATATATATATATATATATATATATATATATATATATATATATATATATATATATACACACGTTTAATAAATATGTTATTACATTATTTTTATTTAATTATACATATACACACGTTAATAAATAAATAATTGTCTTGATAATCAGTCCACTGTGACTGTTAAATAAATTTGGCATTATCGACTTAGATATTCTAATATTATAAAGGTGAGACTTAAAAAATACAAAATTGTGTATGCATTACTCAAAAATGAACGATATATTAGTTTACGTTTTAATAAATATTTTGTACCGTCTAGGTACAAGCTAATTTCTGATGCTACGCCATTGGAGAATTTCGCGTGGTAACAACTTGCCTCACTTTCAGCTGCCGTGTTACCTGTTCCCTCTCTTTCCTTGTCTAAGCAATTGATACATTTGAATTTCGTTTAAAAATTTGCAGATTTGTTGTGGTTTTCCAAGTTTTATCTGATATTTTTGTTATTAAATAATTTTCTTAACTTATATCTAATTTTATTAGAAATATATTTTTTAACAATTTTAACAACTAAAAATATTTTGTATTATCAAATTGACATTTTTGTCTGGCGAAATAAAAATACAATATACATATAAGAATATAATTCAGATCAGTATATCTTCTAGGAATTTCTTCTATAGTGTAAAAAGTAATAAATGATTTATTTATTTTACGGAATTAAATTATTATTAAATAACAATATATATTCGATACCCAATTAAACTTTTAGTTACGTAATCGAGGGCGCGATTCTTTAATTCATTGTTGCCAACCATGGACATATTCGGCGCCGGGCTGACTAACTGGAATTTAAATTTCCCGCTGGGGATTCAGGTGGTAGCTCTGTTGTAAAAAATGTCAAGTTGCCATATTTATTTATTTATTTCCTGACATTGTCATTCGTTTTGACACTTTAGTTTTGTATTACACGTTTTTAGTTTAAATTAACTTTAGTATTTTAATAAAACACGCTTTTAGACGTATCAAAAAACTTTTAATAAGAGTAACTTTAACTCTACATATATGTTTCGGCTTGTTAGGCCTTTTTCAAGAGTTTTTTAAGAACTAATCGTCTAACTACACTGTAACTATATATATATTTGCTATGGGGGTGGGTTCAGAGAGTTTACAATATACAGGGTATTTCAAAACAAATGCGAAAAACTTCAGGGGGTGATTCCTTGTTCAAAATAAAGGGTAGTTTGCTTCATAAACGTTGGGTCAAAAGTCAACCATTAGGGAGATATCGCGGTACAAAGATGGCGGAAAAATAATGTTTTCATTTTTATCTTGAAAACGAAAAGAGATAGACTAATGAAATTTTATGGAAGCATTACTGTTATGAAAACACACTTTCTGGTAATGTTTTCACTTTTTTAAAAATGAGTGGAAGGGGTTGAAATAAACTACCCCTATCATTCTTGTTAACGAAATTTAAAGAAAAATCTTATAAAACACATGCAAAAAATAATTTAGATAGTTTAGTTTGTTTAGAAACTTTTTTATCTCTTGTATTTTTTTGATAAAACTCACCGATTTGAAATTAAAAAATAAAAAGTAAAGCATTACATGTCAGGACAAAAAACATTTTCTGATAAAGAATCTAGTGGGCTGCTGTAATTTTTTTAGGAAAAAATCTAGTCGGCCGCTGTTACTTTTTAGGATGTTCCTAATATTATTTTATTTGACATAACTCTACTGCAATACGTTATTATCTAGATGATTATCATCACTAGATTCTTAATCTAAAAATGTTTTTTGTCCTGACATGTAATGCTTTACATTTTATTTTTTAATTTCAAATCGGTGAGTTTTATCAAAAAACACAAGAGATAAAAAAGCTTCTAAACAAACTAAACTATCCAAATTAATTTTTTTGCATGTGTTTGATAAGATTTTTCTTTAAATTTCGTTAACAAGAATGATAGAGGCAGTTTATTTCAACCCCTTCCACTCATTTTAAAAAACTGAAAAAATTACAAGAAAGTGTGTTTTCATAACAGTAATGCTTCCATAAAATTTCATTAGTCTATCTCTTTTCGTTTTCAAGATAAAAAATAAAAACATTATTTTTCCGCCATCTTTGTACCGCGATATCTCACTAATGGTTGACTTTTAACCCAACGTTTATAAAGCAAACTACCCTTTATTTTGAACAAGGAATCACCCCCTGAAGTTTTTCGCATTTGTTTTGAAACACCCTGTATATATGTAGAGTTAAAGTTGCTCTTATTAAAAGTTTTTTGATACATCTAAAAGCGTGTTTTATTAAAATACTAATATTTCAACGATGTTTCACAAGGAACCAACCACAGCTTCAGTACAATTTATTAAATGAACTTGTTAAAAAATTATTACTAACCGACCTTGCAGTCGAACATGGTTCTTTTTAGAACTTCTTTTAGTGAGAAGTGTACAAGGTAGCTTAATAGCCGTAAAAAACTCATCGCAACTTTATTAGAATATTTTGAACGGGAAAGCGGTAGTAATGGCCCTTTATGTCCCTTAAGTGCTGTTAAAAAGGTGAGTTGATGTAAATAATAAATGTTTACATATTTATAATTAATTTATTTTTGTTTTCTAAAATATTTTGATTAAAAGAAACTATTTAAAAGTGGGAAAGGCTGTATCGGTCAAGCTTAATCACGTGACTAACAGTTTACTTGATATGAACTTTATAGTTAGCATGCACTAGGTATATTATGTGAAAGGTGCATTAAAAATACTTAAAGTGATACAAGATGAAAAGAAAATATATTGAAGCTCTTACAATCAGCTGTTTTGCTTCCTGGCGATGTTGAAAGCTGTAAGCAGAAGGCATATCCGACATTCTTAAGGTATTAATTGATGTTAAAGTAATTTTTATTTGTATTTCTATTGGATTCAACTAAAATAACTCGTTATACTCTTAAGAACAAAATAAAAAACTAAATTACCAGAATACACCAAAACACTTTTACTTTTACACTGGACGCGCGTTTCGCTAACCATGTTAGCATCATCAGCGGATGATTAAGACTAATGTAAAAAGTACAATTTGAGCGTTTATACAGGGTTGTTCACCACATACGACACGGAGTATTGTGGCTAAACGATGATATTTTTACAAGTTGTAAGTTTGGGGTTCGTTGAAGGACTATTAGAGCGACAATTTAAAAATATTTTTACAAGATACAGAGTGTCCCAAATAAATAAAAAATATCAAAGTTGTATTTTTTTAAATGGAACACCCTGTATATTTTTACATTTTTAGTTTCTACGATTAAAATAAAGGTAAATTTGATTAAGGTTTATTATACTTAAACCTTACCGTTTTTGAAATATTTTCAATTTTGTGAAATTGCAGTAAAAATTTTAAAGCTTCATTTCTCCAAGGGTATCAATGTTTTTAATACTAAATATTTAATGAAGTTTATTTATTGATCAGTTATTGTGTTGCAATAAAAAATAATACTACCTTATACAGAGTGTCTAAAAATTTATTTTAAATAATTATTAGCTTCAAACGGCAATAACTTCTTTAATTTAAATGGAATGCCCTGTATATTTTAGGAGAATCAGATGCACAATTAAATTGTCTATCAAATTGTATTATACCATTTTTTACCTATCCCTTCAAGTTTTCGTCGAAAATGCATTTTCTTTTAATTTAGACCTCATTTATCAATATATCCATGGAATATTAACATTTTAGATTGTTTTTAAAGCAACAAATATACAAAATGTACAGACTAGTAATATTATCGTTTTTAGCAAAACGATAATATTACTAGCCCATTTGTATGCGAAAAGAAAACTATTTAAATCTTTATAAAAGAGTATACCATTAATTAAATATAACACCATTATTTCCGCCCATATACTAATTAATTACATACTTAATTGTGTTCGTTAATGAATTATTATAAATAAATGTGGATTTGAGTCAGAAATCAATATAATAATAAGTTCTCAAATTAAAGTCTCTGTTGTTATGAATAAGCATTTATTAAAAAATGAAATATCATTTTTAAGGTGTTACTTTTTATCACACTGTCTAATGCCCATACAAAATTCAGTTTTTTAATATTTGGAGCAATTATTATTAATCAACGCAAACAGTCAGTCAGTTTTTTAATGAAATAAACGAATTATATCGACAATATTAGTATCTGTACTCTTTAAAAATTTGGTACATCTTTAAAAATAATCTAAAATGTCAATAGTCCATGGGTATATTGATAAATAAGTTCTAAATTACAAGAAAATGCATTTTCTATGGAAACTTAAAGAGATAGGTAAAAAATGGTATAATATAATTTGATGACTGATTCTCGTAAAATATAGAGGGTGTTCCATTTAAATTAAACAAGTTATTGCCGTTTGAAGCTAATAATTATTTAAAATAAATTTTTAGACACTCTGTAAAAGGTAGTATTATTTTTATTATTGCAACACAATAACTGATCAGTAAATAAACTTCAGTAAATATTTAGTATTAAAAACTTTGATATCCTTGGAGAAATGAAGCCTTAAAATTTTTACTGCAATTTCACAAAATTGAAAATATTTCAAAAACGGTAAGGTTTAAGTATAATAAATGGCAATCAAATTTACCTTTATTTTAATCGTAGAAACTAAAAATGTAATAATATACAGGGTGTTCCATTTAAAAAAATACAACTTTGATATTTTTTACTTATTTGGGACACTCTGTATCTTGTAAAATTATTTTTAAATTGTACCTCAAATAGTCCTTCATCGAACCCAAAACTTACAATTTGTAAAAATCTCATCGTTTAGCTACAATACTCCGTGTAGTATGTGGTGAACAACCCTGTATACTCGCTCAGTGGGTACCGAGTGGGCGTGGTAAGGTCTAACCAACCGAGTCAGAGCCCACCGATCGTAACCTTTAGATTTCCGCCACTAGAGTAGTAGGAACAAAGAACTTGAAGGAATTGGACCGTTGCCTCTGATCATACTATCTTTACATTTAATAATTCTAATGCTTTCATATGCATCTAATTGCTTGTAATTTGAGGCTTGTTTAATTAAATTTAAATTATTATGATCTATACAATGTTCTTTATCAACAATATGTTCAACACCGCAAGATTTATCCGGTCTACCATATCTTATCTGAGCTAAATGTTCTTTAAATCTAGTTAATATTGATCTTCTAGTTTGCCCAACATATTTCTGATTATAATCTTTACAAGAAATTTTACAGTGGAGGTGTTTTATCCTTTGGATTACTTAATAATTGTTGTAATTTATTATTAGCACTAGTATCAACAGACACAACGGTCCAATTCCTTCAAGTTCTTTGTTTCTACTACTTCAGTGGCGGAAATATGGTACGCTCTGTGGGCTCTGACTCGGTTGGCCAGATCTTGCCACGCCCACTTGGTACCCTCTGAGCGAGTATATAAACGCTCAAATTGTACTTTTAGATTAGTCTTAATCATCTGCTGATGATGCTAACATGGTTAGCGAAACGCGCGTCCAGTGTAAAAGTAAAAGTGTTTTGGTGTATTGTGGTGATTTAGTGTTTTATTTTGTTGTGTAACACCAAAGGTTCCAAAACAAACCAACTGTAAACTCTTAAGAATGACCGAAAAGCATGTCAAGCCAAGGGCAGAAAAGATAGAGAGACAGTGGGGTATACATACATCGAGAATTTTTTTGGCAATATTGTGCAAACGCACCGGTTGTGTTTGATCCAAAGGTTTTGGATCTTCCTGCCCTATTTTCTCTAAAGCCTTGTCAGATTTGGACAGCAACTTCGTCTCCACGAAAGCTTTAAGGTCCGCTATCTTCATTCTACGTCTACCTTTCTCGCTAGCCGCCCTTTTGTGAAGGGAATCATCCGATTGCTTTCTGTGAGTATAGGGAGATTCTGTGGGAGACTCTGTGATGTTTAAAGGTGGCAGACAGTGATTCATTTTTATAGAAAACGGTTATGGTGAACTTTCATTGTCTGTTATATAGTAGGGGTGCCCAATATACTTAATGGTAATTTATTTGAGCCATGTTGACATATCGTATTGTGAAAATTAAATGTTAAAACGAAGAAAAAAACTTATACAGGGTTCGGTTAGGCTATTGAGATAGAAAAAATACACCTAGATGATAAAGTGATTTTTAAATTCCTTGCTGTGTTAACGTACTCCACAGGGTGTTTCAAACTTTCACCAAAATATCAACATTTTGTTTTCCCTATCGTTGAGTGAATTCCAAAGGCTATCCTACTATCAGAAAATAAAAACAATGGAAGTTCCTCGTAACAGTCTTTCTTATACATTATAAGATTTAAAAAAATACTTTTCTACCATTTTTGTTTACCTGGCAATAAGGTGACGTCTCGCGGATCTGGAACTTCGATGAAGTCCTTGTTTTCGGGAGTTTTCTTGGTCTCGGAGTTCTGGTAGAAGGAAACTTCGATTTTTGGTATTGGTAGAGAGTTGCTACGTTTTCTTGGTTGGTGTTGAGCAGCAGTTTCTTCACTGATATCTCGAAGACTGTTCAAATACATCATAAAAATAATTAAATGTATTTTTTTATAAATATTATATACTCCAAGTAAAAACACATTAAAATTTATGGAACTATGTGTTCTTGAAATAAGGAAGAGGGTCTAGCTTTCAATTGCCATTGTTAATCAACTAGTTTACGATCTTCGTGCTGAAAACAATCAAATCTCGACACAGAATCGTATTTTTTCCAGAACAAAAACAAGAGAGTTAAAGTTTTTGATTAAATCGAATTCTTTATTTTTTTTGAACATTTATAGCGTAGAGGAATTATCGCATAGTGTTCTTTGTCACGGAATCTAAAAGCATCTTTTTTGATCGATCGTATTTAAAAAAAGGGACAAAAATTAAGTTTACCGGTTATAGAGGAAGTGTAGAGCCCAGTAAATTCCTTCCTCTTGCCAGTGAGTGATGAACAAACACCTTAAAACTCCCACATCGAGGAATGTTGCTGCTGTCAAGTCCATGATATGATGTGACCCGAATTTAGTACTTTGTTCATTTTGTTCCGGTTTCTTTTCACCACTATCCACGGAATCTTTATCGGTTGAAGATCTGTCATCATAAAAAAGTAGTATTAAAATGACAGAGAATATAATACAGGTATATTTTTACCCAATTTTTTGCATGGGAGGTCTAGGACTCTTTGAGTCGGTACTTGCAGTGCTTGAAGTTTGATCTAAGCTTTTGTTGATGTTGTTTGTTCTTCCGTTTCTTCTCATTGCCAGTTGAATTATACTCGTTTCGGCCTATTAATAACTTGTACATTAGCCAAAAAATGCAAAAATATGAAAAATGAAACACTGAAAAATGAAATATGAAACATGAAATATGAAATATGAAACAGAAAATATGAAACATGAAACATGAAGCGTAAAACATGAAACATGAAACGTGAAACGTGAAACATGAAACATGAAACATGAAACATGAAACATGAAACATGAAACATGAAACATGAAACATGAAACATGAAACATGAAACATGAAACATGAAACATGAAACATTAAAAATGAAACGTGAAACGTGAAACGTGAAACGCGAAATATGAAACATGAAACATGAAACGTGAAACGTGAAACGTGAAACGTGAAACGTGAAACGTGAAACGTGAAACATGAAACATGAAACATGAAACATGAAACATGAAACATGAACATGGAACATGAAACATGAAACATGAAACATGAAACACGAAACAGAAAACATGAAACATGAAACATTAAACGTGAAACATGAAACATGAAACATGAAACATGAAACGTGAAACGCGAAATATGAAACATGAAACATTAAAAATGAAATAAGCTTTACCGTATAAACAGAAGGGTCTCTTAAAAATCCGTCAGATTCATGTAACGAGGGTAGTCTAAATATAACAACGTGTTCTTCCTCAGTGCTAGAACTTTCCTCAGGTATAGTTTCCGGGAAAACTGTATCTTTTGGAGATGAAACCCAACCAGCCTAAAACACATTATTATTTCTTCATGATATTCCAATAATCATAAATAGAAATGGTTACTTCATCTTCAGATTTGGTAGTTATTGTAGCTGTGACAGTAACAGTTGTGGGAGGAATACCAGAAAAAGCGTGTTGCTGGTCTGAACTAGAAGCGCTGACTTGCTGACTTAGTGTGGGGCTTTCTCTACCTATCATAGTAGTGTCTACATGACCATGCTTTCCTAAAATTTATAGGATATAAAGGTTCAATATCTCTGTATATTATTATTAGTCAGGTAAATTATTACTATAGTTAACTATTATTAAAATTTCTTTCTAAAATATACAATATCTTCACTGTAATTTGTATCTTGACACATTGTATTTCCAGACTTATATACTTGGTATAAAATTCGTGTTAAAATAAAGACGAAATAATACAAATACCACTAAAGACATTTTACTCTATGCATATTACCCATAAATACGTCTCCGCATTGTGTTTTCCATTTGGCAGATTTTCCATGAAAAAACTTCGGTTTTGGCTTGCAATGATAAATGAAACATGGCGCTTCCGGATGTCTGAATTCCCACATGGGCTGCCAAATTTTCAAGCCATTTTCCAGGCGGAAATTTTGGAAATCTGACTCTTTCAAATTTTGGCACAGTGGAGCAAAAAGGTATACAAAGAGCTACAAAAAATAGGATTATATGTAGAGTGTTAAATAGAACATAGAAAGTATTATATAGAACCTCATATTTAAGCTATAAGAAATATCTACAGGCTTATTCTTTTTTAAATAAAAAATATAACTCTGGTTTACACTTACCGTAATAGTTGGAACTGAAAAAAGATAGTGAAACTGAGAATAGTGAAAAATCCCTTTTTCATAGTCTGCATCTGCACACTCGTCCGCAGCATCCAATAAGATCCAGTGCAGAGTATACAATAATTTGGTCTCTACAGCACCCAAACTCTGCAGATTTCCATCTTTCATTCTGTAAAACAATGTTTTTCTTTATTAAAACTGTTTATTTAAAAAAATATATTTTACCGATTATAAAGTACAGACTGAACTGAATGCATTACATGGGGTAAAGCAGCCTGAATTAGACGCCATCTTGGAATAGTTTTCACGGCTTCTGTTAGGTCTTTTTTTAATCCGGAAAATAGATTTTGAACAAGGACTTTTTCGAAAATTTTGCATGCTTCTTTTAGTTCCTAAAATAGTCCAAAAATATTATAATTTAATTTAAATTATATTTATAAAAAAAATAATTTTCAAATAAAATTAAGTTTTAAAAACTTTAAAAATATTAGTAATTCAATAATTTTTTGCCGGGTTAGCTAGTTTTTTATAAAATTTCTCTAAAATAATTCTATACTTACATGATGCCCTGTGATGGCATGTTGACAAAACTAAAAGAAATTTTAAGATATTTAAAAATATTCTCTATTATTATATGTAATTTAGACTTACCATGCAAGAAGCTTCATGTAATTTACCTAACTTTGGTCTTACAAATGGACTAAAATTAAGAATACTATAGTAAAATCTAAAAACTCTATTATTATGAACTCAAACGTTCAAAAAAAAATATTTTCATTATTGTGTAATATTTATTATGAAATACTGACCTTACTTGACGCCAAAGAAATATCTGAATAGGAATTGGAAGGGCCATATCACCCAGTATAGTTTCCCCAGGCGCATCTCTCTCTTGTGGATGCATGACTTCTTTTTCCTCAGTCTTGTAACTAAAATCAAAATCAAATACGAAGGTCTATACAAGGTTGTTCACCACATACGACACGGAGTATTGTAGCTAAACGATGAGATTTTTACAAATTGTAAGTCTTGGGTTCGATGAAGGACTATTAGATATTAGTCCCAAATAAGTAAAAAATATCAAAGTTGTATTTTTTTAAATGGAACACCCTGTATATTATTGCATTTTTAGTTTCTACGATTAAAATAAAGGTAAATTTGATTAATGTTTATTATACTTAAACCTTACCGTTTTAGAAATATTTTCAATTTTGTGAAATTGCAGTAAAAATTTTAGGGCTTCATTTCTCCAAGGGTGCCAAAGTTTTTAATACTAAATATTTACTGAAGTTTCTTTATTGATCAGTTATTGTGTTGCAATAATAAAAATAATACTACCTTATACAGAGTGTCTAAAAATTTATTTTAAATAATTATTAGCTTCAAACGGCAATAACTTGTTTAATTTAAATGGAACACCCTGTATATTTTACGAGAATCAGATGCACAATTTAATTGTCTATCAAATTATATTATACCATTTTTTACCTATCTCCTTAAGTTTCCGTAGAAAATGCATTTTCTTGAAATTTAGAATTTATTTATCAATATACCCATGGAATATTGACATTTTAGATTATTTTTAAAGATGTACCAAATTTTTAAAGAGCACAGATTCTAATATTGTGGATATAATTCGTTTATTTCATTAAAAAATAAAAAAAAAACTGTTTAAATATTTGTTAAAGGGGACCAGTTAATATGATTCCAGTATTCAATTCAAACTACATTAACTGACTGCTTTGATTAATAATAATTGTTCCAAATACTAAAAAACTGAATTTTGTATGGGTATTAGACAGTGTGATAAAAAGTAACACCTTAAAAATGATATTTCATTTTTTAATAAATGCTTATTTATAACAACAGAGACTTTAATTTTGATAACTTATTATTATATTGATTTCTGACTCAAATCCACACTTATTTAGAATAATTTATTAAGTATGTAAATAATTAGTATATGGGCGGAAATAATGGTGCTATATTTAATTAATGGTATACTCTTTTATAAAGATTTAAATAGTTTTCTTTTTGCATACAACATTATTGTTTTTAGCAAAACGATAATGTTACTAGAATGTCAATATATGATGTCAATATTCCATGGGTGTCAATAATAAAATGACAATATTCCATGGGTATATTGATGAATGAGGTCTAAATTATAAGAAAATGAATTTTCTACGAAAACGTCAAGGGATAGGTAAAAATGGTGTAATACAATTTAATAGACAATTAAATTGTGCATCTGATTCTCCTAAAATATACAGGGCGTTCCATTTAAATTAAACAAGTTATTGCCGTTTAAAGCTATAAATTATATAAAATAAATTTTTAGACACTCTGTATAAGGTAGTATTATTTTTATTATTGCAACACAATAACTGATCAATAAATAAACTTCAGTAAATATTTAGTATTAAAAACTTTGATACCCTTGGAGAAATGAAGCCTTAAAATTTTTTCTGCAATTTCACAAAATTGAAAATATTTCAAAAACGGTAAGGTTTAAGTGTAATAAACCTTAATCAAATTTACCTTTATTTTAATCGTAGAAACTAAAAATGTAATAATATACAGGGTGTTCCATTTAAAAAAATAAAACTTTGATATTTTTTACTTATTTGGGACACTCTGTATCTTGTAAATTATTTTTAAATTGTACCTCTAATAGTCCTTCATCGAACCCAAAACTTGAAATTTGTAAAAATATAATCGTTTAGCTACAATACTCCGTGTCGTATGTGGTGAACAACCCTGTATATTAACATTTCGGAATATACAGGGTGTCTCAATATTCCGTGGTCATAGAACTACTACATATTTTTGGAACCAAAATAAGTTCACTGGACAAAATTTACCTCCATACAAAAGTTCTTTGTTTGTCCATTAAGAAGGTATAAAACTTTAAAAAAAAAAAGACATTCTAGGAACCGACATGAATGATCCGTTTTGAATGATATTTGGAGTGCCTATGTTTTACTAATCTTTTCACAAAAAAAGATACGGGAAGGGTGAAAATTGAAAATTACCCCCACCCCTACAGAAATTTCAGTAAAAATATTTTTCAACTTCAACGACAACTGTGTCTTTCTTAGTAAAATGGACCTTGTAGTACTGGTTACTATATTTTTGTCTCTTGCACGAAAACACCATCTCGATAACTTTTTGAGGAAAAAATATTTTTTCGAACTGACTTGCAAATAATATTTCTTGTCACACAACGCTAATTAGGAGCACAAAATCTCTGATAGATCTTGAATACTTTATAATATTTCTTGTCACACAACGCTAATTAGGAGCATAAAATCTCTGATAGATCTTGAATACTTTTAGTGTAATTTGAATAAATAAAAAAAATAAACTTACCTGTAGGAGTGCAAGTTTTCAAAATTACTGTACGTCTCGCCAGGATTCCTTATTTATGTTCAAACTTTAAATATTAACCAAATTATTTGAAAATTTATTTCAAATAACTATTAAATTGAATATAAACTAAGATATTATACTGTTAAAAACAAATAAACTTTGTGTAATGCTAGAACTTTTTTGAGTTTCTCTAAAATACAGTCACCTACATTTGAGACTTGCGAATCGAGAGCAAAATTTGGGAGGAGCCTAGGAACAGATTTGGAGTCTGCTGACATTGAGCTGCTGCGCTGGAAATAGAGCCAGGACTAACAAGCTCTGAAACATAGAGACTGCAAAAGGAGCGTCTCTAAAATTATATTTTAAAATCATTAAAAATACCTATAAAAATTAATTAACCTGCTTCAACAACAATACCAAAAAACACCATTCAATATTATAAATAACATAAAAAATATCTATACCTATGTGGCGGATGTATCTCTCCAAAAAATCCTATGGGTATTTCGCAATTGCAAGAAAATCTACAAAATAAAATAGGTATTTTTTGTAAACACTTATAAACACTTGAATCCTCTTGTTGTATTTCCTGATTGTGTTGGGGAAGGGATCATAGTTTGTTGATTTTCGAAAGAAATCAGTACATGTATATTATTTCGTATATTTTTCATTTTATTGGTTTTATGGAAAACACTGTTCATTAAAATGTTGTATCCTACGTTATAGGACTTGTTTCTCTCTACAATTTCCTGTCTCACAATGTCCCGTTTATGTCCGGGAAGGAATCATAGTTTCATAGTTGTCGATTTTCGAAAGAAATCAGTACATGTATATTATTTCGTATATTTTTCATTTTATTGATTTTATGGAAAGCACTGTTCATTAAAATGTTGTATCTTATGTTATAGGACTTGTTTCTCTCTACAATTTCCTGTCTCACAATGTACCGTTTGTGTCGGGGAAGGGATCATAGTTTCATAGTTTGTCGATTTTCGAAAGAAATCAGTACATGTATATTATTTCGTATATTTTTCATTTTATTGATTTTATGGAAAGCACTGTTCAATAATATAATTATTTCTGTTTTATATTAATAACTTATTTAAAATATTCTATAAACATATACCGGGTGCGTCTGACAAGTGGCTCATCTCTATAACTTTTTTATTTTTTCAATTAAAAACCCCGATTTGGTATTATAAGACATAAATTAGGATTGATTGGCGTATTGAATTGTTTTTGGTCACTTCCTGTTTCACCGGAAATGACTACAACCTTTGATATTTGAATGACATCCTTGGTATTTTTTTTTACTTTATTCGATAGGAAATGACACTCTAGATAGAATGATGTATTATATGTCAACTTTTGACATTTTCGCATATGGTTTACTTGAAATTGTAATATGCGGTTCATAATGACAATTTGAGTCGAAATACTAAGTCTGTGGTATCAAATTATTCGTAAAAAATGTTTAAATATGATAATGAACCACCCTTGTTCCATTTGAAAACATTGAGATATGATTAAAAATACAATTTGGGCATCTTTTAACCGACCAGAACAAGACACGGAAAACATTAGGCGATCGAATCTATTTTTCCAAGGCTCCTTGATTAATAATTAGTTTTTTTAACAAAGCCATAGCACTCTAGATTGAAATTTAAAATACGATTTTTTTTAAAGAAATTATGTCAAAAGTTAACATATGATCAATTTTAATTTATGTCATAGTAACATACCAAATCTCGTTTTTTTATTTGAAAAAATAAAAAAGTTTTAGGGGTGAGCCATTTTTGAGACGCACCCGGTATATATGGCTAACTTTATTTAAATCTGTCCAGCTAGTCAGGCAATATTTCTACATGCTACATTCAAAAAATGACAGAAAATTCAATTTACGTGCGCATTAAAATGACAGATACAACTGTCGCAGTATTTTCTTTCGTTGGACAGACTATATTTTTTATTTTCCAACAACAAACTCTATAACTCGTTGGCCCTTTTGGTTTTCCTGCAGATGTATCGATTGAAACGCCGCGATTCTGCGCAAATTTCCCAGGAAACGATCAAATTTCGCTTTAAAAAAAGTGCCTTTTGTAATTTGTCTTGCTAATGGATGACAAAATTGATCAAACATTTATCATGTTTCGGAAAATTCGTTTATTTTTTTATAAATTTGCATAGTTAATAATATATCTGTTTATTATAGAGGATGAGTCTTAAATAAATGCAAATATTTTTAAGGGTAGAATATTTCGACCTCAGAAACACGAATATGAGTTTTTTTTGGCATTTTAATTTAATAAACATAATTTCTTGATATACAGGGTGGTCCGAACTGTATTCCGGAAACTTCGGCAGCATATTCTGCAGATAAAAATAAGTAAAAAAGTTCGTATAAATATATGTCCTAAAATGTTTACTTTCAGAGATACAGGGTGTAGAAGTTTCATTTTTATTTCGATTTTTTCTAAATAATTTCTGAAGTAACGTCAATATTTGGATGAAAATTGGTGTCTGGGAGTTTTTTGACATGAAAAATTTGATTTTGGTGTCAATATGACTCCTACACACATTGTCAATGTTAAAAGAAATAGATATCTTGAAAGTTTGAGCTAAAATATAAATAAAACTGCAATACTAGGGTACGTTTTCTTTATTTTGATGTGACTAGTATTGATAAAAGTTTCCATCTCTGGGCTGTCTGGAATAACCGGCATTGGTTTGCGGAGAATGATGCGATGAATTCACCAGTTTGACGCTACTTGGATGCTTCTTCTCTGTTACACCACCAATGAGCAATTTGTGAGCCTAAAAAAAGAAATTTTCATTATTGAAAAATATTTTTTGTATAAACAATAAACATCCAAAAAGTTGGCTTGCATGTCAATAAAATATTTGACAAATACACGTCGGGATGTTGCCATGACAACTTTTTTACTTTGAGTTTTGACAAAAGTGTTTAATAAAATAAACTTATTTCTATAAATTCAAAACATTCAGTTTTAAGACACTCTGTATACATAATCATTATTGATTTTTGAAATATTATTCGCAAATTAGGGAGAGGGAATACAGACAGCGAACAGAGATTATAGGTGTTAGGTAATAGTTTTTAGACTCCCGTTCGAGACGCATCGATAATACTTTGGTTTGGTTAATGTGACAAAGAATGTTATTAAAGGTAAAGTAAATGTTTCCTCATTATATATTTAACTAGTGTTAACATATAGCTTATTTTCCTGTTGTAATATTCTGTGTTAAAGTTTTTCCTTATTTATTTAATCTACAAAGCTATCTTATAACATGCGTATGTATTTAATGGAATCGATTTATGAAGTGAATAATTTCAGTTTCAAAGTAATCTATAGTAATATATAAAATCCTTAATTGACTGACTCACTCATTATTCACGATCCTGCTCAAACCATTCAACGTAAGATGCTCAATTTTGGCATACAGGTTGATTCTAGGGTGTAGAGGTTCGATAAGAAGTGATTTTTCGAAATTCCAGTTCCAAGGGGATGAAACCACCCCTCAAATATTACAATTTTTTTTATTTAAAAAACGGTCAAGTTTCCGAAAAAACGCTTAAACACGTATATTTTATTTTGTTTTTACATATTTTAAGATTTTTTAAAAATGTATATAGGGTGTTTCAAAAAATCTATATAATCACGATCCTGCTTAAAGCGCTTGACGTAAAACTCTGATTTTTGGAAAACAGATTGACTTTAGGGTGTAGAGGTTCGATAAGAAAGGATTTTTCGAAACTCGAATTCTAAGGGGGTGAAACTATCCCTCAAATATTAGAATATTTTTTATTTAAAAACCGGTGAGTTTTTCGGAAAAACTCTTAAACACGTATATTTTATTTCGTTGTTTTACATATTTTAAGATTTTTTAAAAAACTATACAGGGTGTTTCATAAAATATGACCATTGAGTAATCACGATTCCGCTTAAATTGTTTGACGTTTAAAGCTGATTTTTGGCAAACGGATTGACTGTGGGGTGTAGAGTTTCGATAAGGAGGGGTTTCTCGAATCTCAAATTCCAAGAGGGTGAAAACGCCACTCAAATATTACAATATTTGTTATTTAAAAAACGGTTAGTCTTCCGGGAAAACGCTTGGACACGCATAATTTATTTTGATTTTTTTTATATATTTTGAAATTTTTTAAAAAAATCATACAGGGTGTTACCAAAAAGTTGGGTAATTTATTAACCACGATTCTGCTTAAACTGCTTGACGTAAAAAGCTTATTTTTGGCAAACAGATTTTTCGTCAAAGTCAAATTCCAACGAGATGAAAGTACCCCTCAAATATTACCAAGTTATATAATAATATCGCTATATTGTTTTTTCTCATGCTGACATAAATGTGAAAAAATTTTATCCAGATTGTATGATAATGGAAATTCTTGCTTTGCTTTATCATCACCATTACAAATGATTAATTCGACGCGAACGAAGTTGCGGGTACACGCTAGTCTATAAATATAATCGTTTATTGTCTATTCGTGTCGATATTTTTAGTACAGTGTGACAAAAAGGGCCTTGTTGAGTGTACTAATATTTTTTCTACCCTGACTAGGCGAATATCTTAGCAAACAAATGAGCAACCAAAAAGAAAAAAAATTGTAACTAATGTATTCGTATGGAATCGCGCTCATACAATTTATTTGAATATAATAAACTTACGAAATTGTATCTGTAAGGCACTGTGACGAACTTCTTCCTCGATGATCTTCCTTGTCTGGTTGAAGCGTTTTCATCCTTCTGTCCAGAACGTTCCAATGCAGCTAATTGTTCCCTATCTGGAGTGAGGTCCCTGGTATTCCTCAACCTTCTCCAAGTGTTGATACCGTGCGTTTCAGGCTGGAGGTATGTATCGAGTTTTTCTGGGAAAAACTCAGAGGAATGATCGTAGGTGGAGGTTAGTACGAAGTCCAGATCATCTGTTGGTATTAGACCACTGTAAGGAAAATGTAACAGTATTATGTGTTAATATAAAATCAATTGAAAATTATTCACTCCAATCAGGATATAGTTAAATCAATAAAATTTGGCATGTACAGGGTGGGTCAAATTCGACGTTTTTAAATGGAAACACCCTTTTCTATAGGAGATAGACGAAAACTAATATCGGTGTCTGGAGCTCAATATTCATCAAAAACATGATGGTGAAAACCGCACATAAATATCTGTTACCGTTTCGGAGTTACGGGGTGTTTTTCAAAAATGTGCATTTTTAACAAATCGCTGTAAATTTTTTGCTATGGAAAATTTTGTATTTCTATGAAAACATTTCCAAAGCACCTTTTTACGTATTTAATGGTTTAAGTATAATTTTTTTTTAATTAATAATTTAAGAGTTATCAACAGAAAAATTGATTTTTTATTTGGGACACCCTCTATATTTTTAATTAACTGAAAAGAATTTAAAATTACCTTTCCAAAAATATAGCGCACTTGATATTTTGTTATAATCCCCTTCGAAATACAGAGTTTTTAAAAGTTCGCCACTTTTAACTAGTAGGCTTTGGACCCCTTATAGATGATATGCCCTTAATGGAACTCCAAAACATATTTTTCCAGCAAGACGACGCACCGCCTCTGAACGCTGAAGTTATCAGCAAATTTTTGCAGCCAATTTCAAGAATAATTGAATAGCTAACCAAGATTCCAGCCGTTGGCCGTCGAGGCCGCCTGACTTAGTGCCCATGGATCTAATCCTATGGATATATTTGCGGAAGAATAAAGGTTCCATATTCTTCCGTATAATCTAGGCAAGAATTAGAAATACTTAACAGTTATGAGAGGGTATCTTTCACCCCTACTGAGTTAATGAATTCCGCGAGAAATGTTCAAAAACTGCCCCGTCTGTCCATAACAGAAGACGGTTGATATGTCGAACACCTGTAGCAAAATCTCATATCTTGGTTTGCTATTTATTTTTATTGTTATTAGATATAGTTTATGTGTGTTGATGTTGGTTAAATATATTTTAAATTGTTATAAAATTCTGCATCTCTCATAGCAAATATTATTTTCGTTTTAATTGATGCTCACAGCTAGAATTTTTTTGTATTACAGCCGGTGCCGTTCAAAGCCTACTTATTTAAAGCGGGCGAATTTTTATATACTCTATATCTCGAAGAGGAATCGAGCAAAATATCAAGTGTGTTATATTTTTGGAAAGGTAATTTTAAATTCTTTTCAATAAATTAAAAATATACAGGGTGTCCCATATAAAAAATCAAATTTTCTGTTGATAATTCTTAAATTCTTAATTATTAAAGTTACAGCGATTTGTTAAAAATGCATATTTTTGAAAAACACCCCGTAACTCCGAAACGGTAACAGATATCGATATGCGGTTTTCACCATCATATTTTTAACAAAAATTGAGCTCAGACACCGATATTAGTTTTTGTCTATCTCCTATAGAAAAGGGTGTTTCCATTTAAAAGCGTCGAATTTGACCCACCCTGTACGTAATCAAAATATTTGACGAATGCACGTCGCAATGTTGCCACGGTTACTTTTTTACTTTGACTTTTGACAAGTGATGCATATATGACAGCAATACATATACATTTTTACTTTTTGTATGATTATTACACAAACAAATTCAAATTAATTGAAGTTATTATACAGGGTGGTTCGAACTGTCTTCCGGAAACTTCGGCAGCATATTCTGCAGATAAAAATAAATAAAAATGCTCCTCTAAATGTATGTCTTAAAATGCTTAGTTTCGAAAATACAGGGTGTAGCAGTTTTATTTTTATTTCGATTTTTTCCAAATAATTTATGTAGTAACATCAATATTTGGATGAAAATTGGTGTCTGGGAGTTTTTTGCCATGAGAAATTTGATTTTGATGTCAATATGACTCCTACTTGTAGAGGACGCCACCTACATATTTTTAACTAGTTTGAAGAGAAATAACTTTTCGTCCGTACCTGTATAAAACTACTGAGTAAAAAAATATATATTTACGACATTTTTTACGAAAAAAATGACTCTTAGTAAAAATTGCTACGAGTAATGGTTCTTGAAATATTTGGAATCGAAAATGTTGACTAAATAGTTATTACACTGAAATCATAGATTTATAAAATGTTTTTGTGCCAAAAGTTCAACAGAAACATCATTTTTTTGCAGAAAAATTGATGATTAATTTAAAAAAAATAAAAATTTCCCTTGATAATAAATCAATAAATATCTTGAGAACGGTTACTCGTAGCGATTTTTACAAAGAGACATTTTTTACGTAGAAAATCACGGAAATGTATATTTTTTCACTCAGTAGTTTTATACAGGTACAGACGAAAAGTTATTACTCTTCAAAACAGTTAAAACACATGTAGGTGGCGCCCCCTATAAATAGGAGTCAGATTGACATCAAAATCAAATTTCTCATGTCAAAAAACTCCCAGATAGCAATTTTTATCCAAATATTGACGTTATTTCAAAAAGTATTTGGAAAAAAATCGAAATAAAAATGAAATTTCTATACCTTGTATTTCTGAAACTATATAAGCATTTTTGGACATATGTACATTTATACGAACTTTTTTACTTATTTTTATCTGCAGAATATGCTACTGAAGTTTCCGGAATACAGTTCGGATCACCCTGTAGAGCAAGTTTTATGTATGGAAGTTGAACAACTTAAAAGTTCTAATTGATTAACATTAATCTTCGTGAAATTCTACTCACAGTCTGTAAACTGATATCTAAAAATATAAGCCTCAATATAAAACGCCTTAATTCGACCGGCTGGTACTGAATGAGCTGTGCATTTCTGGTACTTACTCGAAATTTTTAAAGTGGGCGAATCTTCGAGCACTGGCCAAGGTGTGATGCCGGTACATTCTCTGGAAAGGGGACATTGCACTGTCGTAGCAGGAGTTTTTAGTCGTTTTGGCGGTCGTGAGGGGCCTCAAGAAAATCCCCTCCCCCTCCAAGTAGGGCACACAGCCCCTGTTTCGAATGCGTCCTGCGGACAGAAAGACAATTTTGCCGTATAGTTTTAGTAGAGCTGGGCATATTTATTTATTTTTTCTGTTTGTGCTTTAAAGAACTAATACAATTATTGATGAATTAAGTGTTTTGTTTTAATTTACAGGGACTCCCTCATTTTTGCTAGATTAATAATCTTTATACCGGGTGCGTCTCGAAAGTGGCACACTCCTATAAATTTTCTATTTTTTCAGATAAAAAAATGAGATTTGATATGTCAGTATATAACATAAATAAAGATTGATTGACGTATTTAATTGTTTTTGGTCACATCCTGTTTCACCGGAAATGACTACAACTTTTGGTTTTTAAATAGACCCTCAGTATTTTTTTACTTTATTTGATAGAAAATGACACACTGAATAGAATGACATATCATATGTCAACTTTTGACGTTTTTGCTTTAAAAGAAATCGCATTTTAAATGTCAGTCAAGAGTCAGTGCCATGGCTGTGTTAAAAATATTAATTTTTAATCAAGGAGCATCGGAAAAATAGTTTTGATCGTCTAATGTTTTTCGTGTCTTTTCCTGGCCGGTTAAAAGATGCTCAAAACGTATTTTTAATCATATCTCAATTTTTTTTAAATGGAACAAGGGTGGCTCATTAGCATATTTGAAAAAAAAAACACATTTTTTACGAATAATTTAGTACCACACGCTTGGTATTTCGAGTCATATTATAGTTATTACCGGCATGTTACTATTTCAAATAAACCCATATGCGAAAATGTCAAAAGTTGACGTATGATATGTCATTTTATTTGGGGTGTCATTTTCTATCGAATAGAGTAAACAAATATCGAGTGTGCCATTTAAAAATCAGAAGTTGTAGTAATTTCCGGTGAAACAGGAAGTGATCAAAAACAATTGAATACGTCAATCAATCATAATTTATGTTAGGTACTTACATACCAAAACTCGTTTTTTTATCTGAAAAAATAAAAAAGTTACAGGGGGTGAGCCACTTTTGAGATGCACCCGGTATGTCTTCTGCTTTATGAAAGTGTGTAGAGTGCATTCTTATATGGGACAACGTCTCAGATACTGGCTTTTGTCAATGCTCTGAGACTCTATGATGAGTTGTAACTCACGAAAGGGAATACAATAATTATTAATTACAATTTTATTAAAATTTGTTGTTTTTCTATTGAGTTGAAAATATACTACTTTAATAAATATTACTACTAAAAAATTTAGTGCACATTCTTACTAACCTGCAGCCATGATGACGTATATACGCCTCACAATCTAGTTCGGAGCTAGTTCTCGCGTGACTGGATAATTTTGGAATAAATCAGGAACTGGATAAACGAAGGAAAAGCCCAAACCTACCAGACTGAGCCTAGGTTCTTTACTGGGTCGGGCATATTTGTTTTCCAGGCCTTTTGTTAGCGATTTCCTTGTCGTACTGACGTGTGTCACTTTAGAATGAAACGGACTATTAGCAGGGCTATGTACAGGGTGTTCCTTAACATAATTTATTTTTAATTCTATAAATCGTACATCCAATGCATATACATTATTCGCTGACGAGTATTTCATATGCATCAGAAGATGGTCACGCAAGAGGCGTTTTCTTTCATGAGCTTTTCTATGAAACTGAAAAGCCCGTACCTTGGGTATTTAGTTATAGTTAGCTCCGTACCTTGGGGGTATTAAAATATATGTAAACGTTGTTGTAACGTTGTGCCGACGTAGAACTAGTACTACAACAAAGTAAAAGCTTCTGCGACATCAAATAAACGTTGTCTTGTAACCTATTTTGCTTAAGTGGTCTTTAGGTGATTCGGACAACGTAGTTACAATGTTGGGCGATAAAGACTTTTCCGACGTCACTTTCAGGACCAATTCCAACGTTGTTTAGATTTCCTTATTCTTACGTTGGTAGGACGTCGAGCCACTACCTTTTTGCAACTGTATTGAACCATAACCTTAAATCTTAAATTTTCACTTCATTGTTCTGTTCAGTCAGACAGTTCAGTGCTGTTTTTGTTTTTATAAAAAAACTTAATTGAAATGGGACATAAGAAAGGTACATATAAAACTAAATTTAAATATACATCGACATATTACCGATACTTTATCCACTCCCTCGTTTATTTAGAATATAGGGGGCGGCACAAGCTAGACTCTAGGATGACTAAATTAGGCAATCTTGCGACTAGTATACTACCTGTTAAGGCTGAACTGCGACTTTATTAGTCCAGTATGCGACTACTCGAACTACTCCATCTTAATCTCCAAAACAACAAAGTTAGTATTTTTCGCCATGTTGTTGAATAAGAAAATGTTTCGTTCCTAAAATAGCAATCCCTGCTTTTTGAATACATTAACTTGAAATATTTGACCATAAACAACACGCGGAAACAATTTTTTCGACTGCGAATAAATTATTGTCATTTTACTAAAAAAAAAATTCAAGAAATTTTTTAAAACTTCTTTAATTTTAAGGCCCATTAGTATTTTTCAAAGTAGAAACAATACATTTATCAATAAAGTTGTTTGCGTTTAACTTTTTTGCCTTGGGTAACGAGTTACAGAGAGTCGGTTAAAGTGTTTCAATAATTATGATCTTCAAACATCCTCCACACACACTTAAATACTTTTGTTTGGTTTTCCTTTACTGCCATCTGGCATATGTCTCTAACTAAATCATAAAAATAATATTTTTCCTATAATTATCCCAATTTAGGATAAAACGCGACTTAGACGCCATATTATTATAGTTTTGTATTTCTGTGAATTAGGATTTTAAACAACGTTGCAGTTTGTACTAAATTAGGCTGCTAGCCAACTTCGGTATCCAATGTCGTTTCGACCCAAAAATTATTTTCCAAACTAGTGCAGACTAGGGTTGGCACGAGGTTGTGCCGACGTTGCGCCCCGACGTTTGGTCGCGTGACACAACGTTGTCCCGACGTCCAAATGCTGCTGGGTAGAAAACCCTGTCATTTAATTTCCAGAATGCTCTTGAGGCGCTGCTAATCCTGTGCTGAAAAATCAAACTGCCGAGGTAATTGAGTCGAATCCAATTGAATACTGCCATAACTGCATTTTTTCGGAAATTTTGATAGACTTTTTTGCAAATCCTGTATAATTAATTTATAAAAATTAATTTTCGGTCAAACCAAGATTTGAATAGATAAAAAATATAGCTCTGCGATTTAATAGCGAATTCAAATCAGATAAAATGTTTTTAACATCATTTTTCGACATCTAACTAACCGTAAAGTACAAGCGAGCGAAGACTATACAGAACCGTTTTTCGAAAATTAACAATTCACACTCTGATTAGCCCAGACATGTTAAACGAATAGGCACGTACTACTGGTATCTCGCAAGATCATTAGCCAAATCTTTTAAAATTCGTATGGTTTTAATAGCTAAAAACGCATTAAAATATCTTTAGTTGTATATTTTAAGCGAGGAAGAAGAACAGTTAATTTTAATTAGGTTTTCTTAAAACTTCATTAGTCGCTTCACAATTGAGGGCAGGGGCGTAGATAGGTGTATGCTATGGGGGTGGTACTATGATTAAGTCGCAAAAAAAATCACCGTCGGAATTTTTTTGTCGAATTAAAACGACGGCGATTTTTTTGTCTTCAAAAAGATGTGACAAATCTTTTCGGATTAATCACTTTTCTATGGGTAGCGTGACTATTTTATAATTATGAAAAAACAATTAAGTTGAGCGGAAGGCAAACTTGGATAAAAAGTACACCGACTCTTTGGAGCGTATGTTTAATGCTTTGTCTTAGTGCTGTTAGTCTCTCAAATCTATTATATAACTTACCTTATTTGCGGCCCGACCTCTGTCTGTAAATATGTAGCTCATTTCTCGAGACTTTTCGGGACTGCTCTGGAGATATTCTGCCCGTTCATAAGGATCTTATTTATATACTTTTAAAGCACTCTTATTTTTTACTATCGAAATAAAACGGCCGAGTTTTTAGAAAACATTTAAATTTAATATTAAAAAGAAAATAAAGAACAAATAAAAAAATATATATGTATATGATCGAAATTACTTGTTATTACTAAAAATGGAAAATAGATGGAAAAATACAAGAAAATTGTCTGGTGTCTGCTTTGTTGAAAAATCTGATAATTACATAATCAATTGAACCTTCATTACTAAATCTTACTACAACACATTAAAATAATTTTAGAGAAGAAAATTAAAAACATTTGACAAAAGGACATAAAAAAAATACTATTAGTAGACACCAGACTTAAAAACTACAGGGGGTCACATCGTGAACCTTACCGAGTTTCGCGAACCCGATAGAGAACCGTCTCTTTTAGAAACTTAAACCGAACTAACTTTTCTGCCTAAAAACAGCCCCGAGGTTCCAACATTACAGGGTTGAAGGGTGGTGCATTCGGTACTTCGCCAATAGGATCATCCCTAAAGGTACTGCTCTTTGCTTGATTGGTCAGCTTGACACCGCCCTTCAAACCAAATTGGTTTGACCTCCCGTTGTTAGATGGCAGTACTATGACCATTTTACGTATTTCATCCTAGTTTACGTCTAGATACGTGCTTTCCTAAAGTTCCCAGATCCTTTACAAACATCCGGCGATAGTTACATGTTATCAAGGGTGGTTATTGGTTTTACAATGTCCCAGCGTTTTTATCTAAGGTCTATCTTTACAATTTTCTGTTTACTTCTAAGTTCTACAGTTTATTTGCTTTGCCCTTCTATAAGTTTGGGAATTTAAAAATAGTCACGTTTGAAAGATGTTTGTTTTATTACTTCCTGTTAAAAGACCCTCTCCCGAAACTAATAACCGAAAACATCGACTTGAACGTAAAGGATATAGGAAATAATCTGTTAATAATATAAATAATAATATATAGGAAATAATCTGTTACAAAGATATAAAAACATAACACAAAAATTAAAATATAGATTTGTAAATAACATACACAAAAATGAAACAACGACGTTTATTAGTTAATTTTCTATAAACTATAAATAAAAAAATCTAAACTATCAAAAAAAACTCTAAGAACTATAAATAAAACTACAAAACAAAATCAAGTTTTCTAGTACGCTGTTTGGAAAACCTATCAATAACAGCATCAACATTTATTTCAATATCTTTATGGATATTGATTAGAGTTAACCCCACTAATCTGTCCTGGCCAATAAGAATACTTTGTGTGCTTTTAATTAGGTCGAACATATTATAAACGATAAATCAACATAATTAAAAGCATACAAAGTGTTCTTATATGTCGGATATTAATTAAAAAAAATCCTTTCATAGTCAATGACTATTTCAATTCTCGTATCTCGTCAAGCGTCAGGGGGGGGTACTGTCCCCCAGTACCCCCCCCCCCTTATCTACGCCCTTGATTGAGGGGCTTAGAATAAAAGGGATACAGGTGAATTTTTGTTCTAAATAGACTTAAGCGTCTATTACCACAGATTATATAGATTATAATCTTTGTTTTTTCTTTATTGTTTTTCGTGGTTCCAGTTTTCGGAATCGGGCACTAGTAAGGTTACTAGTTTGCGCACATAGCACGCCCACTTATGGGCCTCTAAAACTGTGCACAGCGCCTGACCGGCACAGTTATTAGAGAGATATCGGAAAACCGAATAGCGTCATCCAGTATTTACGCGTACCTTATCATGGTTACGATATGCGCGAGTCAATTTTTAACGCAACACCCGCTAATAACGTTACCGCCTGACGTAATTTGCGGATCAATTACATCTTTCTAAATAACCTCTGATAACGTTTAAAAATTGCTTAATTAAATGGGCATGTGCGGGTATTTGACTACAGGACTCTTAGTATATATTATAGTATTGGAAATAAAAATGCGAAATTTACCGAATTTTTCAAATTTACCTTGATTTTTATTGAACTCAAAAAAATACACACATTTTTTTTTGATTCTAAACTGTGAATTAAAAAAAAAAGATAAAACCATTTTTACTTAATAAAGGGTATAGCCTCCTCTACTGTTCATTACAGCCCTACATCGTCTCTCCATGCTCCTGATCAGGTTGTCGTTCTCTTCTTGAGGTACAGCCTGCCACGCTGCATTCACGGCCCGAACCAGATCCCTACGAGTTTCACGAGGCATACCCATTCTCAAAATTCTTCTTTGGACCGCGACCCATACGTGCTCGATGGGGTTGAGGTTAGGAGATTGTGCCGGCCAGGGTAAGATGTTTAATTGATGAGCATTGATAAACTCACTTACCACTCTGGCTGTATGAGGCCGTGCATTGTCATGCATGACAATGAAGTTTCTCCCAAAATCATTGGCATATGGTAACACGACAGGCTCAAGAATTAAATCACGATATGTGATTCCTGTTAGAAACCTTTCAAGGAAAACGAGATCGGGTTTTCGGCCTAACTGGACTCCTCCCCAGACCATAACTGTTCCACCTTGATAAGGGTGCACTTCCTGAACATGATCCAACCGAATAAGATTTCCCGGTTCTCTCCATACCACAAGCCTTCTCGAATCCGGATGAATTCCAAAGCGTGACTCCTCCGTGAAGAGAACATTGGCCCATTGTTCATTCGACCACTGAACATGATCTTGAGCCCACAAATATCGTACCTCTCGATTTCCTCTCGTTAAGGGTTTTTTTCCTCTCGTATGCTTCTTAATTTGATCTCTCTTAATCTATTGCGAACAGTGTCAGAACTAACGGTTACTACCTTATGTGTTTCTTGGAGAATTAAACTAAGCTCTGGTGCTGTAAGAGTCGGTCGGCGTCGAGCATTTAATTGTAAAAAATGATCTTGCTGAGGGGTAGTAATGCGATGTCGATGTAGATCGCGATATTACACTTTGCGTTGTATTTAATGCTCTAGCTACGTCGATTTGGCGCATTCCAGCTTCGAGCATACCCATAGCCCTTAGCATTTCGTCTCTGTTAAGATGTCTACGCTCCATAATGTCGTTTAATACTAAACAGAGTTATTTGAATGAACTCTGGCCAATTATCATAAAAACATAGCTAGTACAGGTTAAATTCGAACAATTGATGCTAGGTGCTTTTTATACATTTGACAAAAAATACACAAACGCTTCTGCAAATATCCCAAATTTAGAAATAACTAGTGTGACTACTTCGTTTCAATCGAAGTAGAAAGAATCGGCCTACAAATATGTGGTTGTTTATTCAAAACATTTATTTTTAACTTTAATAAAATGATATCCCTAGATTTTTCCGGTGTGTGTATTTGGAAATTTCAAGTGTCTGTTTCTATCTTGTCAACGATATCCCTGTCAAACGTCTTGTTCTTGTCAGAAGTCAGTGAGTGTTTTCAAATCAGTTGGCAAATGGGGTTTTGATATTTTTAGGCACCGCTATCAAGAAAGTCGACAGTTTTATACCTCGAGACCGTCCTAGAATGCCATATGGTACTCTCGGTACTTTGAGAGAGACGTTCGATTCGTTTATTTGATTTATCTGAAGCCAATTAGTTCTGCTTCTCCCAGTTTCAGGTCAGTAGATTTAGTAAACGGTACACACAATATTTTAAAATATTACTGATATAACCAGGGCTAAAAAACATTTTTTTTTCAATTTTTAAACAAAACATGTGCGTTATATGGTCAAATCCAAAGTTAGGATAATGTTCTAAACATGTTTTAAGTAGTTTTAAAGAAAGTTTAAAACAAGTAATGGTGTTTTAGGACATTTAAAACACTTGTTTTAAAACAAAATGTTTAAAATATCTCAATATAAGTTTTGTTTTTTAGGATTAGAGATATTATCGTATTATGAACCAAGATAAATACTTTGAAAGAAGAATGGTTGTGAACAAATTCAGCAACAGGCCTCCTTTTGATTTGAAGAAACCCCAAGAATCTCTAAACATCACCGAAAATATTAAAGAATATCCCGAAGAGAACTGCATTAATTGTTGCAAAAATCGTTGCACCAAACAAAAGTATAGAATCCATTTTATACATTATTGAATAGAGAGTAAGACTGGTCTTGGTCTTGGCCCTGCACAAAAAGCAAGACCTAGTCAAAGTACAAGATTGGCATTTACTCTGCATGCCCAAGATCAAGATCTTGCTTGCAAGACTCTTGCGGTCTTGCCTTGACGTTATTCTTCCCTGTTTTAATTTATTATAAGTAGTGTTTTCCTCACTTTTGCATAAAGTTTTAAAGGAATGAAATTTAATATACAGGGTAAGGTGGGTAAAAAAATCGACTTTTTAAACGGTTTTATTTAGCTCGACCCGTACGGTATTTATTTATTTGTTTGTGTATTTGGGTCAAAATTAGAAATTGAAATTTAAGTACCTTCCTGTTGTCAGATTGATCTGAAATTTGGTACACACCTTTAGTTCCGATGACAATACAATATAGTAATATCAATAACATTGTAAATCTAAGATGGCCGCCGGTACAAAATGGCGGATTTCATATTTTTCCACAACCCCCTCAATATGGGTATCAAATGAAAGGGCTACACTTTTTATTCTTAATCTAAGGGCTACACTAGTAGAATACTGTGATTATGACAAAATTTAAAATCCAAGATGGACGTCGTTACAAAATGGCGTATTAGGTGAGGGCATGAGTAGTCGTGTCCAGAACAGTTGTGTCCAAGATTGTGTGACGTTAGAAGGACAGATAAAAAAAATAGGTGATTAGATGTACCTACGTAGTTAGCGGTAGCTTTACCACCCAAGTTAAGGTAATAGGTTAAAACGTGCTGAGGACTGTATGGCATTAGGGTGGTTAAAAATGTAATGTCGCAAGCGTTTTCCCCTCAAGATTGGGCGCCTCTTGTTGTATATTATAGCCTTGCCCCTCTACTGGACCTCTGGGGGGGTCGACCGTTAAAATGTCCATTACTCGTGGGAACAACATGGAAACAATAAATAAAAAAACAAACAAAAATAAAAACGAAACTGCTACACAACGAAAAGAAGGCTCGAAAAGGCGAAAGAAAAGTATAGAACGAAACGTGCAAAAGAAAGTGAAAATGAAACCTATAGTCGACTACAGAAACGAAGAGAACGGTTAGCAACAGAAACACCTGAGCAACATGATGCCAGGTTAATAGCACAACGTGAGAGACAAAGGCAGCTGGTGGAGTCAGAAACACCTGAGCATCATGAGTCCAGGCTAGCATCACAACGTGACAGACAGAGAGAGTTGTGAGCGTCATGAGTCTAGGCTGGCATCACAACGAGAGAGACAAAGAGAGTTGTTAGCGTCAGAAACACCTGAGCGTCATGAGTCTAGGCTAGCATCAGAACGCGACAGACAGAGAGAGTTGTTAGCGTCAGAAACACCTGAGCGTCAGATTGTAATAATTATCAGGTAAAAAACCATGTAATAATGATGCACTAAATGAATTAAATAGAATGAGGAATATTCGGTAGGCATTTCCGTTAAATACTAAAAACTAGAAAATAAAAAATCGGTAAAAAAACTTTTAAGTTAAACGGTTTTATCTTATGTGCACTGAAAACTAGAAAATAATAATAACAATTAGGTATTTTGAACTTCTAGTTCAGAAATATTTTAGTACTAGGCAGAATAGCTTTTAGGCATATTAGACTAAAATAAAAACGTGGGGCCCATTAACTATTGCTGTAATACTTTCTTCTATACTAAGTGTGGATTGCATCGACTTACAGAGGGGTTTTAAGTTTTTTTACCGATTTTTTTTTTATTCTCAAAAAATTCTCTCCAAGTACCTAATTTCTCTGGCATTTTAACAGCCGAACTCACAGCTATTTATCAGGCTCTTATCGAAATTCGGAGCATGCCACCGATTGAAGCATTAATACTATCTGATTCACTTAGTTCCCTCAACAGTATTGCTTCTATAAATCCCAAAAACTCTCTAACCTGCAGCATTCGAGATCTAGTATATAAACTTACTGAAAGAAACTACAATGTTAACATTATGTGGATTCCTGGACACTCTGATATTGCTGGTAACGACCGAGCAGAAAAACTGTCAATTAATGTCAATGAGACACATTCTTTTTGAATGCTTACCTGTTGCCCATAGGTCTAGATTCTTTAATGCTGTTACCTATGAGAATATTTTCGCGCATTTTAACATTTCGAAGATTAATAAAGTTATGGAATTCATAGACAGCACCAACATAACGAAAAAACTATAATTTAAAATAACCTCATATCAAATTCTCTCTCTCTCTCTCTCTCTCTCTCTCTCTCTCTCCTATTGTTGTATTGTATTGTAGACCAACGGAATCCAATTTTATAATTATAACAATATTATAAAAATAATAAATTTCAAATAAATTTTCGAACAGAGAACTTCCTTAATACTTTCACAACAGAAGATTTTCTGTGTAGAAAATGCTAAAAATACAAGATTTGTAAGATTCTTGCAGCAAGTCCAATACTACTGACTAGACTGCAAGATCAAGGCCAAGACCAAATCTTGTATTTTCTGATCGCTATTACCCTTGTTTATATATTCTTAAAGTTGTTCAACCGACTAGACAAAATGTGCTGCCAACTGGAGGACAAATCGTGAACCTTTCGGGGCGGAGTCAAAAATATCGATTATTTTCGTTATTTTCCTCAGAGTAATGTAATAATATAGCCCCGGGTTTCTGCGAACTTTAATAGTGACCAGCTGATTAAGAAATTTAAACGAAACTTTTATTTTATTGTAAATTGTGGATTATGTTTGCCTGTTATTTTAAGAATTCTAAGCCGTATTAACAAAGAAATTATTGTTTCGATATGTTGGTACATTATTTATAATTTATGATAATGCTAATTGTTGTTAATTAATATTTAAAAAAAAGTTACATACTTATTTTAATTTGATTTAATGCAGGTTTATAAAAGAATCAATTCATTCTTAGATTATTTTATTCTAAATTGAGTGCTTTACGAATTTTACGTTTTTTTTTTGAAAACATAAAACTTTTTACATTTTTGATGCTAACTAATTGGCGTGGTATTATTGGTATGAAAATTAGCCAAGAAAGAAAAGAATTGGCTATAACGTAATTTTTCGAAAAAAACATATTATACTTATCGCTGAAAAGCTTAAAAAATGGCGCTTTTTATGAAGTCATGGTCAACTATGGTTTCCATTAAAAAAAACATAATGTTTGTGTCATATGTCAAAAATGACAGACTTTAGAAAAAAAAACAGAAAACACAAACTCATTAGGTATATGATTATCTACAACTTTTATCTGAAAACTTTTTGTCTAAAGTACCGTATGATCGAATAAAAACGGCGTCAGCGATGGCTATAAAATGACGATCAATGATATTTCCCATAAAATTTTACATATAAAATGACAGCGATCTTCACTTCATAGCCATCGTTGACGCCGTTTTTATTCGATCATATGGTAGATTATAATGGAATTAGAGACAAGTTTTAAAATAGCCAAAATTTGTTTTTTTTCTTCACCGAAAAATCCAAAAGGCGCATATTTATAACCCCACAAAACTGCAATTCTCTCCCCATTAACCGACTCTGTATCTCCAGTAGTTTCCGAGATGCCCATGGAGAACATCGTAGGAAACTCACCCTGTATAGTATTTTGAAACTAACTATTATTATTATTTGACTAGTTTAATTTGATTAATAAGGCTAGATTAATTTAATTTCAAATATATTTGATCAGATTTTTTTTCGTATATTCTGCTACCAGAAAACCAAGATTATAACGAAGTTGAAGGAAGATATAGTGTATCTATCACAATACTTAATAGAACTACTACAATTATTACAAGAAAAACAAAAAGAAGAAATACCCAAATACCCCTTCATCTACTACTCAACTACAAAATAAACGAATATAATCTCTGAAAAACACTACACAACTACTTATTCTTGTATTCTACACTGAACAAATTATCAAACTTACTAATTTATCAAACAAAAAGAAAAAATAACAAAATTATCCCTTCAGCTACTACTTAACTACAAAAGAAACTGTATAAAAACAGTACTAAACTATTTTTGGTAGACTACACTAACATGCTACACTAAACACTATAATTAAACTTAATAAATTAATCTAATTTTACACTACACCTACAAAGAAAAAAGAAATATGAACATTTTCTAAAACTAGAAGAAACAGAACTTCCACACGTGCGACCAGGATAATAAGTCAAGGGGACAAAGAATATAAAATACTTTAAAATGTGCATTCAGAAAGAAAAAATACCTCGAAAATGATCTAAACAAACATTTTTATTTCTTATCAGTGAGAAGCATCGGCCTTGTCGGCCTTGAAGAATTTGTCGGGTATTTACAATGGTCGAATTGTTTAATTGCCAGCTTTTATAGCATATCTAATAGACAAAAAGTATCTGGTCGATTAGTAACCAATTGGCACAGTCTCTCTCTCATTATCGATTTTTATTTTCTCTGTTTTTATTGGTAGCTTCAAAATTCAGAGTAACAAAAAATATTTTTCTGTAGGGAAACCGGCCCTGCCATTTAGTAGTCTTAGCCCATAAACGTCTTAGGTTGATCTACTTTAAAAATATATATACAAGGCTATTACTGAAGCTTAAACCTCATCTTTCTTCCAGACCTCCAGTTATTCCCAAATCAAAGAAATTATCCAAAACTGCTCCAGACAAAGAACTAGCTGACAATACTGACAATAGATTAATTATATCAAAGATCATAGAAAATTTCCAGAAGGCCACTCCATCTCGAGAACTCCACAGGAACTCCGACATAATCAACAAGGGTTCTGTAGAAACTTTATACAGGAAAAGTACGATTTCCAAGCTTGGGAAAAACATCCCGGAACATAAACTAATGAAAAATCTACTGAAAAACTTTGAGGCGGACTCTGAGAGATGTCTGGCTCAAAAAAAGCGGAATTTTGGCAATAGGAAGGGTTCTAAATGCAAGAAAATCGCAGTAAAAAAGCAAGTTTTTGATAACAATGAAGTAATAAGTACTGATTTTTGTATTAAACTTGAAAATAGGAATGGACCGTTTAATAGTTGTTCGAAAATTAATAAAAAAACTAGCACAACTGGATTGGTTTGGCCTCCAAGGTCTGTAGAGATGATGCATTTTTATGATAATAAAATGTCTAGTAATCATAACACTATTTATGAGGATATGGAGGAAATATCTAGTAATAATGAGAGTTCTAGACCGATTTCTGAGGTGGGTGATATTGTTTTAAAGCGGAGAAAACTTACTAAACAGTTTAAAAACAATATTAGTGACGAGACAGTTCCAAAAATGAGGTAAATAAAGTAAAAGTAAAGTATTTTAAGTTAACCTAATCTACAGAGTGTTTCAACACACATGTGCCATCTCTCGTGGGAGATTCCTCACGTAAAAATAAGATTTATTTTTCATATCAACATAGGTCCTATTCTGCTTTGTTGCGTAGCTACAGGGTGTTAAGTCTTAATAATCTTTCGATTTATTATAATTTTCTTCCAAGTACTTTTAGTGTTTCTAATGAATTTTCGAGGGTAAAAGTTACCATATAAATGCGACATATTTTAATCCTAAAAATGTTGACATATTCACCAGTGCCGTGCATATGAGTTATCACTGCAATATTTTTCTAAAAAAGCATGTACGCCACTGACTTTTTTTTCTGTTGTTAGCGAAATAGTGTAAGCAGTTTAATGCCGATTAGAAGTTGTCGCTTGGTATTTTGTCGATTTCGGCCTCCCTGATGAGATTTAAATACGAGGCATGTTTTTTAAGTACCGTTTTGCGATTCCGCTGCCGCAGCGCTAAGGTCGGCGTTCCGCGCATGCGCGCTGGTTTCCTACATCTCTTGTCTATGCACAGAGGCCAGTACAGTCTGATTCTTCATTGTATACGTTGTTTATTGAGTGTTTAAGATGCCTCCGACAATCGTGAGCCCCGCCGATTGTGAAGTACGGGCTGTCATACGATTTCTTAGTGCTAAAGGCGTAAAACCGATCGATATTCATCGTGAGATCTGTGAAGTCCTTCGGTCGTTAATGAAGATTTGGTGCAGAAAGTGGACGAAAAGGTGAAAGAAAACAGACGCTTTACAATTTCATCATTGTGCGACTACTTTCCTCCAATGTTCTCGTAGTGTTTTGTATCGCATTGTGACCGAGAACTTGAATTACCGGAAATTGTGTTCACGTTGGGTTCCGAAAATGTTGACACTTTTGCACAAAACCCAACGTTTAGGCACTTTGCATTGACTTTCCTTGAGCAGTACCACAATGAAGGTGAAGATTTTTTAGACATAAATTGTTACTGGTGATAGAAACATGGGTGGCCTACGTCACACCAGAATCGAAACAACAGTCCATGGAATGGCGACATTCATCATCACCAAAACAGTGAAGTTTAAGCAAACAATTTCTGCCCGGAAAATCATGTGCACAGTTTTTAGGACAGAAAAGCGTATTGCTAGTGGAGTTTCTGCCTCGTAATGAGACAATCAATGCAGCATCTTATTGTGAGACATTGAACAATCTGCGCCGTGCAATCCAAAACAAAAGACGTGGCAAGTTGAGTAAGGGTATTGTTTTGCTGCATGACAATGCCCGTCCACATGTGGCTAATCGGACCAAAGATCTCTTCAAATCTTTTAAATGGGAAACTCTAGATCATCCTCCATACAGCCCTGATCTGGCGCCCAGTGACTACCATTTATTCCTGCACTTGAAGAAACACCTGGGCGGTCTGCGTCTTCAAGACGATAACGAAGTCAAAACAGTTGTGATACAGGGGTTAACCAGTCAGGCGGCAGAATTTTATGAGGAGGGTATTGAAAAACTGGTGCCACGTTATGACAAGTGCCTCAATATTTACGGAAATTATGTAGAAAAGTAGATTAAGGTACAGGCTTTCATGTAAAAATAAAATTATTGCGATATCTTTGCACGTTTTTTTTAATTCCAAAACGGTACTTACTTAAAAAACATGCCTCGTATGTATTCCTCATCAAAAAATACGAAAAAAAGTTCCTATAAAGATGGATATGGAAATGCATAGTTTTAGAGTTACAGGATGTTAAAACTTTTTAAAATTAGGTTTTTTGCTTTGAATAAGAAGACTAAGGAAGGAGCATAATGCTATCCATGTATTCATGCATGGTGGGCGGAAAAAGGACTCTAGGTGGGCAGGGGCGTAGATAGGTGTATGCTATGGGGGTGGTACTATGATTAAGTCGCAAAAAAAATCACCGTCGGAATTTTTTTGTCGAATTAAAACGACGGCGATTTTTTTGTCTTCAAAAAGATATAAAAACATAACTAATAACTAAATTAAAATATAGATTTGTAAATAACATAAACAAAAATGAAACAACGGCGTTTATTAGTTCATTTTCTATAAACTATAAATAAAAAACTCTAAACTATAAAAAAAACTATAAAAACTATAAACTATAAATAAAACTACAAAACAAAATCAAGTTTTCTAGTACGCTGTTTGGAAAACCTATCAATAACAGCATCAACATTTATTTCAATATCTTTATGGATATTGATTAGAGTTAACCCCACTAATCTGTCCTGGCCAATAAGAACACTTTGTATGCTTTTAATTAGGTCGAACATATTATAAACGATAAATCAACATAATTAAAAGCATACAAAGTGTTCTTATTTATCGGATATTAATTAAAAAAAATCCTTTCATAGTCAATGACTATTTCAATTCCCGTATCTCGTCAAGCGTCAGGGGGGGGGGTACTGTCCCCCAGTACCCCCCCCTTATCTACGCCCTTGTAGGTGGGGGTCCTTGACAGTTCTGTTTGACGATTCATTTGGCACATTTGAATTTGATTTGAAATTTTGTGGATTTGTCAGTCTTTACGGCACTTATTTTATGTTATTTATTATTTATTCTACTACTGATAGTTGTATAAAGGTAGTAAATCTAGACGGAAATTGTGGCAGAACTTAAATTAACAGTGACACTATTGCGATTTATCGAAAAAGACTCTAAAATAGTTGGTTGTGTAGCGTGCGGTAGATCTCGGCAAAAATCGAGTGAAATAATGGAACAACTTTTCGCTAGTAAGTGACTATATAATATACATACGTGTAGTAAACCGATCATTTATGAAATTCACTTAAATTAACTAATTATATATTTTTTTCTTGTATTTTTGTCAAAAGATTAGATGTCAAAGAATTTACATACGTCAATTTGACTTACCTGCTTCAGTAGCGTATCAGATGTTTGTGTTAATAAATAATTATTAAAACTTATCTATTTTGATTATAATAATATGTTTTTATAACAATTTTAATAACTACCAACATTTATTCACAACGTAAAATAAAAAAAAATATTGAGTCTACCCCACGTCTACTCTACATCATAGTTTTACATTTTTTAAATAAAATTAGAACGGCACTGATAAACCGGAGTCCCATCGCGGTGGACCTAAGATTTTTGATATGCTCCTTCCTTAGTCTTCTTATTCGAAGGTTTTTTTGTCATTATCTTAAATACCGTTATTTTTTTTTTTTGAAATTGCTGTAGGTTGGATTAATAGTAATAATAACTAATAGTAATAATATTTAATAATAAATTAGGTAAAATATATAATTTATTAATTTTATTTTTATTTTAATTTTATTAATTGTAATTAATAAAATTGCATTTATCTCATCAAGGAGGCCAATTTCGACAAAATATCAAGAGTATTAAGTATTAAACTGCCACAAAATTTTGATATCAAAAGAAAAAAGTCAGTGGCGCACATTTTATTTTCTTTTAAAAATATTGTAGTGATATATGCACGTTCCTGATAAATTTATCGACACTTTTTTGGCATTAACATATGTAGCACTTATAGTATTGTATTTGACTAAGAGTGGGTAAGACCCATAGGGGACCCTCCACTGAGGCCGCGAGGGCCTATTGTGGCTCAGTTTCTACAAGCTCTAATTTACAAGAGCGTCAAAGTTCATCCTCAAGACCCAGCCTCTTAATATAGGCCGTTATGTCTGAGGGCGATATGTCTCCTAGGTCTGATAGGTCTAGCATGGGTTTGCCAAATATCTCAAACCTGGTCCTGCTCCCAGCAGGGCAGGTACACATAACGTGCTTCATTGTTTCATCATCTTCCATACAGAGTCGGCATTCGGCGTCTTCCACCAGTCCCGTCCTCTGTAGGTGAGATCTCAGCCTGCAGTGGCCCGTGTACACTGCAGTGAGCACACGCGTTCCATTCCTACCGGCCTTTAGGAGTTCTCCTGTTCTATGTTTGGATGGCCCTGCTAGGATTTTCTTGGCATGCTCCATTCCGGGACTGTCATTCCAGTCTCGGAATGTCTCACCCCTAACCCATTCACAGAGCCTGTCTCTTGCGAGATTTTTGGGAACGCTAAGTGTCGGTTCTGGGCCCACGAATGGCGAGCCTGCACCAATTTTGGCGAGGGAATCAGCACGTTCATTTCCCTCTAGGCCGACATGTCCCGGTATCCATATTAGCGACACTTTGTTCCTATCTCCCAGTATATTGAGTAGTTTCTTACAATGAAGAATCGTCATAGACGTGCTTTTCGTTGCCTCAAGTGCTTTCAGCGCAGCTTGACTATCCGAAAATATGCATATTGTTTTCCCGGTGTATTGCTGTTCTACCAGCAGTTGCACACAGGTTTCAATAGCATATAGCTCAGCTTGGAAGATCGTGGTGTGTTTTCCAAGACTGTGGTAGATCTCAGCAGCAGTAACTTTAACCCTCAAAATTTCATTCGAAACGCTAAAAGCACTTGGAAGAAAATTATAATAAATCGAAAGATTATTAAGACTTTAACACCCTGTAGATACGAAACAAAGCAGAATCGAATCTATGTTGATATGAAAAATAAACCTTATTTTTACGTGAGATTTTTTACGTTATTTCACGAGAGATGGCACGTGTTTTTTGAAAAACCTTGTATATTTTTTTCTTTTTTAGTTATAAACCTGGAAGAATAGAGACACTTCCAAAAACAAATTCGAAAAATAACAACGACAAAAAACTAAAACAAAACCTCTCCGATAGACCAGAAAAGAATATTCGTAAAACTATACCGATGAAGGAAAAAAGTTTTGTTCAAAACCAAGTGGAAAAATTGAACAAAGCATCAATAAGAAAAAATAAAGAAAAGACGACAGAAACAGAGCGTCCAAAATATTGTTCACAAAGCGCACAAAAATCGCAATATTTGGAGGTTATGAATAAAGTGAAAAATACAATTCCACAGATTAAAAATGTTTTTCAAAGTGATAGTGGTAGGATTGTTTTTATTTTTTTTTTGTATTTTGAGAAAATATTTTGATTTTGTTTTAGAACAAGTTTGGTCTGATCCAAGTTTCGATGAGATTGCGCCGCAATATATTACGTTTCCTAAAGAAACAAGGATGGCCATAGATCAACGTTTGAGCGAGAAGAGGTGTCCAATACCGCTGTCAAAATTTACGAAAATTGACAATGTCAAACCTGCCGTTGTTTTGAATGCCGAGGAAACAAATTATAATGGTATAAAATTGCTTCGTGTAAAGATGAAACCACCCTGTAAAAGATAGACTAATTAGGAAAATCAGTAAAATTTGTCGTTCACGTCATCAAAATACATGGCGCAGTGTTGCCACGGCTACTTTTTTACTTTAATTTTAGTGACAATACTTAAATTATGCAGAAGGCTAGGTTTACAGATTTAGAGAAAAAAAAAAGATTTGGCTTGAAAATGAAGGTAGCGTTATTCTGTACGTAAAACTATATGGAGAATGTCTTCGATCGTCATTTCTAAGCCAACTGGACGCCGTTTTTTTTCGATTATACAGTATTTTTTATTTGTTTATTAGATTATTGTCACTGTTATGATCATGGAGACGGACCTGCTAAAACTCAAAATTACCCAGCCGAAAGAAGAAATACAACAGCAAAAACAACAAATAAATCAAAATGGAAAATTCCGATGCCTTGCAAGAAGAACTTGTTATGTGACAAAGGAGACCATCATAACGGGCCTTGTGGTTACACCCATAATTCTTTCAATAAAGTCGTTTCTTAAAAAAATGTTTTTTTTATAAAAACTTTTATTCATATGTTCGACAACAATAACGATACCCTCTATACGGGCCACCCTGTATACAGAAAATCAATTTTTAAACGGTTTTATTTAGCTCGACCCGTACGGTATTTATTTATTTGTTTGTTTATTTGGGTCAAAATTAGAAATTGAAATTTAAGTACCTTCCTGTTGTCAGATTGATCTGAAATTTGGTACACACCTTTAGTTCCGATGACAATACAATATAGTAATATCAATAACATTGTAAATCTAAGATGGCCGCCGGCACAAAATGGCGGATTTCATATTTTTCCACAACCCCCTCAATATGGGTATCAAATGAAAGAGCTACACTAGTAGAATATTGTGATTATGACAAAATTTAAAATCCAAGATGGACGTCGTTACAAAATGGCGTATTAGGTGAGGGCATGAGTAGTCGTGTCCAGAACAGTTGTGTCCAAGATTGTGTGACATTAGAAGGACAGATAAAAAAATAGGTGATTAGATGTACCTACGTAGTTAGCGGTAGCTTTACCACCCAAGTTAAGGTAATAGGTTAAAACGTGCTGAGGACTGTATGGCATTAGGGTGGCTAAATGTAATGTCGCAAGCGTTTTCCCCTCAAGATTGGGCGCCTCTTGTTGTATATTATAGCCTTACCCCTCTACTGGACCTCTGGGGGGGTCGACCGTTAAAATGTCCATTACTCGTGTGAACAACATGGAAACAATAAATAAAAAACAAACAAAAATAAAAACGAAACTGCTACACAACGAAAAAGAAGGCTCGAAAAGGCGAAAGAAAAGTATAGAACGAAACGTGCAAAAGAAAGTGAAAATGAAACCTATAGTCGATTACAGAAACGAAGAGAACGGTTAGCAACAGAAACACCTGAGCAACATGATGCCAGGTTAATAGCACAACGTGAGAGACAAAGGCAGCTGGTAGAGTCAGAAACACCTGAGCGTCATGAGTCCAGGCTAGCATCACAACGTGATAGACAGAGAGAGTTGTTAGCGGCAGAAACACCTGAGCGTCATGAGTCTAGGCTGGCATCACAACGAGAGAGACAAAGAGAGTTGTTAGCGTCAGAAACACCTGAGCGTCATGAGTCTAGGCTAGCATCAGAACGCGACAGACAGAGAGAGTTGTTAGCGTCAGAAACACCTGAGCGTCAGATTGTAATAAATTATCAGGTAAAAAACCATGTAATAATGATGCACTGAATGAATTAAATAGAATGAGGAATATTCGGTAGGCATTTCCGTTAAATACTAAAAACTAGAAAATAAAAAATCGGTAAAAAACTTTTTAAGTTAAACGGTTTTATCTTATGTGCACTGAAAACTAGAAAATAATAATAACAATTAGGTATTTTGAACTTCTAGTTCAGAAATATTTGCATATTAGACTAAAATAAAAACGTGGGGCCCATTAACTATTGCTGTAATACTTTCTTCTATACTAAGTGTGGATTGCATCGACTTACTATAATCGTAACTGGAGATTTTGACAATCAATAACCAGCCGTGGCGGTTTCACCAGCGAACGCCGAGCTCATGATCTACCAAAGTATAAAGATATGCTTTGCCATAGGTAGGATTTCAGAGGGGCCCCACGTTTTTATTTTAGTCTAATATGCCTAAAAGCTATTCTGCCTAGTACTAAAATATTTCTGAACTAGAAGTTCAAAATACCTAATTGTTATTATTATTTTCTAGTTTTCAGTGCACATAAGATAAAACCGTTTAACTTAAAAGTTTTTTGAACGATTTTTTTTAACTAAATTAAGTTTGGAACTCTGCAATTGACAGCTTACATCGCGGTCGCTTTGAAAAAAAATTGAAAAATATATAGAAAATTTAAGAATCGGCAACAACTGTCAAATAGATTAGACTCATTTATTCCAAATTATTCTGTCAATAAATCATCCGTCCCACAAGATTGACAAAAACTCTCACTTCACTCTTGTCAGCTGTTAGTTAGAATTAAAATGTATTCAATAAATAAAAATCTATAGTTAACCGTGTAAATTTCAGCAATTAGAATTAATTTCACACTGAAAATTGCGGTCTCCCAAAAAGTAGAGCGGAAATTACTAATTAATTAGACTTATTTTTCTTTTGCACAAATAGAATAAAACTTAATGTGTGTAAATTACACTGTTAAACACCCATATATTACCAGGCTTACTTACAGGTGCGAAATACAGAGTCTGTGCTTTAATAATATATTTAATTTGAACGGTTTCTAATTTGTATGCACTTTAAGTAAGAGCCATTAGCCATAGAAACGAAATTTCTTATGAGTCATGTTTGGGAGTTGACTGGCATCGGACATAAGGTGTTCCAATACATACTTAGTGTTTTGTATTCAGTGGCGTACTTTCTTATTTATACGGTATGTCCCCGGATTGTCTTTAGAAAAGAAAAAAAAATTGCTTGTTCTAAAATTATTTATACTTTTCCAAATTTGTATTTATAGAAAATTAGAAAAGCATGAAAATATGGTTGAATTTTTACCTAAAGAAGTTCTAAAAATCAAAACGAGTTTCTGTGGTAATATAATTTCGTTTTTATTCTTTAATAGATTTTTATTCATAGAATTTTAATTAACGTTGTATTTTTTGCTGTTTTAAAATGTTAAAGAAGCACAAAATTTATTTATATTCTCTTTTTTTCCTTTTTTATTCATTATTTTTGTTGATATTCTCTTTTTTATTCAAATATCTATACGAATAGTCCATTTTTTAAAAAATCCCTGTTAAATAAATCTCAAACAAATCTCTAACAAAATACGCCCCTGTATTAAGTCGTCTATTCATCCCTCTCTCTTATACTCAGCTAAACAAAGACCCGTCTCTCAAGAACAGCATGTTTTCTATGCCCCTGCTGTTCCCATAGAGGTTCATACGAGGGTAGCATGATAAGTTTCCGACCTTATTTTTCTGTTATCTCTCTTACTTTAATTCGACAGTTATCTAGACCTTACAAATCTATCGTGTCCCTCGTTCTTGAGGTGTAACTCATCATACAGTCTCAAGGCTTTAACAAAAGCCAGTATCTGAGACGGCCCCACAGAGGCCAGCTCTCCATCCTCGACATCAGCCATACCAAAGTTCATGACACGAACGGTCGTCGCGTCGTCTCGGTGCACTCAGTGATAAGGTGCTCTGGTGTTTCCCCATTTATTTCACAGAATCTGCATTCACCGTTGGCTCAGCTTCAGCCTACTGAGGTGTTCGTTGAGGAGACAAAGGTCCTGTTCGAAACCCCGTGACAATCCGAAGATTGTTTTTACTTAAATCAAGGAAAACCTCGGTCATAAGTTCTGAGGAACTTTTTCGAGTGTCTCAGACCGTTGGAGGACACCCATTCCAAGTTACGGATGGAGTCTTCCAAGTTCTTCAGTTCCGCTTTCAGTTGGTTCCCGCTTGGAAAACAGAACGGTTCTGGTCCAGTTAGTGGAGTGTTCGCTCTTTTTCTAGCTAGATCATTTGCTTTTTCATTGCCTTCTATCCCTTGGTGAGCAGGCACCCAGAGTAGGAGGACTTCATTTTCTTTGTCAAATTTGTTGAGCTTCTCTAGGCTTTCTTTGACCAACTTCGAATTGATGGTTACTGAGTTGAACGCGTTTAGTGCTGCTTCACTATCGGATAAGATGGATATTTCCTGTTTTCGATAGTTCCTATCTAAGATAAATTGTACGCATCTTAAGGATACAGAGGTAGGTGCCCATTGGTTCGGAGTATTTAGTTTTCAGCCCAAATACTCCTATCCCTGTCCCTGCTTTGGTTTTGGAAGCATCAGTATACCACGTTATGGTATGGTCTTCAACATGCTGAGCAAACGTTTCTTCCTTTCAATCCTTTTTATTACTCAATACTACAGTGAGGTGTTTCTCAAAGTTGTAAATTCTTGGTATGTCATCCATTGGGCGTTGGAGAAGTGGAATTTTCTTTTTGAGGGTGTTCCAAGCCCCTGACCTGAAAATTCTCCCAGTACTGTTTCAGTCAATGACCATTCTAATCATTGTCGCATTGACATAACTACCGACAACAATGTGCAGTGGTGTTAGGTCTAGAATGACCTCCATTGCTACTGTTGGACATGTTCTCATAGCACCTGTGATGCAGATACATGCCAGTCTCTATACTTTGCAGAGGTTTTCCTTGCTGTACGTTGCTCTAGTTTTGTGTAACAAGCAACTGGTAATCATTTCATGAGAGCCTTTGTGGCTTTGCTGGTAATGTTCCAGAGAAGTTTACTGTCCAGGGTTATTCCCAGATATTTCACTTCCTGTGATGGCATTTCCTTTCCATCTAGATGGATTCTTCAAGTTTTTCAAACCTCGCTTTCTGGTGAATGGCAATATCGGGGTTTTATCTAGGTTGATGCTCCGCCTGACTGTCCTCTTTGGATGATATCACACAGGGTGCCTTCATGTTTCCCCCGTGCAATAATGACTATGTCATCTGCATACCTTATGCAGTGTATTCCCGCTAGAGTTAATTCTTCCAGTAGTTCATCCACTTCCAAGCTCCACAGAGGAGGGAGGTCACTCCACCTTGTGGAGTTCCTTGCGTTGTTTTAACAACTACAGTTTTGGTACCTATCTCAGCCTCTGCTGTTCGTGTTGAGAGCATTTCCCGAAACCAGCGAATTATCGTACTGTCCACCCCTCTTGTTTCCAGAAATCGCTTGACCACCTTGTGAGGTATATTGTCAAACGCCCCTGCAATGCCCATGAAGGCACAAAGTGCCGTTTCTTTGCTATCCTGTATCAGCTCAGTTAACTGGTACAGAGCAGTTTCTGTAGATCTGCCCGTTCTATATGCATGCTCACTATCATGCAGTGGTTTAACCTTTAGATGGTTTACTCTAATATGGTTGTCCACTACTTTCTCCATCGTTTTTAATATGAACGATGTGAGGCTAATAGGCTTAAATGATTTAGGGTTAGCCCAGTCAGTTTTGCCTATTTTGGGTATGAAGATTACTTTCGCTCTTCTCCAGATGGTTGGTATATATCCCATCTCTAAGCTGCTTCTTGTAATGTTTAACAGACGGTGTGTAGCTATTTCCTGACCCTTCTTAGAAGGGCAGGTAAAATCCGATCTACTCCTGCTGTTTGTCTAGAGATGATGCATGATGTGGTTGGGGACTTTTGAGACTCCCCTCGTAATCTTAGGGCACTCGATCGGAACATTAGGCACGAGCAGTCGCTCCTTCTTCGCTCCATACCCATTCTTTCCTTCATTTTGGGCTCAGCGAGTTCTGTTGCTTAGTCGGTCGTTGGTCGGTGCAGTTGCGCGATCGATATTTGCGCGAGATTCGTCACTCCGAGACCGGGCGGTTTCTATCGAACGGCGTGCTCCGTGCGACATCGTGGTGGATTTTTGCGTTCGCGAGTCGATAGAATATTTAAGGGGGTGGGTGATCGCATTCTGCCGGCTTTCGAGCAGTTTTTTGGATTTCCTAGCGAATATTCAGTAGAATTCGGTTTGTTCAAGGTTGAATTGGATTGAAAAAAGGTAAGTTTAATCTGTGTTTTATGTATTTTTTGCTCTAGTCAATTTTTTGTGTTAATTTTGACGATTCTGTTTTGTATTTCCTCCAAATATTTCGCGTAAATTGGCTAGTTTAGTGTATTAGCAGGTAAATTTGAGTGAAGATATTTAAGTTTTACCGTTTCTATGGTAGTTTTATTTTTAAACTTTTATTGAACGATAAGAACTTATTTTTTGTGCTTGTAAATTCTTTTAGATATCTAAAAAAAATAATAGCGAAACTAAATATATGAAGATGTTTAAATACCCTTTTAAGTATTTTTAAGTCTTTTAAAAATTATCCACATATACAGGGTATTTTTATTCATTTACGTAAGGTAAAAAAATCGTTTTTTTCTTGTAATATTTTAGGAAAAAAAAAATAAAGAAAATAAACATTGAAATATAAGTAGATATATCTCCGGAGGGGTGTAAATTTTGAATTACCCTGTAGTAGTCTTTCGATTTTCTTAGAAAACTATTTAGTTATACAGGGTGTGCCAGAAATATGTGCAAGTATTTTAAGGGGTGGCAGATCTCGATAAAAAAAAGCATATTTTCTCTTTATCGTTTTTCAAAAAAGTCCAAAATAACGGAGTTATTTTACTTTGAAAATTTCAAAAAAATATATTTTTTGCTAAAATTTTGAGAACCACTGGATTTTCTTTCTTGTAAATTTAATCTACTACCTATGTTGCCATATTATCAAGAAATTATGTTATTTGACTAAAAACTAAAAAAAATCCAAAATTTTTTTCAAAAAGTTCCGAATTTTCAAAAAAAAAAAATCGCGAAAAACCTCAGAGGCGTGTTTCTGGGGTTGAACTATACTACCAGTTAAAATACTTGCACTTATTTTTGAGACACCCTGTATAAGGTGAACGAAAAGAAGAGTCTTATCGACTTTTTATTAAAGTATATATAAATAAATGTATTTTTTTACACTTAAATATTGAATATGACTAATCATGTTGCGCTCTTATCTAGAATGCATTTTTGATTATGTTATACTGGGTGTTCCAATATTTCGCGGTCATAAAACTACTTCGTATTTTTCGAATCAAAATAAGTTTTTAAGGACACAATTTATCTCTATGCAAAACTGCTTTTTTTGTCCGTTAGAGGGCGCCAATTAATAATAAACCCTAACGTTAATTAATTTAAAATTTATGAAGCTTATTTAAAAATTATTTGTGACACAACATTCCACATTTTTAACAAATAAACTAAACAAAAAAAAGTAATACAATGTGATCGAAAAAAAAACGCCGTCAGCGATGGGTATGAAATGAAGATCACTGTCATTTTATATGTAATAGCCAACTGGATCCTTTTTTCTCAATCATATGGGATTTTAGGAGGACATTTTAGGATTCATCATAGGACATTTTAGGATTTTCAAGTAATTTTTTCATATTATTTTTATTTTTCTCTAAAACGGTATGGAAATTTGCAAGTATAAACGGGATTAACCATATTAGAACAAGCAAATTTTTTATAAGGAATGTATTACTTTTGTATGGACCAACCGTGGATATACAGTAGTAAAAAATTGTTCTTGATACGCATTTTTCTAAATGCGTATCCAATTCCTTCACAGTATGCGATGAACACAACTCATTTAACCAATTTTTCTCAATTTACTAACTTCTTCCTGGTCACCACAGATGTTTAATTGACTTTAGTTATTTTTTGTGGCTCATGAGTTCAACAAGCATTACAGGCTGCTGTAGGTCTATTTTTATTACTATCTTTTTAATTTAATAAAACTTCATAAAACTGTATTAGACCCACACGTTTTAAAATGTCAAAGTTTATGATCTATGAAAAAATGGCGGTAATTGGTTAGTACTAAATCGGGAAATTTAATTATTTTGCATAATTTATAACTTTAATATCTAGTATTTGAAGTCTATTTTAGAATTTTATGGTCTTAATAAAATATTGCAGAATTTTTTTTTATGACTTTTAAAGCTGTGTCTACACATAAGGTTTTATCTGTTGGTCTTACATGTTCACTCAAAACGTATCAGGCAAAACTATATAGACGAGAAACTTAACCCTACAATTTTCGCAATTTGATTTGCATGTTTACAAATGAAATTTAATCCATAATACATAGTTTTGTAGCCAAATTCCATTTTTTTCTTCAACTAACTTCAACTAAACACAAGCTATCATCTTCATCATTTTCACGAGGTACCATGCTGTAATTTTGTGTCTATCTGTTGTCTGTGCTTCTTGCCTGCTGTCTCCTTGCCACTTGAGGGATTTGATTTTGTGTATGACATCTATTACCTGGGTTTTTTGTCTTTTACCGTCTCTTTTGGTTATTCCTAGCATATTTCGTCACATTGAGCGTAAACCCAAGCTATAACTATTGATAAAACCACAGGTAAAACGTCCAGTGTACCTCTATGTTAGTTTTTAATCCGTCTTTCCTGACAGGTAAAATGTTACGTATGGTAGGGGCTTTAGAGGAGGATTTTATCACTTTATAATTCCTTACATTAAAAATAAACAGTTTTTTTTCTTAAAATAAAAGTGCAGTATAGATAAGGGTAGATAAGAGGCTGCAAATAAGTGCAATAATATCAAGGTGTGGCAAACCTGTAATCCCCAGTACCCATAATTTAAATTTATTTTTCGATATCTTTGTAAATCTACTAATATTTTTAACTAGAATTTCTTGAAAATTCCTACACAAATAGAGACAGTCTATATACATTGTTGTTCACCACATACGACACGGAGTATTGTAGCTAAACGATTAGATTTTTACAAATTGTAAGTTTTAGGTTCGTTGAAGGACTATTAGAGCTACAATTTAAAAAGATTTTTACAAGATACAGAGTGTCCCAAATAAGTAAAAATATTATAGTTGTATTTTTTTAAATGGAACACCCTGTATATTATTCTATTTTTGGATTCTACGATTGAAATAAAGGTAAATTTGATTAAGGTTTATCATACTTAAACCTTACCGTTTTTGAAATATTTTCAATTTTATGAAATTGAAGTAAACATTTTAAGGCCTCATTTCACCAAGGGTATCAAAGTTTTTAATACTAAATATTTACTGAATATTATTTATTGATCAGATATTGTGTTGCAATAATAAAAATTTTACTACCTTATACAGAGTGTCCAAAAATTTATATTAAATAATTACTAGCTTTAAACGGCAATAACTTGTTTAATTTAAATGGAATACCCTGTATATTTTACGTGAATCATATGCACAATTTAAGTGTCTATCATATTTTATTAATTTTTTACCTATCTCTTCAAGTTTTCGTAGAAAATGCATTTTCTTATAATTGAGACCTCATTTATCTATAGCCATGGATTCAGACATTCAGACTTTTTTAAAAGCAACATACTTGTACAAAATGTACAGGTGGTAAATATTGCAAGCCCATTGGTATACAACAAAGAACTATTTAAATATTTTTGTAAAAGAGTATACCAATTAAATATACCACCATTATTTTCGACCAAAAATTAGTTAATTACATACTTTTAAATTGTTTTAATTAATAAAGTATTCTAAATAAATATGGATTAATAAGTTATAAAAATGAACGTCCCTGTATGTATGTATAAATAAGCATTCGTCAAAAAATGAAATAAAATTTATAAGGTGTTACTTTTTACCACACTGTTTAATACACACACCAAATTCAGTTTTTTAGTATTTGGAGCAATTATTATTAATTAACGTAAACAGTTAAACAATGTAGTTTGAATACTGGGATCATATTAATTGGTCCTCTTTAACAAAAATATTTAAACAGTTTTTTTTTATTTTTTAATGAAATAAGCGAACTATATCGACAATATTGGTATCTGTACTCATTGAAAATTTGTTACGTTTTTAAAAATAATCTAAAATGTCAATATTCCATGGGTATGGGGGGATAAATGAGGTCTAAATTATAGAAAATGCATTTTCTACGAAAACTTGAAAAGATGGGTAAAAAATGGTATAATACAATTTAATAGACAATTACATTGTGCATCTGATTCACGTAAAATATATAGGGTGTTCCGTTTAAATTAAACAAGTTATTGCCGTTTAAAGCTAGTAATTATTTAATATAAATTTTTGGACACTCTGTATAAGGTAGTAAAATTTTTATTATTGCAACACAATATCTGATCAATAAATAATCTTCAGTTAATATTTAGTATTAAAAACTTTGATACCCTTGGAGAAATGAGGCCATAAAATTTTTACTGCAATTTCATAAAATTGAAAATATTTCAAAAACGGTAAGGTTTAAGTATGATAAACCTTAAACAAATTTACCTTTATTTTAATAGTAGAATCTAAAAATGGAATAATATACATCGTGTTCCATTTAAAAAAATACAACTATAATATTTTTTACTTATTTGGGACACTCTGTATCTTGTAAAAATATTTTTAAATTGTAGCTCTAATAGTCCTTCAACAAACCCAAAACTTACAATTTGTAAAAATCTAATCGTTTACCTACAATACTCCGTGTCGTATGTGGTGAACAAACCTGTATAAATAATATATTTATTTTGCTATAGCAAACTTTTCCTACGTAATTCTTCGCGATATCCTGTCTTCCACATTAAAATTCAGGTTGACATTATTTTTTATTTACCTTTGGGATGGTCAAGAAAGCCATGACTAGAATTTTAATGCTCCTACTAGTCAGTATTTTCTTCTGACTGGAATTATTAATATTTTCAGTTTTTATTTAACTGTATATTAGTTATAAATCTATCTTTTTTTATTTTCATCTTAATCTCTACATGTTCTTTTTAAAATCTAGTTTAAATAAGCACACTAATGTTCTACTTTAAAATAAATGTCTGACAATAATGTCTTTAGTGTTATCTTTGACTAAATCCTGACCTACCTAAGAAAAAGTTGGATGAGATTTCTTTTCATGTTTATTTTTATAACGCTTTGACAGCTTCAACATGAACTGATGATGGATGAAGGT